GAAGGCATGGTGTGGAGAGGAGAGACGATGGAGAGCGCAGCGCAGAGCGAAGAAAGCCCATGCGCGCGCTCCTCATGTCCGATATCGAGCGGAGAACCATCCAAGGCGCCGACCCCGGCGATGCGATGGAGCATAGCCGAGGTCCGTGCGATGGCGGAGGCTGAGCCGAGGGTGGCGGTGGCGGCATTGTACGTCGACATGAGTGCATTCTCAGTGTCCAGTATGTTGCATGCTGTCAGTTTCAGTCCGTCGCCATCGCCCAACTAGAGCGGGATGCATGTTGCAAACGAGTCCGTCCGTCTACCGCCTCCCGCCGCCGCCCAGGGCCTCGGCATGATCGGCCCAATTATGGTGGCGGCGCGACGAATCCGACGTCATTTCATCTCGACTCACAACAAACCTCCTTGCTGTTTCTCCACCATCACCGTCGCCATGGGGATATGGCAGACTCTCGTCAAGATGGGCGTCGCCCAACCCGGACCCCGGATCACGGCGCAAGACCGCGCCATCCTCGAGTACGCTGCACCTCCTCTCCCGCTCACACCAGCCTCAAGCTCCAGCGCGATAAACTGAAGCAGTACCAGCGCCGCGTGAGCCGCGCCGCCGCCGCCGCTGACGCCAGCTCCAAGCCGTGCTGGACCGTGAGCGCGAGATCGCGAAGGCGGCGCTGGCGAAGGGCGACAAAGTACGTCTGTCCCGCGCCAAGCTGACGGCAGCGCCGCGCCCTCCTTGCCCTCCGCCAACGCAAGTATCAAGAACAAACACTACTTCGGACAGACCAACAGCTCGCGACACTGCAGGAGTTGGTATGTCCTCTCCTCCCCCTCTCCTTGCACTCCTTATCCTTGCTCTCACTGACACCAGGTCGCGTCCATCGAGTTCACACAAATCCAAGCCGCGGTAGTCCACGGCCTGGAGCAGGGCAGCGCGGCGCTCAAAGCCCTCCAAGCCGAAGTCAGCCTCGAGCGCGTCGAACGCATCATGGACGAGAGCCGGGAAGGCGTCGCGTACCAGCGCGAAATTGACGAGGCGCTCGCGTCGCACATGAGCCCCGAGGAGGAGGAGGAGGTGCTGCGCGAACTGGATGCGCTGCAGCGCGAACAGATGGTGTGTTGTGCGAAGAGCGCGCTGACGATAGCCCGCGATACCGGATGTGCCGGCGGACGAGCCTGTGCACCTGCCGGATGCGCCGACGAAGATTCCTGCCGAGGCGGAAGGCGAGATGGACGGCGAGGGCGTGGGCGAGGGCGAAGGCAGAGTGGCGCAGAAAGGTAGGCGAGTGGCGAGGCGGACTGACAGCAGCTGCGGAGAAGCCGGAGCGCGTCATGTTGGCGGCGTAGTTGCGCGTTTGCCGCCGCGGCGAGTGCGCGTTTGTACGGGCACAGAGGGTATCCGATGCATGTCATGTATAGTCTCCTCGGCCCACCCAACCACCCACTTCTCCTAGTATACACGTGCATCTACTCACATACAGTCTAGTCTGGGGATCAGCACCAACGGAGTGGAACGCCCAGCTCATGCTCATACCCGTGGTGTGGTCTCGCCCGCTTTGTCCCTCGTCCTCGCTCTGTACTTCGAATGACTGTGGGTGAACGTGTGACCATAGGGCGGGTGACCTGCCGCGCCAAGCGCACGATCACTCCTCATCGAGCGGCCGCGCAAACTTGTGCTTGCCCATCTTGTCAAAGTCCTTCATCCCGTGTCCCGAGTTGAATACGCCGACGCGGGCTGGTGTGAGCTCTCCCGCAGCGCTCGTGCAGAGTCACTCACCGTACGGGCTGTCGCTCGTGCGGAACACACTCTTCCCTTCCAGACCGGCGATGTGGATGCCCTTCTTTTGCGCCTTCTTGCCAAACTTCTCCCACGAGTTCTGCTTGCTCCGCGCCTCCTGGTCCCGCTCCTTCAGGCTCGACATCCATTTTTCACCCTTGCGCTTCTTCTTCTCCTTCTCGCGCTCGCTCAGCTCCGCCGGCCGCTTCACGGGCACAGGGATGGGCGCGGACGGGTCGTGTGGCCGCAAGCTCGAGACGGGGACGTTCGTCGACGACGTGTATCCCTTGAACGTGATCGTATACAGCGGCGACTCTTGCGAGCCGACAACTTGGTTAATACGCGCGGGGTACCTGACGTCAGCTACCTTCGCCGACCCAGCTCGCCCACTCCCCTAGGCCCCGCTCCCGCACTCACCACTTGCCATCCTTGTACTTGGCCATGCAGTCCATGCCCGCACGGTACTCGCCGCTGTCTTGCCAATTGGCTGCGTGCTCGGCTTTCTCCTTCTCCTTTCCCTTGCCCTTACTCTTCTTGGGCTCGGCGGCGGCAGCCGCAGCCTGCTCGGTGAGGCTGATGAGCTCCTCGAGCTCACCCTTGAGCGTGAGGAGGTCAGCGTTGTCCTTGTCGCTCTCGAGCTGGATGTTGACGAGCGCGAGCTGGTCCTTGAAGGTTTGGACGTCTTCCATGGCGGGCGGGGGATGGGCGTGGGTGAGTGAGATAGAGCGCGAACGAGAGCGAACGAGAGCTAGGGAGAGCGAGTTGTCGAGCAGAGTGTGAAGTGACGACTTGCTCGGGCGACTTGGAGAACTGGGTGGCGCGAATCTCCCCACGTGGCATACATTTTCCGCTTTTCCCATTTTATCCCGCCTCGAACTGATCCATCCTCTCGAGCTCTCCATACCCTCCTCCATCAACCATCTGCTATCCATGTCGTTCCTCGGCCTTCGCGCGCTCCGCGCCCCCCTCCTGCGTCCGCTCGGCGCACGCGCCCTCGCGACACCACCACGGCCGTCGAACGCGCTCGCCGGGGTCGCGTCCGACCTCATGCCCTCGTCCCTCCGCGAGCCCTCGGACCCGGACGCATGGTGGCGCGGCAACGAGCTCACCCAGCACTACGGCAAGCCGGGCAATCAGTACACCGGGCGCTCGGTGCCCGTGCGCCACTTCCAGGCGTCGTATGCGATGATGCAGGCCATGCTCAACCGGTCGGGCGCGACGTTCGAGCACCGCAACAGCGAATACTACGAGAAGCCGAGTTTGCAGCGCGTGCGGCTTGCGAGCCAGCGGAACAGGCGGCGATTCCAGGAGAATGTGAGTGGGCGACGATGCGTGGAGGTCTGCGTTTCAGGCGTAGAGGACTGGAAAGCAGACGGGAAGGAGCGTAGAGGGTGGAGAGGAGGTGCAGAGGGTGATGAGGAGGTGGAAGGACGAGAGGCAAGCCGAGTTGGGAAGGGCAGTCGAGATGGCGGAGACGCTGCAGAGGCGGCGCCGGAGATCGTCGGAGGAGACAGAACGAGGCCGGACGAGTTGGAGACAAAGAGACGGGCCCACACATTCCCCCCGCGTTCATCACTGATGCCAGATCCGCAAGCGCGTTCAGCTGGTCCAGTCGCTCCGTAGCCGCAAGTAGAGCATAGCATGTCACACTTTTCTTCATTCTCGTAGTTGCGTGCCGAGTGTGCAGAATGATAGACGTCAGTTATGGACCACACCGGATTATGCATAGACACAGCTCTCTCCGCTCCTACACCGCGAGCCGTCGCTACCTCCTTAGCCACCACACCACAATAAAGATCCAGAGCACGAGCGTCAAAAAGCCCATGAAGTAGCACCAGTTCGAGCCCTGCCGCCTCGCCATCTTGGTCATGCGCTTAAACGTCCCGCTGAGCAAGTTTCCCGTCGACCCGAACGTGTCGTTCTACATCAGCCCCATCCCGCCGCCGACGCACCATGCCCGCAAGCTCGAGGTTGCCGTCGCGCACCTCCTTCCCGATGCCCTTCGTGAGCTGGTGTCAGCCGGCCCCGGGGCACACTCACATCCTTGAGCGTGCTGACTTTGCCGAGCAGCCCGCTGAGGAGGTCGTCGTTGTGCTGCTCCAGCTCGCTGCCGCTGTACGCGCCGAAGCTCGGCCCCGCGCGCGCGTTCATCGACGACATGCCCCCGCCGTACGGCGACTCGGAGTACTGCGACGCGCCGGATGCGCCGCTCGCCGGGCGCGGGAAGGGCGAGCTGCGCCCGCCGGCGCCGGGGGATGGGGCGGCCAAGCCCGAGCCGGGGCCATAGCCTGAGCCCGGCCCGGCGCTCGGAGTGCCGGTGCGCGAGGAGTGCGCCGAGCGCTGCTGGTTCACGCGCGTGAGGCTGGGGTTAGAGTGCGGGGGAGAGACGCACCCGCTCATGGAGATGGAGGGTGGAGGAAGAGGAGGAGGGGGACAATGACGAGGGCGGGATGGATAGTGGAGAAACGAGGTGGAGGTTGATGGAATCGAGGCGTGGCGGTGGCAATCAAATGGTGCTTCCACGCCGTCACTGGCCGTGCGCCGTCGAGCTCAAGCCTCGAGCTCCGAGTTTAATGTGCATCTGCATCCACCGACTCGACACAAGTGTCTCGAGATAATGCACATGTACCATGTCGTTGCGACGTGGTCCACGATGTAGCCTAGGTGCTGGATCATTTCTGGCGGGCAGCTCCGGATATACCTCCGGAAGTACTAACGCGCCTAAGTGGGGGGCAAGCAGTCGCGCTTGAGACATTGCGCGCGTCAGCATCTTCCTATCCATCATCAACCATGAGTCTAGTGAGCCCGCCTCGTGCCCGCAATAAAGCTCACCCCAGCTCGCACCGGAAGACGAGGGCGACGGCATTGAGGTCGCGTGGGAGGACCAGCAGCGGATCAACACGTTCTCCAAGCTCAACAACCGTTTGGCGGATATCCAGGACAGATTGAAGATCAAGATTGTGCGTCTGGAAGGGAGGGAGAGGTTGGAGGGGGAGGGGCAGGGGGAGGGGGAGTAGGTGGGCGAGTGGGGAGTAGGGGAAAAGAGATGACGGGGAGGAGAGGGAGAAGAAGGAAGTGCCAGAACACAGGCAGAGGAGAGGGAACAAGAGTCTCGTCGCTCACCCCAGGACGAGAAGGAGTACTACGACGACCTCGAGATGGAGCTCGAGCTCGCGGACGGCCCCGTGCTGTACAAGCTCGGCGAGGCGTTCTTCCAGCTGTCGCTGCCTGCCGCGAAGAAGCAGTTGCGCGCCGATATCAAGCGCTACAATGGCGAGATTGGGGAGTTGCGCGCGCAGGCAGACGAATGCGTGCATGGCATGGACGAGCTCAAGGTGTTGCTGTGAGTCTGTCGACGGGGCGGGCTGACGATAGATATGCAAAGTTTGGCAAGCAGATCAACCTTGAGACCGGGCCGGAGTAGTGTGTGGCACGTAGAGCAGCTAGAGATATGCAGCGTTGGACACGATCACGAGGAGGTGCGATGCTAGTGTAGTGTACAGCATTGCACGACACTTGCTCCCCCTCTACTGGCTTGCCCACATCACCTATATGCTAATTCATACATGTTATGAGAGATCTTAGAGAACAGGAATCGTATGCTGGTTATGATGACAAACGGTATCTTCTACTACACTTGGTCGCGACTTAGACGAACATGTCCTTGCCCGTGTCGTCGTCGTCGATGGGGCCGAGATAGTCCTTCTTCACTGTCCCAATGGCCGAGATGCCATTCGCCTCCATCTTGCAGCCCACGATCTCCATGCGCACCTTGGTGCCCTTGGTAATCACCTGGTCGCCGGAGCGGTACGAGTGGGGCGATGTCGTGGGGTCAAACTTCATGTCCGCGTGGAGGAGCTGTATCATGTCAGCTTGTGTCACAAGCAAAACGAAAGAAAAGGTGGGTGTCAGAGATTGCGATCAATTACTACAAGATCTCCCGCATAAATCAGCAGCGCCTTTGGCTAAGCTGTCCCTATGCAAATGGCTCATCACGGAAATAGTCCCATCAAAGTTGAACTCACTTGATATGCCACAAAAACCTCAAGGGGACCGACCATAGCCAGGAAGCCGAGCTTGTTGACGATGACGACCTTGCCATCGACTACCTCGCCCTTGAATGGCTTCATCACAATGGCGGTATAGACGCACTTGAAGCGCGCCTGCCCGGTCGAGGGCATGATCTTGCCCTCACCAATGTCGTTGATAGTGACTACGGAGATGATGTAGCTGGTGTCAGCACTAGACCAAAACGCTTGACTAGACTTACCCATATTTACCGCTGCATGTCCCCTCGACGTCCTCATACAGCTTCTGGCGCACATACTCCTCCAACTGCGCACCAAAGTACGAGGGGTGGAGAAGGATGTTGTGTGTCAGTTGGCGCTAGCTGTCAGCTCTGCTGTGGCCTCTAGCTAACTAGAAAGAACATGGCGTGGACGGCGTGGACAGAAGCGAGAAGGTTGAGGGCGAGGTGTGGAGATCGCTAGGACAAAAGCTCGACGCGGGTGGCCCCGAGGCCCGCGGAGAGCGGGGTGCTGTATCTACCACACGGGTAGAGGAGGCGTGAGGGGGAGGGGGTTGCCGCGAGGGCGAGGGGGAGATGGATGATGAGGAAGAGAGAGAGGTTTTATATCTCAGAGAGAGATCGAAGGGGGAGGGGGGGAACACAACGCAGGTTGGTTGGTTCTTCCATCTGATTCCGTCGCACCACTTGGAAGATGTTGTATGGCTGCCACGTGCATTTGATGCCGTCGCCTCCACTGGTGGAGGTGCCTCCACTCTCCGTCTGTCTGATATGGAGATGGAGTGAGTGATGCATATGACTACAGTCTAGACCGGCCTCCCTCGCCGCGTCCTCTAATGTGCAAAAGACAGAGACGTGCTACACGCCGGCCGCCTTGTTGCCCCCAGCCGCCTCCCACTTGCCCATCGCCTCCCGGACCTTTTCCGTCACCTCTTCGGCCGTTGTGTTCTTGCCGAAAGCGTCGACGAACTGACCAAGGGGGTCCATCAGGTAGAAGAAGATGCTGTATGTTAGCGGTATGTTTGGGCATCAGTTTGGGAGGGAGGGACGGGCACAGACTGCAAGGCCAAGTCTTGCCTCTTCCGCAGTGTCTATCCCCCCCCCCCCCCCCGGTACCCACCTGTGGTCCACCAAGTAGTCATCTGTCGCCTTGGCGTCGGGCGGCGTCGAAAAGTACACGCGGTAGCTCTTGCATGCGCGCTTCACGCTGTCGTAGTCGCCAGTAAGGCCGACGAGGCGGGGGTGGAACTCGGCCACGTAGTTGGCGACCTGCTTGACCGAGTCGCGGGCCGGGTCGACGCTCACAAACACAGGAAGAGTGATTGGCCCCTTCTCCTTGTCAATCTGGTCCACAACGGCCGCCATCTTGTCAAGCTCCTCAGGGCAAATGTCCGGGCAGTGCGTGAAGCCAAAGTAGATGAGCGTCCACTTGCCCAGCAAGTCCTTCTCCGTAAAGTCCTTGCCGTGGTGGTCGGTCAGCACGAACGGTCCGCCAATGCTTGGGCGGCCAACCGACTTGGTCTCGAGCTCCTTCCCTGCATGTTAGCTTGACTGACGGTGGTGCACCGGGACTTGGAGTGGTGCATCAGCCTTTAGAGAACTCACGTCTGCGCTCAAGCACCTTGGCCTTCTCGTTCGTAAAGTAAAAGTAGAGCCCGACGCCAACGACAACAAACACACCCGCGGCCTTCCATGTGAATGGCTGAAGTCAGCTTTGGCAGCTCGCATCAGCTCACCCCAACAGCAGCTTCGTTAGCGGCACGGTTCGAGGCGCGAACGGAATCGCTCTCCTTAGCCGGCTGGCCTGGTTCGGTGGAGTATGCGCGGAAGCGAGGCGCGGCGACGGGAGCCCGCGCAATGGCGAGGGGTGCACGCGCACGGAGGGCTGGCCTGAGCAAACGGAGCGACATTGTGAGTAAGAGTGCGTTATAGAAATCCGAAATGACCTCGGCGATGTCATATCTCTCCTGGCCCCCCGAAGGGTCGGTGCCACTCGGATCAACCGTGGGCGCGGGACCAAATTGTCCGACTGCAAAGTCGGTCTCCGAAAGTCAACCGTCACTTCCTTCTCCATCTCCACCAAGATGCTCCGCTCCGCGCTCGCGACGTCCTCCCGCATCGGCCTCGACTTTGCGCTTCCCTCGCGAGGCTTTGCGACGTCGGCGCTCGCGCGCGCCGAGCGCGACGGCCCCCGCTTCCGCTGGAGCCCTCTCGACCCCGCCCCCTACCGCCGCTCAACGGGGCAAGCGGACCGCGCGCCGACGCACCAGCTCTCCGTCTTCTCGTCGCGCAACAACGTCATGCTCACCTTTTCAGACAGCGTCGGCCCCCTTTTCCCCACCATCTCGGGCGGCTCGGACACGACCTTCAAGAAGGGCCAGCGCGGCGGGTACGAGGCTGCGCACCAGGCCGCGCTCAAGATGTTCAAGAAGCTCGGCGAGTTTGAGGAGGAGTGCCGGACCCTGCGCCCCACCGAGCGCATCTGGCTCAAGGTCGCGTTCAACGGGTTTGGCGGGCAGGGGCGGGGCGCCGTCTCTGACGCCATCTCGGGGCCGGACGGCGCCGAGATCCGCCCCCTCATCTCGCGCATCGAGGACCACACGCCCTTCCGCATTGGCGGCACGCGCGGGCGCTCGCCGCGCCGTGTGTAAGCGGACGATTTTGGGATATAGGTGGGTTTGGGACGTGTTGCGCAAGCTGACAGCTGAGGCATGAATAGCATTGTTTGAGATGGAGGGGGAGGTGGTGCAGGTTGTACTGACGCGATCCTCGGAGAGCTGTCAGCAAAGGGGAAGTGATCATTGTGGTGCACGTCGTTGTGCAGAGCGCCCGGCAGGTTAGGTACCCCGCATGGGAACGCGGCGTGCAGCACATGATGTCGACTGAGAGGACCACAGATCATGAGCGTGCGCCTTGTTGCTGTCTCCCGGCGCGCGTTCCCTGCGGCTCTTTCGAAGCCCCTCGCTCTGCTCACCAGGCCGAGGGGTCAAAAAGATGCCAACATCCAACCAACCCAGCCCACCACAATAGGCGGCCGGGTCCTCGTCAGTTCCGTCTTTGCGCCTTACGCAGAGGGGGTATGCTTAGGGGGGACATGATCTACAGACGACAATGCATGGCCTGAATATTGGAACGCATGACCCACATGCGGAACCTAATTCTGTACCTGCCCAATTCCGACGTCATGTATTTATTCAGGCCCCCACGAAGATTTCTGAACCTCCACCCCACATGACTCTCGCTTTCTCATCAACATCATCCACCATGCCGACAGAAGCAGAACGCAAGCGCGAAGAGGCTGCCGCGCGTCGCCACGCGCGTCTGGATAATGCTGGCGTGCTCCAGATGTCCGCGGCGGGCGAGACGTCCATGGACAAAATTACGATTGTGCGTCTTGATGTGAATGAGCTGACCCCAGCTGCCGGGCCACGAGCCAGACTACTCTGCATGCACCTTCAGCCTGTGGGAGGAGGACCACACGCTAGGAAACGCGCTCCGGTGGATGATTATGAAGGAGTAGGTCGTGCCGCGAGGAGGCTGACCCCAGCCCCGACGTCGAGTACTGCGGATACAGCGCGCCGCACCCGTCCGAGCCCAAGATCCACATCCGCGTGCAGATGTACGACGGGCTGTCCGCCGTCGACTGCCTGCGGCGCGCGCTCGCCAACCTCCGCGACCTCTTCAACACCGTGCAGCAGCGCTATGCGCAGAGCCTGCGGTAAGTCCGCGCCCGGCGCGCCCGGCAGCCCGGCGGCGCTGACAACAGGAACGACGAGTATGTCCAAGAGGCCGATGTGGACGTGCACGAGGTCGTGGCGCAGACGCTGCGCGAGCGCGGGCTGCCCGTCCAGGGCGACGAGATGGACACGGCGTAATCTAGATGCATGTACTACTTATCGAGCTACCAGTCGTCGTCGGGCGGCGGGATGCCGCCGCGCCGCTGAGGCTCGTCGTCCGAGTCCGAGTCCGAGTCGCCTTTGGCACGCGCGAAGAGGTCGTCCATCGCCTTCTGCTTGCGCTGTTCTTCACTCATCACCGCGGCGGCAGGCACAAACTTCTTCTGCGCGGCCTGCTGCGCCGGCGCGGTGGAGAGGAGCTCCATGCCCTGCGGCCGCAGGCTGACGTAGCGCGGCCGGCCCGCCGCGCCCGCGAGCCACTCGCGTGCCGTCGTGGCCGGCGCGCCGTCGCGCGTCGGCACGTAGATGTCGTCCTGGAAGAACTGGGGGCGGTTGCGGGGCACCGAGAACGTGACTTCTTCGACGGAGCGCGCCGTCAGCCGCAGACACTTTGCAACCTCGACTTTGCGCACGTCGAGCGCGGTCTTGGGGAGGAACGCGACGGCGAGCTGCGGCGCGCCGGCGGTAAAGCTCGGCAGCTTCTCCACCACCTCCTTGCCGAGCGGGTCGATCTGGAACGCGAGGATGTTCTGCTGCCCCTTGCCCCACGCGTAGAGGATGTGCGTGTCCTCGTCGTACACCGGGAACAGGACGGAGGGGGAGACGTCGAGCGAGAGCGCTGCGATGCGCTCGACTTTCTCGTGGATGGCATACACGTGCAGCTGGCGCATGGAGCCGCGCCCGAAGCCGAGCGAGATCAGGTGCTCGCCCGCCCACGCGAGCTGCGCGGCGCGCGCCGAGTCGTGCGCCTGGCCCTCCACAAAAGCCCTGTCGCGGTCCCATACCAGGATCCGCCCGTCCTTCGTCGACAGGGCGACGCGCTGCCCGTCGTCGGAGGTAGCAAAGCCCGTCACGGCGGCCGGCAGGTCGACGACCTTGCTCTCGCTTCCCGTGGTCAAGTCGAAGAAACGGAGATGCGAAGCGCCGTGCTCGTTGCTCGCGACGACCAGCAGGTCGCGTGCGGTGGGGTGGAATGCGACATGTGCGATCCGCTCAACGCCGCTCCCGCGAACGACGGTCGGCTCGGGACCGGCGCCCTCGACGCCGTCGGCAGGCAGGTCCCACACGCGCAGGACACCATCCTCGCCGGCGCAGACTACACGGTCAGTGAACGGGTCGGCTGCAAAGTCGGCCAGCGCTACGCCGCCGGCCACGAAGCCGACGCCGCCGAACGGCAGGCGCCCCTTCTTCGAGAGGGGATGTACGAGGAGTCGTCCGCCGGGGCCTTGTACGGGGAAGAAGGCGAGGTGTGGGGACAGACGCAGGATTTGGCTGTCCTGGTGCAACGTGGCGACGGAAGGAATCTGGTCGTAGGTTGGGATGAGGGGCGTCTTGCCGGCAAGATACTTGCGTGACCAGCCGGGGTTGTATGATTTGTGAGCTGCTGAGTCGGGGGAGGTAGTCGCCGGGGCAGGAGAGGCGGCTTTGGTCGCGAGAGTGTTGGCAGTGAGGGAGGCCTTGGGAGAGGCGGTTGGGACGGGAGGAGATGGCGCCTTCTTGGGAGGCGGCGAGGGCGACCTCTGAGGCGAAGGTGCCTTCTGAAGCGCAGGAGAGGGCGGCTTCGGGCTCGATTGGGCCGTCGCGTATGCCGAGACGGTTGGAGAGGAGATGGCTCTAGCCGCGGGAGACAAGGCGGGCCGCGCCACGGGGGCAAGCAGCGGCGCCGTCGTCGTTGCAGCCGGCGTCGCCTTCTTCTCCTCCTCCTGTGTCTGCGGCTCCTCCACGCCAGTAACCTCGCGGTCCTTGCCATACCGCAGCCGGAGGACGTTGCCGGCCCAAGGTGCGCCGGCGTCCAGCACCCCGCCGGCCCACAGCTCGTATGACGGCATATACCGCTCCACGAAAGCATGTACTGCCTCGTCGCTCATTCCCTCACCCTTTTCGTCCTTCATCTCGTGCTCCTGCTGCAGCCGCCACCGGAACACATGCTCGTAGCTGTCCGGCTCGATTTGCACGACCGCGCTAAAGAAGGGGTACACGGCCTCGGCGAAGGCGGCGAGATACGTGTTCAGCTCGTGCAGCTCCTGCGACCCGTACTTCGGGAAGTACTTCCCGTCCTTGGCGGCGAGACGCGCGTCGAGCTCGGAAGAGGAGAGCGGGCCGAAGCCGAAGCTCCAACCTTCCAGGACGAAGATGTCCAGCGGGCCATCGACGCCGACAGTGCTCGGCGAGCGGTCGCCCTCCCCGCCACACAACGACTTGTCGAATACCGGCAGGTCGACGTGCCCCCGCGGGTTGATGTCCTGCACCTCCTTGAGCACGCGCGTCGCCAGCTCCACGTCATGTGTGCCGGGCGGCCCACGGCCCGTGAGCAGCGCGTTGTTTGGGCGCTCAGCAGCTAGCTGCTTTAGCCCCGCGTGCGTACGGTAGAGATCTGGCGTCAGCGGAGTTTAGCTGTGCAACGTACCGTCGAGCGAGAGCACGGCGACGCTGAGCCCCTTGCCCTCCAAGGACGAGACGAGGGAGTCGCACAGCGTCGTCTTCCCGCACCCCTGCGGGCCCTGGAGGCCGACCATCAGCGGCCCGGGGCCCGAGTGGCGCTTGTGCAGCGCGGCGAGCTTGTCGCTGATGATCCTGACCTTGTACGAGGTCGAGGTATAGTCCTCGTCGACCTCGAGAGGCGGAAGGCCGGGGACGGGGGTGACGAATTTGCGTGGTTGCTTGGAGGACGATGCTGGACGAGCGGCAGGAGCTGGGACGGGAGTGGGAGTGGGGATTGATGGCTTGGCGGATGACGCAGCCCGCGGCGCAGCAGCTGGCTGAGGAGGTGGTGCAGTCGTGGTCGGGGTGGGTACCGGTGCTGAAGCTGTAGCGGCAGGCAGCGCAGTAGCAGCCGTTGCATTCGCGGCAGTACCTGCCGCCACTCCACCAGGCATCGCCGCCGCCCATTTCGCCTTGCCGTCCTCCACAGACTTCTCCCACGCCCCGCGGCGCTCGGGGTCAACGTTCGCGTGAATCGGCGCCTTGTCGCTACCCTTAAGCCACTCGCTCGCACTCTGTTCCGGCACGCTGCCTGCCACATCAGGGAATAGATCCGCATGGTAGTCAATCAGGTGGCGCCGCGGCACCTTGATGCCGAGAGGGAGGAGCGTGTCTCCGCCCTTGTCCGTCGTGGGGAGGAGCAAGGTGGCGATCTGCGCTTCCATCACTGGCAGGGTGGACCAGTGCGCGGCGGCCGCGCCGCCTGCCGTCAGCGGCGCGGGCAAGTGGTGTGGCATCTCTTGGTATCCCTGTGGTCCAGAGAGCTCAATTTGACGCAGCGTCATGTCCCCGCGCCCCGAGGCGTAAACGATGCGCCGCTCCTCGTCAACTAATGGGACGAGGGGGCCCTGCGAGGTGTCGACCGCAGCGGTGAAGGCCGTCGAGAGGTCGGCGCTGAGAAGGGAGTACTGGCGGGTGCGGGAGCGCGAGAAGGATGTCACGAAGAGGTCTGGGCCAACGTACGCCGCATGAACCGGCTTCAAGGCCTGCAAGAGAGAGGACAGATCGCGGGTCTGCGTCGGGGCGGAGCCGGCGCGCGCGTCCCAGACATATGCGTGGCCTTTCTTGCTCACGCCGCCCACTAGGCGGCCATCGGGAGACCAAGATGCCGACCAGAGGGGCGCGGGGGCGTCGAGCGTCAGCGCGGCGCTCGAGGCAGCCACGTCGTAGACTGCCACGACGTTGGTGGCCGCGAGCGCGAGGCCTGCGGTAGTAGGGTGCAGCCGGATGCTGCTCGCCTTGCCTCCGAGTGTGAAGCTATGGCGCGCCTCCAGCTTGTCAGTCACTGCGTAGTAAGTTGCCTGCTGTCAGCTAATGTCTTCTGCTAGCTCACAGTGCCGTCATTCCCAGCGATCACCATTCCGCCATCCTCGAGGCGCGAGGCGTCCCAGTCTGCGACAGCGCCAAACTTGCCGGCCCAGACCTGCCCCTCGGACTCGCCGATCGCAGAGTACGAGCGCACGCTCGCATCGCCACTCGGTGCAAGAGTAATGATTGCCTCTCGAGTAGTCTTCACCAGGCCGCTGTACGCTGTCGTGTTGGGAGGCGCTGCCGAGGACGGCGGGAGGTGAGTGCGATACCATTCATCGCGTGCCGGGATAGCGGGGACGGCATTGCGAAACTTTGTCGCACCAAATGTGCGCGGTGCCATGATCGCTGGCAGCCGCGGCAAATGAGGAGAGACGAGGATAAGAGAGGGAGGAGAGTAGTGAGAGCGGGAGATGTTGAGCGACGAGGCGCGAGTTGATGACGAGGATTGGCGGGCCGAGCTCCGGGCGGAGCAGAGTGGCTCCGGGTGCGTGACTTTGGTCTCTGATGACGCCACAACATTGCTCCTGGTGAGAGTGGGCATTCTTCTTTACATCTCCCATGCTCTTTGCAAGACACGCATCTCGCATTCTCCAAAAGGCTTATCGCTACAACCACACAATGAGTGTCTTCTCCTCCTCGCGCCTGATCGGCAAGACTGGTGCGTGTCGGTGGGGAGGGAGGGACGATGAGGGGTGGTGACGAGAGCACTCGTCCGTGATGCGGAATATGTCCAGCTTACACCAGCCCTCATCACCGGCGCATCATCCGGTATTGGTGCGGCAACCGCCGAGCTCTTCTCCCGTGCGGGCGCCAATGTCGTTATCCTTGCCCGTCGGCAGGCGATGCTGGACCAGGTCAAGGCCAAGTGCGAGCAGGCTCACCAGGCGAACGGTTACAAGGACGCCAAGGTAGTAGCCTTCGAGATGGACATGACAAACCGTACCGCAATTGACGGGATTCTGGACAAGACGGGCGGGTTGCCGATCGACATGTAAGTGGCTGAGGCGCTTAGATAGCGGTGGGAAATCACTAGAAACCTACTGGCCCACCTGAGTATGTCGGTGTACTAGCTAACGCCAGCCTTGTCAACAACGCTGGCCTCGTGCGCGGGCGCGAGCAAGTCGGCGGTAAGTCATGGCCGCTGCGTGTGCTGACGATAGACATTTCGCCGGACGACATCGACATCATGTTCCAGACCAACGTGATCGGTCTCTTCCACCTCACCCAGATTCTTGTCCGTGACTTTAAGAAGCGCAACACAGGCGTGAGTGTGAATCAAGCTGTAGCACGGTGTTTCGATCCTGCTAGGCCAGCGAGCATAACGCTCCACGACGAGCTTCCTAACAAATCCTTGTCCCGTCCCGCTGACTCCAGTTCATCGTCAACCTCGGCTCTGTCGCTGGCATCGAGCCCTATGCCGGCGGGAGCATCTATTGCGCGACCAAGCACGCACTGAACGCATTCAGCGGCTCGCTCATGCGCGAGCTGGTCAACACCAACATCCGCGTGGCGGAGATTCAGCCCGGCATGGTGGAGACCGAGTTCAGCATTGTGCGCTACCGCGGCGATGTGGATCGCGCGCACAATGAGTACAAGGGTCTTACGCCGCTCACCGGTGAAGACGTCGCCGAGGAGATCGTGTGGGTCGCCTCTCGTCCGGACCACGTCCAGATTGCGCAGATCCTTATGTTCCCAAGCGCGCAGGCGAGCGCGACGGTCAACTACCGCAAGCCAGAGTAGCGAAGCAACCAGAAGCACCGGAAGGTGCGGTTCGTGGCGAGGGAAGCAGTGCGGTGGCCGAGATCTGAGGGGTTTTCTACAGCTCAGCAGCAAGTCGCGAATAGATAGCCGGTGGAAAGAGGGATGGAGAAACAACGATAAAAAGAGACGAGACGAACGCCAGCGCGTCACATCCCTGGCGATGACTAGATGGCGCCAGCGTGCACAACGACAAACATGGAGAGAGTGTGGATCTCGGGGGTGGCGGATGAGCTAGAGCCGGGAGCGACAGAGGGACTGACGGCGATCAGGGCCGGTGACTGCCCACAATATATCGACAATAATGAAATCTGTGGCGACACCTGCGATTCTGCGCCGTTGCTGCGTTGTGTATCGCCCTCTGATTCTGCCACTCCGGCAGCCATTGTCCTGCATCAGGTCAGAGCGGAGGTCAGCAGGGATGGGGGCACGGACAGGCCGAGGGTAGGCTGTGGATGTGGGCAGCGCCATTGTCCTCGGCCCGCCGCCATTGTCCGCAGTGGCGCTCAGGAATACAGCCCCCTCCTCGCCCCCTCGCGTCATATTTCTAGCTTACATGACCTGCCCGTCAGTCCTGCTCTCCATCCCATCCCTCCCTCTCCACAGCATTGTAGTGGTATGTATTGTAGTATTGTGGTGGAGCACCGAGCACACCCCGTGGGCCGAGCCCGGCGGTTGGCCTTGTGGGAATCGTGGGCTGGACCTGTGGACCTTGATCATTTTCGTGGCGCGTATTGTTAGTTTTTGAATGGGTGTGAGATATATCAGTGCCGCTCGCGCGTTGTGATGGAGAACCCCAGCTCGTCCGCCACCCACACACGTCGTGGAGTGATCGCGCTCTCGAGTCTAGTCATCATGCAGGTGAGTGACGCGACATTCTCAAACACTGGGCTGAATGAACCCAGGCACACAACGGACACCCACATCAACACCAGATTGCAAGGTAAGTGTGTCCAACATAGAAGCAGCTTCGGCGCCACCCCCGTGGCGCGGCCTCGGAAGTGGCGGGCAGAGAGCGGGGGAGGGGTGGGAATTCCACCTCCGCAGTGGCAGTGAGGAGCTGCGAGCGGGGGATGGAGAGCAGAGCATGGCGTGTTGCGACTGGGCCACTGGCCACGGCACAACAGCTTGCACAAAAGCGCGGCACAAAGGATGTCACTCGCGCACGGGCTCGTGGTCGCCCCAAGACATCGCCCAATCTGCCTCTGCCTCACCTCATCCTTCCACCCGTATCTTTGTGCATGCCACCGTCCGAAGCGGACGACACGCGTTTCACGCGCCGGCGCCATGCATCATCTCGTTGTCATTGCTTCGCCATTCAACAATCCCATCCTCATCGCCCTCGTCCGCTCCACTGCCTTGTTATATATCATCGCTGACTCCAGATATCCCATCCCTCCGTTTCCCTACAACCCCTCTGATCGTGAGTGGACATCTTTGGCAGGGCGAAGCTGACGCCAGCAATCTGGATGCCTACACCGCCCTCCACGCCCCACCCGCCAACGGCGCCGCCATCCCTCCCTCGCGTGAAGAATGGGATCACGCGCGCCTCGACGCCGTCCTTTCCCCCACGCCGGGCCAGTGAACCAGCACCCGCCACACCCAGGAGCGCCTCATCTTCTCACTCCAACTCCCGTTCAGCTTGCCTGCCACCACTCAGTGGATGGATGCTCGCATCAGCCAGGCACACCCCGGGCAAGCCGCACAGCCCGCATACAATCGAGAGTGTCGAGCTGCCGCCTCACGTGTTGAAGTTTATTCAGAGAGGATTTGGAATGCGTGTCGTCAGGAAGGACGGGGGCGGTGTGTGGGTCCTCAGCAACGCCGAGTGCAAGCGACTACTCGCCAGGGCGCGCTTGCGAGATGCCCAGAAGGAGGAGGAGCGGACCTTGGCCGCCCAACGGCGACTGGAGGGCATACAGCTCCGCACGCCTCCTGCCACCGCGCCGCGGACTCTACCGTCACCCACGACGACGTCGCCGCCAGCAGCACGCTGCCCCGTGCGCGTCACGCGCAGTCAAAGCAAGAGCAAGCCGTACGATCGCGCCATCGAGGCATAAGCCTCGGCCCTATACCTGGCAGAGCCGGCCATCAGCAGTTAGCATACCCTCACAATATACCGCGTTGTCTGTATTTGTCATTGTTCCGTGCATTAGTTGTGGTGATGAAATCCCTGCATATAGTCTAGTGCTTGGCTGGCCCGCGCCGCTTCGTCTTCGGGTACTTGACGGGCGCTTTGAGGGCGGCACGGCGGCGCTCCTGCGCCTGGCTGAGAGAGAGACCGAGCTTCTCACGCTCGGCGGGAGATGGCAGCTCGACACTGCACCCAAGCGATTTGTAGAACTCGCCCACCTTGGTGGGCGGCATCTTGAGGTCCTTGGCGACGCGGCCGACGTCAACCGTCCATCCGTCGGCGGCGAGGTAACACACACAGATCCACATGAGCAGCTTCTGCCGGCTCCGCTCCGTCACCTTGTACTTCTTGCCGTCGGGCTCGGCAAAGCGTGTCAACAGCCCCTGAAGCACCTGTGGTGGGATGCCCTGGTACTTGGACGGCAGGTCGGCGTTCGATGTCCGCTGCAGCGAGTGCGCATAGTTGTAGAACGACAGAAGACACGAGAGGTAGAAAAGGTAGCGCCTGGGGTTAGCGTATTCCCGACGTGTCATCTCACAGGTTCTGCTTGCGCACAGTCGGTGGCCCTTCCACGACGACGCGGAGCTTGTTCTCGATCCAGCGAGAATGGCGGAATGGCAGGCATGCGACGCGCTCCTTGTCGTCCTTGGCTTTGAGAATCTCAGCAACATTAAGCGCGCTCCACTCGTTGTCCGGCACGATCGACTCGCGGGGGTACACCTCCGAGACCTTGGTCGTGGTGAGGTTCGGCACGGGGATGACCTCTGGTGGGGCGGGGCTTTCGTCCGCGGCGGCCTTGGCCGCAATACTCGACACGAGGTCGGCGCGCACACTGCTCATAGCGTTCACGTCGACCTTGTTGCGCTCCTCGGCCTTAATCTGGCTCTTGGCCTTGCGCGTGCCAAACACCTCGCCGAGGTCGTTGCGCTGCGCCTTCCACTGTGCGTCCAGCGCTGCCGTCCCACTCGGCCCCAAGTCACGTAGCCGCTTGACCCGGTGCGCGAGCAGGTACAGTGGCGTGCTGGTAACGTGTAGCTTGTTCGTCTCCGGGTTGTACACCGCCGCGAGGTACTGACAGTCGCTCCCTTCGCCGCTGACCGCCCTGTCGCGGTTCGTGGAGAAGAACTCGACGTCCTCCGTCTCGCCCGCGATAAGCGTCCGCTGCTTCATTATGTCCGAGCTCGTAGGTGCCGGGTCGCGCGAGTAGATCGTGAAGGGCACCTTCCTGTTCGGCTTCACCGCGGGGAAGTTGACTGGTGGTCAAAAAGGTCTGGCGGCATAGCTCACCAAAGGCGGGCCCGGCACCGAGCGACTCAGCGATCTCGATCCGGACCTCGCCAGCGCTCCCCTCCGTCGCCATGGATTTCCTCTTCTTCGACTTCTTTGTCTCCTGCGACGACATGGCACTGGCTGGGGTGTAATGTTGTGGAGGCGAACGCACAGATGATATCGCGACCAAAATCTCATGGTGGGAGTGGAGGCCACGTGATAAGCACGTGGGCGCAAGGCGGAAAGTCCAGTCATCTGGCGACACAAACAAATCGCCCCATCGCATCCATCTCCTCACGGATCCTCAAGACACTCCGAGCACTCGGACGACATCACGCACAGCGAAATTAAGACATGGGCGTGCCGGGACTGTGGGACGTGAGCCACTCCGCCGGGATGGTGCTGACTCGCCCAGCTCCTCCGCCCCGCAGCCGTCCGCACCAGTTTGAATGCCCTCAGCCGCGATGCCTTCCTCTCCAACGCCAACGGCCTACGAGCTTTGACCATCGGCATCGATGCTTCGTGAGACGGCTCATTCAGCCCACACTGACATTAGTATCTGGATCTTCCATGCACGGACAAACCATCACGGCGCAAATGCTTACCTCCGCACACTCTTCTTCAAGATTGCGGCGCTGTTACAGCACCCCGTCCTGCCGGTGTTTGTGTTCGGTGAGTTTGCCGCAGGAACTTCCAGCGACGACTGACGTCTAGACGGACCGAAGAAACCTGCGATGAAGCGAGGTCAGCGGGTCACGCGCAACTTCGGTGTCAACGACGGCTACTCCCGACAATTCAAAGATCTGCTCGATGTCTGCGGCCTCGAGTGGTGGAATGTGCGTTAGAGCAGGTACATTGGCTGACGTAAGGCTCCCGGCGAAGCTGAGGCTGAGCTCGCGATCATGAACCGCCAAGGCAAGATCGATGCCGTTCTATCCGACGACGTCGACGCACTTCTGTTCGGCGCCAAATGCTTGTTGCGCAAGTGAGCCTTCCTTCTTGCGGGCAGCTTACAATAGTAACTCGCCCACTTTGTCTGGGGCTCAGGCTCCTGTTACTCAGAGTTCCTCCTCTCGGACCGACATGCGGCACTACGAAATGTATCGCCTTTCCGACATCGTCGCGGAGTGGACCCGCGTGCCTTCGGCCCTGCAGAACGAAGACGACTGTCGACGGGCGATGGTCCTTATCGCTTTGCTTTCAGGCGGTGACTACGTCCCAGAAGGAGTCGGGCGTGTGGGTGAGTTCACTTATCAGTTGCAAGCTGACGGCAGGCCCCAAGGTCTCCTTCGCCTTAGCCAAGGCTGGTTACGCCGATTTCTTGAAGCTTTACGCCAAGGAGCGACCACAGTTCGACCGAAAGGTCGCGCAGGTCCACGAAGAAATGCTTGAAGAGCTTGCAACCAACCGCTCGGGTCATATTGGACGGAGGATGAGGAAGCTTGCTGAGGATCTTGCCGGCGTCAACCTCATCGACCTGTTTCCGCTCGAGTGCTACCTGAACCCGGCCACCAGCCCTCTGGACGACCCAGAACAAGGTTGGCCTGGGTTTGGCAAGGGCGATAAATCGTCAGCTCGAGGGAAGGCCCGAAGCGCTGGCCGTGGCGACCTTGAAGGTATGGCGCGCGCATGCGAGCGCTACTTTGAGTGGGGCACCCGAGATATTGTTTGCAAGAAGTTTGCCGGCGACTCGGTGAACCTCTTTGGCGCCGAAATCGTGGCTGAGGCGAGAAGTATAGCCAGATCATCGACGCCTGTAGCTCCAGCTCGCTCCACCTGCCGACCCGGACAGTCTCCGGAACGCATCACTTCATATTTCTCCCAGAGCACAATCGCTACCTCGCAGAGGCAGAAGGGCGCTCCCGCGTCCAGCGCTCGTCACTTGGTGAAGATTCACTCGACGCGTCCGTCACCTATGTGCTCAGGACTTACCGAGTACCGACTCGAGTATCAGCCCCAGTGCTATATGGATCGCTGCCGCGCAGCGATGGACGGAAGCCGTGCCGATCCCTCCACGCTTTCGCCGGAGGAGCGCGTTTCGCTGGGAATGGTCGAGGAGGCCGCCGCACCAATTAACACGTCCGTCAAGGACGAAGTGCGCATCTGGTTTGCTGGTTATCTCATTCGTGCGGCATGGCCGCATCTTATCGAAGACTACGAGGAGGCAGAGGCGGCCAAGGCCGCGAGAAAGGCCGCGCCGAAGAAGACGAAGGCAGTGGCTCGCAACGGGCGGAAAACAGCGACCACGTCGACAGGTGATGCGAACGCGTTTGTGGACTTTTTCGCCCACCCACCTGCGACACAATCGGCGGTCCGAGAAGTCGAGCAGGCTATCATCAGCCAGCCCGTGCAGTCGCAACGCAGAAATGTCTCACCGCCGACCTTGCAGTCAACGCCGCCCTCCCCACATCTGCTTCCTAGCTCGCCGGTATCGAGCGAGCTTAGCGCAGCTCCATCCTCCCCAGCATCGAGCGCGCTGAGCGCGGCCCCATCCTCTCCCCTCACCCTCCTACCATCGTCGCCGCTCCCTGTCGCTCTGACTCTATCATCACCACCGGTGTCGCCGAGCAAGCGTGGGCGCTCTGCGCGCTCGCGACTGCCGTTGTCTCCGGGCTCTTCCTCGCGAGACTCCAGTCCCTGTCCCTCTCCAACATTGACAACGTTGACTCCTCGGCGCTTGGCTCGGAAGAAACGGAACGCTCCGCCTCAGCCATCGCGTCCAACGCAGGGCTCAGCAGCAGACCCAATCTGCCTATTGTCGTCTGACGAGGAGGAGCCGACCCCTCGCCCCCTTCGCACGTCCAGAGCTACCAACACGCGCTCAGCTGCGAGAACAGAATCGACTGCAACCGGCGATATTGCTAGAGCTGCCCGAGGGAAGCGTAATACAGCGGTAGTTGCGCCTCCGGCCGCGGGTTCTCAGCCTTCGAGACCTACCCGCACTCCTTCATCCCCACTCAGCGTCCCCTCACGAACTTTTACTACGAGTGTCCGTCCCACGTCTGCACGGAGCGAGCCTGTGCGCCCTCCCACCACACAAACTCCAACCCAGGGTCTTCTTGACTCGATGATTGTCGCGCGGGCGCGCAAGAGCCAGCCTGTAAATAAAGCCGCTGTCATTCCGGAATCCCGGGCTCCCAAGGCCCCCTACTTTGTCCTCTACGAGGACGACGATGGCTTCGAGCACATCGACCTCACGCAAGTCCGTCCCAAATAACAACTCGCGCTAGTCGTTATCCACTGTAACCATACCATCTTCTCATGCATTACTCAGCAACCTCATCCTCTTCGTCTTCTGCCCCCTTCTTCTTGCGCTTGTTGACCTTCTTCTTGCGGTTTAACTTACGCCTCCTCTCCTTCTCCCACCGCAGCTCCTGCTTGCTCCACGTGCGCGCCTCGGCTGCCAGCCTCTCCTTCCTGCTCAATCCTTCGGCCTCAGCCTTGGGCGTCGAATAGCTGCCATCGGCATTGGGCAGCTCGCCGCGCGCCCGCATGAGGTCTAGGCGGTCCTTGAGAATCTGGCGCGCGACATAACGGTTCTGCTCGCGGGATCGCGTCGGCTGCGCCTGCACGCGAATACCGGTGGGAATATGGACAAGGCAGACGGAAGAGTTGGTCTTGTTGATAGCCTGTCCACCGGGTCCTCGGCCTGGTGTCAGCCGACGGCGAGCAAGGCGGACTCACCCCGCACAAACTTCTCATCCAGCTCATGCTCTGGCAAATCCGGCACCTGATGCCGCCCGAGCAAGCGGTTCATCTGCTTGATGCTAGTCGGCACACGACGTGGTGGTGGCGGCGGCTTCGGCTCGGCACTCTCAGCGGCCTCCGCAGCCTTCGCATGCCGGGCGTGCGTGAAGTCCTATCGTTAGCAATGCCAGCGGCGAGAGGAAGCTAGACACACTCACGGGCACATCGACGAACACGCCGTCCTCAACCTCTTCGCCCCACTCAGCCTCCACCTCCTCGGCCGCGAAGAAGTCGGCCTCGAGCGCGTCCTGCCCGATCTCAACCGCCGCGTCGTCCTCCGCGCGCGACACACGCTCCGCCTTCCGGCTCATGCCGCGCCAGTGACTGCAGCCTGCGAGGGGGGCGGGGTGGAGGGTGGCGTGCGCGAGTGGTCGTCGCAGCGAGGTTGCGGCTACGCGCGCGAGACGCGGGAGCACGAAAGACATGGTGGTGGAGGAGAATGGTCAGTTGCTGAAACTCATCCACAGAAGCGGAAGAAGCTTGAGCCTGAACCATCCCTCTGCTCATGCAGAGAGCAGGTCAGCATGCCGCCGCATGCTCGAGCCGCCAGCCTGATGATGTCTGTCCGACTCCGCGGCCAGCATGCATGCGCCAGTTCCCACTGACTCTACTCGATGGCATGAAGATAACCATTTGAGGACTCGGCGGCGGCGGAACTGGCCGGTTGACTCGGCCGCCCACATTTCGACTCGACCTCCACCACGATTTCCGTTGATAATCTTGACTTTGCTCTCCCTCCTCCTCCTCATCCTGCTCACTCTCCCACTCGTCCATCCTCCATCATGACAATTCTAGGCCTCTCCGCAGCGGGCCCCTCTGCCCCTGCCCACTTCTCTCTTGAGGCCATCGTCCGCCCCAACATCCTCGCCCTGCAGCCCTACCGCTGCGCCCGCGACGACTACTCCTCCGGCATTCTGCTGGACGCCAACGAGAACGCGTACGGCGCCGCCCTGCCCGCCTCGTATGCGCCGCAGGCGGCTGCGCACGGCCTCGGAGCCGCGGCCGACCTCGCCGCCCTCAACCGCTACCCGTCGCCGACGCACGACGAGCTCAAGCGCCGTATTGCCAAGCTCCGCGGCGTGCCCGACGAGAAGTGGGTCTTCCTGGGCGTCGGTAGCGACGAGGTCATAGACATGCTCTTCCGCTGTCTCTGCGTGCCGGCCAAGGATGCTGTTATGACCACGCCGCCTACGTACGGCATGTACGGCGTGTGTGCGCAGATCAACGACGTTGGCGTGGTCAAGGTGCCGCTCGTGACGGAGGGCGGAGCCTTCCAGCTCGACGAGGAGGCGGTGAGTCGAGCGCCAGGGGAGCTACTGATAGCAGATGGACGCCGCGTTCAAGGCCAACCCTGGGCTCAAGATGGTCTTCATCTGCTCGCCCGGTAATCCTACGGGCACGCTCATCCCTCTCGACGTGATCAGGCGCGTCGCGTCCAACAAGAACTTCACGGGCCTCGTCGTCGTCGACGAGGCCTACATCGACTTCGGGCCCGAGGGCTCTTCGGCGTGCGCCCTCGTGACCGAGTTCGCCAACGTGTGCGTCATGCAAACGCTCTCGAAGAGCTTCGGGCTCGCGGCCATCCGCCTCGGCTTCCTCCTCGGCTCACCCGAGCTCGTGCAGATCCTCACCAACGCCAAGGCGCCGTACAACGTGTCCCTCCCGACCGCCGCGATCGGCCTGCAGGCGCTGAGCGACGAGGGGCTGGCCGTCATGGCGAAGAACACGCGCGTGCTGAACGCGAACCGCGACACTCTCATCGCCGAGGTCAAGACCATCCCCAACGTCGGCGAGGTGCTCGGCGGAAACAACGCAAACTTCATCGTCGTCCAGATCCTCACGGATGGCCAGCCCGACTCGGCGCGCGCAAAGGCTGTGTATACCGAGATGGCGGAGAACAGAGGCGTAGTCGTGCGCTTCCGCGGCACCGAGATCGGGTGTGAGGGATGTCTCCGCATCACCGTCGGCACCGAGGAGGAGAACAAGACTGTGCTCCAGCGCTTGCGGGAGCTGCTTGCGTAGGCGTGGCGGCGGACGCGAGGCGTAGTCTGTAGAGGATAGTAGAGGTCTGCATCACCTAGAGTAGCATGGCAGCACGGCCCACAGTCTACGCAACAGGTCACAACGATACAGTCTAATGCTCGCGCTTCTTCTCGGAGCGCTTGCGCGGTGCCCGTGGTGGCCGCGTCCAGAACTTTATGCTGCCTGAGCGACTGACGGTCGCAACGCTCTTCGGGCCCATATGCAGCGATGTCATAAGGTTTCCCTCCACAACACGCGCAAGCACAGGCTGGAGAAGTGCGACCTCGGTCTTCGGCGGCGCCGCATGGTAATGCGCGCCAGCAGGACTGAACAGCGTGAGGCTCGCGCTGCTCCCCGGGCCCGCGCCAAAGCGGCCGCTGCTGCTGTGGTGGTGCCGAGGCTTGCGGAGTGCGGCGGCAGAGAAGTCCCACAGCAACAGCTTGCCGTCCTCGCCGACCGAGCCGAAGCGGTATCCGCGCCCCGAAGAGCGCATGGTCGGGTCGAACGCGATGCACGTCACGAAGCCGGTATGGCCTTGGCAGCGGGCGACGAGGCGCGACTCGCGCGGCGAGTATATCGTCACGAGGTCGTCTTGTCCGCCGACGGCGACGAAGCGCGAGTCCGAGCTCCACGCCACGCATGTCAGGGCCGCAAAGTAGCTCTCGAAGACGTCCGTCACGCGGTTCTCCTCCGTCTCGAGCAGGCGCAGGAGGCCGTCTTTCGTCGTGATCGCCAGCCAGCGCCCGTCGGGCGAGTATGCCATTGCTGGAGTCAGCGAGAACAGAGGACAGCTCACCAGTGATCGGCGCGCCCGCGCCGAGACGCCCGACGCTCAAGGGGTTTCGGCCGGCCCACGGCTGGCGGATCGGCTCGCCCCGCCGCTCCTGCTCGACTGGGTGGTTCCACTCGTCGTTCTTCCACTCGATCACGCGGTCGAGGTATGGACGGCGGTCGGCGATGGGCTTCTCGAGCCCGACCGAGCCGCGGCGCTCGACGCCGCTCGTGCGCCGCTCCATCGCCGTCCCGTTCCCGTTCCCGTTCGTCTCGCGCTCCCGCGCCTCCCGCTCCCGGTCTTGCGCCGCATTCACCGCCTCCTCCGCTTCGGCGGTCTCCCACGCCGTCACCCACGGCCGCGGCACCGCCGTGATCACGGCCAGCGCCGCCTCGTTCGGATCCTCCGCGAACAGATGGTACTGCGCGATCGTGTTGTCGGCGAACAACACGGTGAAGCGGTCGCCGCCGCGCGGGTCGAAGTGCACCGAGGCCACCGCACTCTTGATCACCTTGCCCTACCGTCAGCGTTCCTGTGATTCTCGGTCTGTGCATTTGCAGATGCGGCATGTTGCGGTGACTCCCAGGCACTGATTGAACATGAGCGCGGCGAGCGCGTCAACGCCTCGATGCCTCGCGCCGCGCTAGCATTGCGCCTCGGGCACGGCCACACTCACCGCGACGTTGAACCGCTCAGTGCGGTCGTTGATAAAGTCAAGATACACCAGGTCGCCGGTCTCAAGACCGACAACTATGTCCTGCCTATCCGGCCCGACGGTGAGTTGCGATATCGCATGTGCCGTCGGCGGCTGCTGAAACACGACCGTCGCGAGGTTATCCTTGCCGTTAGCGTTATCGCCGTCCTGACTCACAGCAACCCCGCCCTCTTCAGCCCACACGAACAGGCGGCCCATGTTCCAGAACGCCCAGCGCACACGCTCGCCGCCGTTCTTGCCCTTGTCGTCCATGATACTCCCGAGGTTGAGGTTTGGCGACACGCGGGTGATGATGCCCCCACGGCTCGCGCTGAGCGTCTTGCCCTCCTTGCGCACCTTCCTGTCCTTGCCGAACTTGCGGGGCGGCTGCGCATGCGTCTCCGGCCCCTGGTTTCCCTGGTTAGCCGACGTGGGTGCAGGCCGGTAGTCGCTGTCGGCCTCGCTCTCGGTGTCGGAGAACTCTTCGTCGTACAGCGGCGGCGCTTCGTCGGGCGCCTGCGCGGCGTCGGGCTGCGCAGCCTTCTTGCCCAGACCGAGGCGGACGAGCGCGCCAAAGCTGCTCTCCTTGCCCGCCACGCGCCCGGGATACCACACATCGGCGAAGACGAGGCGGCACGGATGCCCTGGCTGCCACTGCCCGTTGACGAGCGTCGAGCCGGAGCTGACGGCGAAGACGTTGGGGCTGCTCAGCGGGGGCATGGGCACGAAGCTTGGCCCCGCCATCCCGAAGCCGCCTGCGCCGTACATCGCTGCTCCGGCTGGGACTGCACCCGGACGAGGGACATCGTTCGGCAGAGGACCGGGCACTTCGACTTCGGGGAACGTCCCCTTTGCGAGAGTGTAAGGACCCTCGGGGGCGTGCAGGACATCTGGGAGATCGGGTGCGGGGACGACGGGGACGCTTGGGAGGAGGGGGCGCGGGGGTGGGAGGCGGGGGAGGTAGGCTGCGGGTGGGGGGATGTAGAGTTCCATGATGGAAGAGATGGAGTGAGAGGAGATGAGAAGAGAGCGAGTTGATGGCGATGGTGAGTGGGCTCTGGGCTTGGTCGGCCCGTACATGCCGAAAGTCACGTGCGTCATTGCTCCCCACAGCCCCTCTTTGCTTCTACATCTCCGTCGCTCCTCTTCATCACACCACGAGTTGCCGCTATCGCACCGTCGCTATCACGCTGGGGCCGCTCGCTGCTCGCTAAAAACACCGCGCGGCTGCGTCATCGCCGGAGATGCGGCCCCGTGGGATTCGCTGGGTAACGCGGGGTACCCCGGAGAGCGAGGCGCGAGCGTGAGGGATATCGCGATTGGTGGCCGATGCTGCCGAGATGGAGATTGGGGTGGATTGTGGTAGTACCCAGTGCGGTACGCGATGGAGAAGAGAGCGAGGTGCGTGGGGGCGTGGAGGCGAGTAGAGAGGCGCCATCGATCGCTGGTCAGTGCGGGTCACCCAAGCAGCAGCGAGGCAACGTGATGATGCGCCGAACAGAGGTCCGAGATGAGGGCTGCACGGCGCATGTTTTAGTCGCAAGAATACGACAGGATACTCCCAGATCCATGCTAATAGACAAGATTCTGCAGCTCGTCGTCAAGCGATATGTGGTGAGACGCCGTGCAGTCAGACCTAAATCATGCGGCGACCAAGAGCAGCCAGACGAGGTGACACTGTGCCTTCGTGATATGGCTAGAAGTCAACTCTTGCGGCTGCTGCAGCTGGCCCAGTATCTCTGGACAGTGGTGTAGAGCACTTCGCCTTGGCTGTGAAGCAAATGCAGTTGAACTGTTGTGAGCTATGGTCAGCTGTAGGAGCTTCCGACACGAGTCGCCCGGCCGAGCCTTGTGATCGATAAGCGCCGCTCCTAAACCATGCATCCGTCGTCCGTCGCATCATGCATCGCCGCCCAGCCCATCGCTCGCGGCGCTCAGAGAGGACACGATGAACATGCGGAGAGCAAGTGCAACGGAACGCCGGTGACGGACATCCCCAGATCTCCGCGGATGCCGAAGCCGACGCCGACCACTGGGAGGGTTTGGAAATAATCTCTTGGCCGCTTCCGACTTCCGTCTCCTCCTCACTCGCCACCATGTTCAGGCCCACCACCCTCCTCCGCCGCGTCGCCGCCATCGCTCATACCAAGGCCCCATTGCCTGCCCGGCCACTGCTGCGGGCCTTTTCCGCGACAGCTGGTATGTCAGCAATTGCCTCTCCTCTCCCTCCACCTTGAGCCCTCGGACCATGATGTGGCCAAGAAGGGGCTGGAAGACGCAGAGGGCCTCCACGTACATCAACATTACTGACAGCAGTCACCCGCCACGGCGACCTTGTGCGGCCAAAGCCTGGGACAGGGTGAGTTGTGATGCACAGCTCTATGGTGCGGAACCCGCTGACTCCAGCATCAAAGTCACCTACACCGACTCGAAGGGGAATGTGATCAAGACGATCGAGGGGAACGAGGGGGACGACCTGCTGTCTCTGGCGCACGAGCACGACATTGACCTTGAAGGTGAGTGGGTGGCGAGGGAGGCACAGAGGCAGAGAAGTGGACAGTGGTTGCACTAGCCCATCCGCGCCCCGCGTCACGGTGCACTGGCGTCGCCAACAGCCGCTCACCCCAGGTGCATGTGAGCGCTCCGTCGCGTGCTCGACCTGCCATGTTATCATCGACCCCAAGTTCTTTGACAAGCTTCCGGAGGCGGATGACGAGGAGAACGACATGCTGGATCTTGCATTCGGGCTCGAGGACACGTGAGTATCGCGCAAGTGTCAATGCAGTGAAGGCAGCTGGACGGGACGGTGCGAAGCCCCAAGCGTCTGATTGTGCCGCCCGTGCCGCCTAGTTCGTCAGTGCTCTTGCGGAACTCTCGAACCGAGTCACCTCTCTTCTGTCTCTCTCCATCCTTTCCTCCGTGCTGCCTCCCAAACCCCCCTAGCGCCCTCGGCTTGCCTCGCCCCGAAACCCGCTGACCCCAGCTCCCGCCTTGGTTGCCAGGTGTTGCTCACGCCTGAGCTGGACGGCATGGTTGCGCGTTTGCCGGCTGCGACGCGCAACATGTATGTTGACGGTGAGTCGAGAGCGGGCGCGGGAAGCTAAGAGCAGGGGCGAAGGCGCGCACGCACTAGATGTTGTTCGAGTATGCATCACCACTGTAATGACGGCGGCGGGGAGGACGGAGGGGGGGGGGGGGTTGCAGACCGTTGGCCGAGGTGGTTTGTCACCACGGATTGAAGGGGCTCGAGTGGCTGATCTAAAAAGGGGAGTGTGGGCTACAGTTCGAGATGGAGCAACGGTATCCTCCATCGTAGTGACTCGGGGGCTCTTTCATACGAAGGCGCTTGTAGCCATCGTCGCACCACAGGCGCCGCTCCGCTTTCGGAGCACATCTCGGAGCGGAAATCGGGTTCAAATGGGAGGACCAAATATCTTCCAGTCACAACAAGAATTCGGTCTCCTCATCTCGCGTTCAGCAACCCCCACTCCTCCATCAAGCATCATGTCGCACCCACCACATACACCTGACCCCAACCTCCCCGCCGCCCTCACCCAGCTATTTGCGGAGGGTCAGCACTTTCTCAGACCCTCAGAGGACATGCTCATGGATTCGGGCCTCGAAGACTCGCAGACTGTCGCGGCCATTGCGGCAGCCGCGGCGGAGCAGGCCGCGGAACACGCCGCGGCGCAGGAGCAAGTGGGAGAGGGGCAGGAGCAGCACCAGGAGGCTGAGCAGCAACATCTGGAACAACAGCATCTGGAACAGCAACATCTGGACCAACACCACTTGGAGCAACATGACATGCAACAGCAACACCAGGACCCACCCCACCTGGAGCAACAGCAGCATCTCGACCACCAGCAGCTGGAGCACTCGCAGGAGCTCCTTTCCGACGGGATGATAGACCTCCCGCCGCCTGAAAAGCAGAGCTCGCTGGAAGTCCTCGCGCTGTCCCTGCGTTCCGAGAACGACCGCCTCCGTCGTGCCGTGACATACCTTGAGGCGCAGGGCTTGGGTCTGGAAGCGCCTCTTCCCAACCTCCCGCTCGAGATGGACGTGGATGACCTCGGTATCAGCCAGCACACGCTGCGCGAGCTCGCGAGCGCCGCTGCAGGCGAGTCGTTTCTCTCCCTCGAGAGCCTGCAGCACCTCCAAGTCGAAGAGGAGAACCCAGCCAGCATGGCCGACTTCCTCCACGGCCTCGTGGCCCAGGTCACCGTACCGCGTGGCGGGGAAGCGCGTGTCAAAGTCGACCCGTTTGAGGTTGCGCGGAAGGGCATAGAGGCAGAGATTGCTGCAACACGAGCGGCCATTGCTGAGAAGGAAGCGGAGATTGCGGCCGCCAAAGCCAACGGGAGCGACGACAAGGCGAGAGACGCCAAGCCGCCGCAGGACCAAGCCACTCTCGAGGCCCAAGTCACCAAAGTCACGTCTGCGCTTGACGCTGCGCGCTCTCGCGCGACAGTGCTCCGCGACGCAGTGCTGCGCGTCCAGAAAGAGCGGGACGCGACCCGCCTAGACGTGTGGGGCATGGAAGCCGAGCTCGCCGTGATGGGCGACGGCGGGCGCGCGGCCGCGAGCGTACGCGCGCTCACCGAGGTGCGGAGCTACCTCGAAGACGTGTTGAAGAACTACAAAGAGGTGAGTGCGCGCGCGGCGTCGCTGACGACAGAAAGGCAAGCTGCCGGCGCCGCCGCTGCCGTCGCTCGCGCCGCTCATGCTCGCGAGCATGGCGCCGCCGTCGTCGCTCCCGAAGAAGCGGGGGCGGCCGCCGCGCAGCGCCACACGGACGAGCATCGTGCCGGCCCAGTTGGCGCATCTCGTGCCTGAGGCGGACGAGGTGGCTGCGCGCGCGGAGCACGCGCCCATCCGGCGCAAGGGCGTGAAGCGGAACAAGGTCGAGCTTGAGCGCGAGGCGGCGCGCATCAACGAAGAGACGGAGATGATGAAGAGCCTCGCGCGCATGGGCGTGTGGAAGGGCGACGAGTGGGTCGAGGGGGTGTAGTAGGCGTCTATCTTGTATGCAAGTTGTATAATGGGACCTTGCCCGCGGTTATTGCATCGCTGTGCTCGCTGTGCTCGCTGTGCTCGCTGTGCTCGCTGTGCTCGCCATTGACAGCGGTGAGAGGTCTGGGATGAGGATATTTGCCCCCGCGACGCGTTGAATTGCCACCCAACAACAAACGTCCCAACTCGTTCCTCGTCTTCGCCCAACTCATCTCCGCCATGTCATCCGCCGAGCTCGCCCACCTCTTCCCCAGCGCAACGCACCCCGCTCTTCCCGTCGCCGCGTCCATCCTCTCGACACTCCGTGCCCTCACCGCGCCGGGCAAAGGCAATGATCTTCGGCCAGAGGAACGCACCGCTCTCGTCGGCGTCGCCGCGCTCTTAGCATGTGAACGGTACGCCGCACCCTTTCTCTCCCCCCTCCGCTAACCCCAGCGTCCACTCAAACGACCTGGCCCCGTCCGCCGTGCAGCGCGCGACCTCCGTCGCGCCCGCGCACTTCAAATCCGCGCTCGCGCGCGCCCGCACCCTCCTCGCGTCACCTTCCCTCTCGTCCCCCGCGTCCTCGCGCTCCAGCGCGACCATGACTCCCCCGACGCCCAGTATGCGCCTCGACCCGCTCTCGCCGTTCATGACGCCGCGCAAGAAGTTCCGCGCCACGAGCGCGCGCGATCTCTCAGGCTTGCTGACGCCGCACAAGCACTCGCCGGCGGCCAGCAGCCCGCTGCGCACCGCGACACCGCGGAAGCGCGGCGCGGAGGAGGAGGAGGAGGGGACACCGAGCAAACGGCCTAGGGGAGAGGGGGAGACGCCGCGCGCGCGAGACGTCGGCGATCCGCAGACGCCGAGCCGGAATCGGCGCGCCGGCGCTGCCGCGTTCTTGGCGCTGCGGCCGAGGCAACCGGACCTCCGCGGAGTGGAGAATGGGGAGGGGGAGGGGGTGCAAGAAAAGGAGACTGAGAATGGGGAGAAGGAAGGCAACGGGCCGCCTCTCGCGCGCCCCGACCTCGATGCCGAGATCGATAATCTGCTGGGTCGGCGCATCCGGCGCCGCCTCCGCCCTCGCCGCGACTGGACGTTCCGTGAGAATGTGTGGGCGCCAGACCGCGAGGGGATGGAGCGTATCCTTGCCGCGGTCGACATGACTCCCAAAGCCAAGACCAAGGGCAAGGGCAAAGCCAAAGCCGCCGACTTTAGCGCACAGCTCGTGGCCCTGCTCGCGTGATTACATGTGACATTATAGAAGACAACTGTATCAGAGAACTGTATCAGAGAAGCTTGGAGAGGATCCTGTAATCTGGCCGGCGCTGCTCGCCATCCGAGTCGACGTCCTCCCACCCGCCCTCCTCCGCTATGCGTGTGGGATCGATTTCGTCGGGCGTGTATCCGGCCTTGGCGTAGAACGCGAGGGCGGCGGTGTTGTCTGCGAGCGTGAGCGTTACCTTGGCACTACTCACTCGCCAGACATGTGAGCATGGCCTTGGCCATGCCGCGCTTGGCCCCGATGCCCTCGAGCTCGGCCATAAGGAGGGCGCCGAGGCCCGCTCCCCGCGCCCGTTCCGTGAGCTGCAGCTCGTAGCTTGCGTCAGCTCTTCCTCCCCCCCCCTCCTTCGTACCAGTACACAACCTCGACGTCGTCGGCGCCCATCGTGTCCTCCGTGTCGAAGCGGAAGCTCGCGAACCCCACCAGCTCGTCGCTGACATCCACGTCCTCCTGCCGCCGCCTGGACACTCGCGGCATGGCGCCGGGCATGCGCCCCGCGCGCGCGAGGAGGAGGTAGCGCGCGTCCGGGTCGAACATTTCCGCGAGCTTGGCGGCGCGGTCGTGCGCCATGCTCGTGCCGGCTGCGAGCGGGGCCATGTTCTTGTCGAAGAGCGCGTAGAGCGCCGCCTTTGTGCGTGGGGAGAGCGCGGACGCGGGCGCGAGGAGAAGGGAGAGCTCGCCGAGCGGTGAGGGCAAGGCGCGCGGGAGGTGCGGCGCGAGATCGAATGACGGCGCCTGGGTTAGTCATGCCGAGGGGATGACTTACGGCCGACGCGGAACGGACGGCGGGCGTGGCCATCGCGGGGTGGAGAGCGGGGGGGGGAGGGGTATCAGAGTGAGAGAGAGAGAGACGTGAGAAGATGTGGACGATGGGTGGCGACTGCAGGAACGTTTGGAGCAAGCGGAATCACCGGCGACTATTTGGCGTCAACAATTCGGCGTCATCCACTTCCCTCCAACTTTCTCCACGTCCTCTTCCACGTCCACCACACTCCACGCCATGCTCCCGTTCTCCACGCTCCTCCTTCGGAGCTACTACGAGGCCATTGGGTGGAACGAGGACAACCTCTACTCGAACATTACACGGAGCAGTGCTGGTGCGTGACACCGTGGTGCAGGGCTGACGGCAGCGTTGTTGTGAGTCACCGGCCCGGTGCAGCATCACGTCTCTGCAACTGCTGTGGCTAACGTATCCACCACTCACCACCAGAGACTTTGCGGTGCCCAACTCGCTCATTTTGCAGCTTGCCAACGCGCCCACGCCCATCTTCTTCACGAGCTATGCGCTCGACGCGCTGCCGCAGCTCAACGGCTCGCTGTCGTACATCACAACCAGCGAGCCCTTGACCGTGAGCCACCCTGCGGTGCTAGTGCTCACGCAGATCGGTCCCAGCCGCACCATGCCCTTCCGCGACGTCGTCGAGCGCTTCCGCCACTTCCCGGCGCCGCGCCGGCCCGAGGGCAAGCCCGAGCTCTGGCTCGGCGGGCGGCGCATCGAGGGCCGCGACTTCCTCTTCTACTCCCGCATGCACCTGCCGACAATGCACCTCTCCGGGCTGGCAGTCACGCGCCTCGCGCCGACGCTACAAGCGCACGTCGCGTTCGTGCACCAGCCGCAGCGCGTGCGCTTCTCCGCGCCGACGGGTAAGGCGGCTGCCGTCGCGCCGTCGTCGCCGCCGCAGCCGCCACCCAACTTCCTCGTGTCCCTGCAGCACGACACGGGCATGTACAGCGGCGAGTACACGTACTCTGCCGCAGACGGCATGTTCGGCGTGCGCGGCCTCTACAACTTTGGGTGGGCGTCGGCGCCAGAGGCGCCGGACGTGCGCGGCCGCTTCTCCGCCGGCGGCGAAGTATATCTCTCCGTCAAGCAGCGCAGTGCAGGCAGTAAGTGGCGGCACGGGCACGCTGACGCAGTCTCTACGGGTGTGCGGTATACCTCGCTCCCATCGGCGTCGGGCCCGCCGGCGCCGCCGACGACCATCACGCTGCTGTACAACCCGTTGATCGGCGCGCTGTCCGCGTCGTATGCGGCCCAAGTCTCGCCACACGTGAGCATGGCCACGCGTTTCGGCGTCAACGTCTACAGCTACGAGAGCGACTTTGCGATCGGCGGCGAGTGGTGGGTCGGCCGGCGCGGGCGGCAGCGCCAGGTCGAGCTGTCGCCAGAGGCGCGGCTGCAGATTGCGCGGCACGCGGCAATCGGCGGCCGGCTGCGTGAGGAGCCGGACGAGGTGCGGGCAAGTGCGGGGGGCGTGGGCGGAGCGGGCGCGGGCGCGGTGGGTGGAGTGGGTGATGAAGCCCAGCTCGAGGCGCAGGCGAGGCGGGACGCGCGCGTCCTCGACGACCCGGACGAGCGGGACGGCGTGCTCAAGGCTCGGTTGAGTGGGAACTGGAGCTTGGCGCTGCTGTACGAGGCGCGGATACGCAAGTGTCTCGTGTCGGTCGGCCTGGTGTCGGACGTGTTTGGCGGGGCGGGGCGCGCGATCCGCGGCGTCGGGCTCGAGGTGCAGTACTACTCGTAGGGGTGGACGTGGGCCTTGCCCAGGCCGCGCGGAGAGCCAAGATCTACAGACTGAGGCACTACGTCAGCGCCAGTTCGGCGCTCAACTGAAATATCAGACACTCGGCCGCCGGACCCCGGACGCGCCACCCATTCCGATTATGACATACATCTCTATCGTGATCTCGCCAAGCCTCGGATAGATAAGATTAATAGACCTGCAGATCTCTGGTCCTCCGACTCGTATCTCGTCGATCACCACCATCTACGCGCCGCGCTCTAGTGCTTCATCTCGTACTCGTTGTGGCTCGCGGGGTGGGTGAGCAACTCGGTCGCCTCATGCTTGTCCGGGAACCAGCGGCCGATGGGGACGATGCTGAGGATGCCGAGCGCGATGATGACGGGCACCATCTCGAAAATGGTGAAGAGGGTCTGGTTGCTGTTGGCCTCGCCAAAGTATCCCTCGCACTCGACGGCGAGACGGTAGACGGTACGGAGGAGGATGAACATGGCCGCGGCGAAGTTGGCCCACAGCAGCATACGGAGGTTGCGGAGCATCTTGCCGTGCAGCCCGAGGCGGGGGACGCGGGTGATGGCGATGACGAGGAGGACGATGAAGGCGGAGAAGAAGGCGGTCTGGACGGCCAGACCGGCGAGCAGGATGTGGCCAGCCGTGGTGACGGTCATGGGGGGCTTCTCGCCGCGGTTCGACTTGGTCTGCACGACGCCGACCATGGCCGCGCCCACGACCTGCACGGCGATGGTGACGATGTCGATGAAGACGAAGACTGGGGTCAGTGGGGAAAAGCGGGGGCGGGAGCAGGGAGCGGGGAGCAGAGGGCGACTCACGCGTTACCATCGTCTTGGGCTTGAGGACCAGCAGGCGGCGACCATCGGGCCAGCGCGCCGCGGCGTACGTGAGCACGAGGTAGATTGCGGCTGCGATGGGAATGGGCGCCTGTCGTTAGTTGGAGTGGGAGGGGTCATGTCAAGCACAACAACTTACAACAACAATGAGGAAGTAGGACACGACGAAGGTGTTGACGAGGAACATGTTCTGGTGGCCCTTGACGCGCGCGGCATAGCCTCCGACCTCCATGAGCTGGTGGTTAGCGGTGCTTGGCGATGAATGGAAGACTTACCGCACCGAACGCGAGCAGGCCGTGGAACCACTTGGTGCGGCGGTTACGCTTGAACAGGTACCATAGCTGGACGACCATGAAGATGGCGAAGACGACCGCACCGATGATGCCGGTGGCCATCCATGGGCGGTAGAGGTAGATGGAGATGCGGGCCTCGCCGTCGGGGGGGTTGGGGTTGGGGTTGATGGGGCCGCGATACTCGGGGATGCCTGGGATGACTGGGCGGTCCATGGTGGTGGGGGTGGTGGGGATGGTGGAGAGCGCCGAGAGGAGTAGGAGGGGCAGGAGGAGGAGGCCAAGAACGAGGACGAGAAAGAGGAAAAGTTAGAGAGCGTGGATAGATAAACAGAGGGTGAGGCTGGCGAGGAGCGCGCGATAGGAAGGGATAGGGAGCGACTGCGAGCGCGAGCGCGTGGGACAACGAGTGGAGCAAGAGCACGACGACGACAAGAATTGTTTGCTGCTCGTCATCATTCACGCTCCTCTCCATGCCGCCACCGCAGTCTCTTTCCGCCCAACCCGTGCGTGTCACAGGGCGTGTGCCTGCCAAGAGTGGTTTATCCACTTTCTCTGCAAAACTCCATAAAACTGTTGCTCTCGTCTCGCGTCAGCATTGGCTCGTTTCTTATTCCAGTATGCGTCATAGATCCTCATTGATCTCCCACTCGGTCTAGACCCATGCACCTCTCTCTCTCTTTCGTCTCTCCTCTCCCGGCCCCCCTCTCCCTCTCCCATGCCGCCGTTCGCCAAGCGCAGCACCCGCCCCCGCCGCCGCCCCCCAGGGCTTCCGGCCGCCGGGCATCTCAACTAACCGCTTTACACCCGTGGGACTCGCTCCCGTTCTCTCTCCAGCTCTCTCCAGCTCCCGCGCGCTCTCGCTGTAATCCTCTGCATTGCGTCAGTATATATCTAACCATCAGCATCCGATCGTTTACGCCCACTTGTAATGATACATGCATCTATCCAGGCACCACTAAATGACCCCTCCCTCCCACTCACGACTCCATCTGCGAAAGCGCAGCCTGCGCGAGTGTCATGTCCAGCGCGCCGCGCAACGTGACCAGTTCGCGCTGGAACGCGAGCTCACGCTCAACCCGCGTCGCGAGCTTGCTCACGAGCTCGTCGACGAGCGGCGAGTGGCCGAGCTGCGCCGCATACAAGTCGAGCACGACGGCCGCGACGTCCGCCGCAGCCTCGCCGAACCGGGGGTCCGTGACGTGCCGTGCGAGAAACGCGAGCACAGGCTCGAGCGAGACATCGTCGCGCCCGCTTAGGGCGATGCGCAGTCCGTCCCGCTGCACAAGCTCCTGGATGAGGGCGAACGTCGTCGTGGGCCGCACGGTCTGGGATTAGCCTGCTTCCTCAACACAGCCTACCTTCTTCAACCCCGCATCCAGGGCCGCAGAGTACTTGAACGCCTTGAGATATCTGTCAAACTCGCGGAGGCGCTCGCGGCGGCGCGTTTCGACGCGCACCTCGTCCGCCGCGGCGAGGACGGGCACGTCGCGCCGCTTCGCCTTGATGTGTCCGCGCCCGAACACGGCCTCCATGTCCGCAAAGTAGTCGTATGCGCCCGACGCTATCACGGCCTGCTTGGCGTCGTGCGCCGCCGCCTCCGACGCCTTCGGGTCGCGCCGGCGCACGGACAGCGTGCCGTCCGTCATGCCCGCGGCGATGTGCGTGTCGTCCGGCGAAATCGCGAGCGACAGCACCGGCGCAGGATACCGCATCGTGTGCACGACCTTCCACTCGGCAACGTCGTACGCCTTGACCATGGCATCGAGGCCGGCGGTGAGGACGCGGCCGCGCGTGCCGTCGAATGCGAGGCTCGTGATTGTCTTCTGGTGGTTCGAGAGAGCGCGGAGACAGCGCCCCATCGCCAAGTCCCAGACGCGCAGGATCGGCCCGCCGGCAGACAGCGCCACGCCGCCGGATGGAAACACGGCCACGTCCTCGACGGGGGCACCGCCGTGCCGCATCGTGAGCGTGTTCGCCTGGTCTGGCGGCAGGCGCGCGTCCCATAGCCGCACCGTAGAGTCATACGACGACGAGAGGATGGTGTGCGGCGTCGCGAACACGGCAGCACGCACGTAGTCGGTATGCCCTTCAAATGTATGCAAGCATTCCTGCGTCGTCACGTCCCACACCTTGACTGTCCGATCGTCCGAGCCCGACAACACCTGCGGCAGGTGTGGTGAGAAGTGGGTCACGTGAACAGGCCTCGTCGATTAGTATTCATAATCTCCACAACACCCACTGATTGTGCTCCTTCATGGTGCGGAGGACGGCGCGCGAGCCCACGTCAAAGATCTGCACAAGGCCGTCGTCCGAGCCGGCAACCATGAGCTTGCCGTCCTTCCTGAACTCGCCGCAGCGCGCCACATCCTTGAACCGCGTGACTGTCTTGACGGGCTTTCCCGTCTTGGGCGCATACACGATCACGCGTGTTGATGCGGTAGCAGCATAGCGGTGGGGCTTGGAGGGCGAGAAGTGGATGTGGGTGACGGGCGCGGCGTGCTTGATGAAGAGAGGGTGTCGGAACGAGTGGAAGTGGCGCGAGTGAGGGTTCGTGGATGACGAGGCGCGCGGTGCGCTCGGCAGCGCCTGGAGCGGCTGGAAGTCCATCGGGGGGAGGGGAGTGAGGTGAACGAGGAGGTTGTTGAGGTCAGTCACGAGAATGGACCTCCACTCGGAAATCTTGAATGGAGGTGGAGGGGGTTACACGTCATTGTTGTGTGTTGTAATGGCTATTAGAAAGGGCTTATCAATTAATAGGTTTGCCCATTTCAATTTGCGCTGTCTTGCAACACTCACTGACGACGTCGAGCATGCATACAGCGTTCATGCGAGATGACAGACTGAAACTCGAGCAGCGCCCCAGCATAGCAGACCAAGCCAACATCTGCGATGGCCGAGACGGAGTGGGTGGACATGTCTCCCTACTCCGCTGTCCGCTCGCCAAATCCGGTGCCGTGTTATGCCGCGCCGGCATCCGGACCGGGCTCCGGTTTCAACCACTCCTCCCAGCGGTATATACACCCCACTGCACTGCCCATCCTCCTCTCCCACATCTCTCTCCCTCCTCCCTCCCATCTCACCATGTCCTACCTCGACCAACTCTTTGGCCTGCACGGCAAGACAGCCTTGTGAGCGCCCTTTTCCCCTCCTCGCCACTCCTCCCCCTGACCTCAGGATTACAGGCGCGACCCGCGGCATCGGCGCGGACATGGCCGTGGCCCTCGCCAAGGCCGGCGCCAACATTGTCCTCGTGCAGCGCAACACCAGCAACACCGAGACGCAGGAGCGTATCCGTGCGGTGGGCCGGCAAGCGGACATTGTGGTGTGCGACCTGGCGGACGCGGCGGCCGTCGGTGGCCTCATCGCGTCCGTGACGCAGACGCGCACGCTCGACATTGTCGTCAACTGCGGCGGGATCCAGCGGCGGCACCCGGTCGAAGTCTTCCCGGACGACGACTGGAACGAGGTGCTCCAGGTCAACTTGAATGCCGTGTTCCAGATCACGCGCGACGCGGGGCGGCACATGCTCGAGACGCGAGGCGGCGTCGCTGGCGCCGACGGCGCAAAGGGGGGCAAGTGGACGTCGAACGGCAAGATCATCAATATCTCGTCGCTCGTCGCGTTCCAGGGCGGCCTAAATGTCGTCGCGTACGCGGCCGCTAAGCACGGCGTGCAGGGCATTGTGAGGTGAAAGCTAATAACGCTGACCCCAGGTCAAGTCGTTCTCGAATGGTTGGGCGGCGAAGGGTGTCAACGTCAACGCTATTGCGCCCGGATACATCGCGACGGATATGAACGAGGCGCTCATTGCGGACAAGGACCGCTCGCGTCAGATCCTCGAGCGTATTCCTGCCGGGCGGTGGGGCACGCCCAAGGACTTTGAGGGCGCGATTGTATTCCTCGCGTCCGCTGCGTCCGACTATGTGTCCGGCGAGTGTATTGTTGTCGACGGCGGGTGGATGGGGCGGTAGGCTTTGGAGCGCGTAGAGCGTGTAGAGCTGGAGATGGATAGATTGCCTGGCGGATATGTCTGACAATGTGGCTTGAGCCACTGACTATCCTCCCACCAAGATTTCTCAGCCCCATGGGCGACGCAGCTGGAGTAGTGGGCGAAAAGACTAGCATTCTTGGACGCTCAAGTCGCCACCATGCTATCGTCACCCGTACCAAGTCACCCGATCTCCCGCTTGGTATGGCTTGCGTGTCCTCAAGTCATAAAGTCGAGCGCAGTTCCAGAGCCCGGCGCTGCATACAACGCGGACATCAGTCGTAGACTTGCAGGACTCGCGGGACCGCTCGCTCCCCGGCCAGGATGGATGGCTGCTTCCACATTCCGCGGCCATCCGGCATCGGCATCCTCTGACCGCCACAACACATCTCGATATCGTCCAGTCGTCTCTATCCCGCTCACTCGGCGCCATGGCAGCCCTCCCATGGCCGCTCCCGCGCGAGCCCACCCCCCTGGTCCGCGGCCTAGTCCAGCTCGTCACGCTTCCGCCGACGCTCGTCGGCGTCCTCCTCTCCCTCCTCTACAACACGGCAGACTACGCCCTCCGCCGCCCCTCCTATCCCTTCAAGCGACACATCATCCTCGGTGCCCTCCGATTCTTCCAGAACGCAAGCAGCGCGCTGCGCTTCGTGATGCCGCGCGACGCGGGCGCCGCGGCGATCCCCAAAGCCGCCGCAGCCCGCGGCAAAACGGAGTACGGGGTACGCATCGTCCCGCCCATCCCCGACGCCTTGCGGCTGCCCAGCACCCGCTTGACCGCCGGCATGGCGGGGGTACGCGCCGTCCCCGTCCCGCTCTTCGGCGTGGCGCCGCGCGGCGACGCCCCGTTCCGCCCCGCAGCCCACGGCGAGCTCTGTTTCCTCCACCTCGTCGGCGGGGGGTATCAAGTCGGGCACCCGCTCCGCTTCCCCCTTTCGACCGAGTACGTCGCGCGCACCGGCGTGCGCCTCTTCGCGCCAAACTACCGCAAGTGTCTCGACGACGCGAGCGGCTTTCCCGCCCCGCTGCTCGACATGCTCGCCGGGCTGCAGTTCGTGCTCGAGGATCTCGGCTTTGCGCCCGAGGTACGCTGCCGCGCCCGCCGCCGCGCTGCGTCCGGATGCCTTGGGCTGACGCCAGAACGTCATCCTCATCGGCGAAAGCGCAGGCGCGCACGGCGCCCTCATGCTCGCGCGATACATGGACGACCTGCGCGCGGCCGGCGTCTCCCGCTGGGGCCTGCCGGGCGGCATCTTCGCCAGCGCCGTAAGCCGCCCTCCAAACAGCTAACAGCAGCCGTGGACGAACGTGCTGTGCACTTACCCCTCAATCGACAGCAACTACGCGACGGTAGGCCCCGCCCCGCCGCCGCTGACGGCAGGACTGGCTCGCGCCCATCCGGCGCGTGATCGCGCCGGCGTTCGCGCGCCACTGCGCGGGATTCCTCACGCATCCGCTCCTTTCGCCCGCGCTCTCCTCCGTCGAGGACGGGCACTATGCGCGCCTCGCCGAGGCGGGCGTGCGCGTGCATGTCGACTGTGGGACGGACGAGATGTTGTACGACGACGGCGTCGCGCTCGTGCGTGCGATGCGGGCGCAGGGGCTCGAACCGCAGTTTCGCGAGGTGCCGCACGGCGTGCACTGCGAGTTTGCGTTCGCGACTCTCATGCCCGGCATATATCCCGGCGCGGGCTTTTCGTGGCCGCTCCTCCTGGGTGATCTCGACGACATGGTTGCGCAGCTGCGCGCGAGATAACGTCAGCCTATGCAGATAATCTAGGAGGACTAAGGCCTTGCGTTTGTCTGCCCCATTCACTCGCTCATATACATTGTGCAGGACGGTCTGATGTACAACTGGCTACGTCGTTAAATGCAATGTCCTAACGTTTCTCGTGGTGCGTCGTCATCGTGCTGCGTTCATCTCTACAGGTCTCGAGAGCGAGCTAGGCGGCGAGGCGCCGTGCGAGCCGCTTGCAGCCTCCGCACCAGTGGGCGGCGCAATAGCGCGCGGCGCAAATGTCGTCGCCTGTGCCCGAGTGCCGCTGCACATCGGCCGTACACGCGCGGCAGAGGACGAGGGGCGCAACCGCGGGGCGCGGGCACGGTGCGAGGGCAAACGGGTCCGTGCTGGCTTGCGCGAGGATGAAGCCTGCGCATCGAGCTGTTTCGACTGGAGGTGCGGGCGGGGCCGTAGCGGGGCGCGGGGCGTTGGCGACTGCCACGGAGATGGGCGCTGGGCGGCCGCGGCGCGCCATCACAGGCTGCGGGCAGATGAGAGGGGCGTCTGCGAACGAATCGTCGAGTGGCTGCGCCACGGGTGTGGGCTCGGGTGCCGGCGAGGCATCAGTGGCGGTAGCAGGGGGCTCGGCGGCTGGTCTGGCTAGCTCAGCTGGGGAAGGTTCGGCCGCGTGAGGAGTAGGAGTAGGAGGGATGACAGAGGAGACGGATTCAGCGACAACGACCGGCTTCGGTGCGGGAGGGTTCGTGTCGACCGCAAGGACCGGGCGGGCCTTGCGTGGCGGCGGCGGCGGCGGCTTGCGTACGGGTTTGTCCTTCGGCGGCGGGGGAGGCGTGCGTGCTGCGGGAGGCAGGCGCGGCGTCCGCTCCATGGGCACATAGGGAGGGCAGTAGGGGGGCGCTGCTCCGGGCGGGAGGGAGATGGGAGAGGGTGGGGCAGAGACGCTCATGGCGACGACGGAGGGATGTGTTGTGCCGAGCTGAAGAACGATGACGGGAGACTGACAGCGGAGAGTAGAGGGAGTATCGAGAGGAGAGAGGAAAAACAAGTTGCCTTTCAAGAACTAGTCGTGGGTGGCGATGATGTGAGAAGTGAGGAGGAGGAATAGGTGCAGATCGCCCTGCTTCTGTGCCGTGCTTCCGCCAACGCTCGGACGGTGCACGGGCGGGATCCCTCGATGGCTCGCGTGATAACTTGGATGCCGGTGAGATGCGGGTCAAGGCCAGAGGAGGGAGCGGCGAGAGCGACCTCGGCAAGCGTGATCACGACGAGGCGGGCGGAGATGAGGTTGTGCCACGATCAAGTCCACGATGTTGTCGACACGAGATGGTGGCGCACAGACCGATCGCATGCGTTGAGATATGCGAGAGGCGAGATCCGGCGCTCTGTGCTCACCGTGTCGAGCCGCTCACTCCCCACTGGCCACTCGCCGCTCGCCGCTCGCCACTCAGCTCCCGCTGACACTCACACTCCGTCCGCGGAGGTGGAGGGTGAGAGTGCGGAATGCTCACTTCGTCCAACCCCCCCCCCCACCCCTCAACGCACACATACATCATACATAGATCTCTATAAGCCTAGCTCGAGCGCAGCAGCGCGAGCATGGCCCAGCCTAGCACCCAGCCCGCCACGACCGCAGCTGTCGCGCCCTCGACGGCACGGCGCAGGCGGCGCTGCCACACCTCCTCGCGCCGGTGGCCCGAGTATTCGTACCGCGGGGCGTAGTCGTCGTCGTCGTCGCTCCCGCTATCGTAGCGGTATGGATTGATCGTGGGGTGGCGGCTTGGCGTGGCGGTCAGCTGGCGCGCTGGGCGGTCGCGCGAGGGCGAGAGCAGCGCCGTGAAGAGCTGAATCCCGTCTGTGCCGGGCAGCGGGAGAAGATTGAACAGAAAGAGCGAGAGCGACGCCATCTTGAAGTATCTGCGATTAGCGATGATAGTCAAGGTTAGATTGTCACTCACGCCAAGAAGAGGGCTCCCCATCGTGTCAAACTTCCCAGTAGCCGCGGGGCGCTCGTATCCACCTGCACCGCGTGCAGAACCGCCGCGCGGTCGCCAGACCACAGCACCGTATCTGCTCGCCGGCCTTTGCGGACGCGGATGCGCAAGATCTTCTCCGCTTCGCCGAGCCGGACGCAGACTTCCTGCGCGCCGCATCTGCACTCTCTGGCGTGCGGCTCGGCGAAGACACCATGTGGAGCGAGACAGCGCTCCTCCTCCCCGCCAACACGCGTGAACGCGACGAGGTGCCGATGCCCGCACGGCGATGACGGCGCAGCCCCAAACTCTTCGACCGGTACGCACCATCCTCCCTCTTGCATGGGTGGTTCAGACGACGAGAGGTACTGTTCCCATATGTCTCGGTTGCCGCCGACAGACACGTCGTCCAGATGTGTGATCAAATCGCCAGGTTGCAGCGAGGTGCGCAAGCCGGATGTCTGGGTAAGAGCGTTCAGCGACTGCACTTACTGGTGAAATGGAGGTGACAACCCGCCCCTGGGCGGAGTAGTCTGCCCACAGGAGGGGTGAGAGCCAGCCTAAGCCGAGCAGACATCCCCAGAGGATGAGGTTGTGCCATGGCCCACTGGTCGCAATACGTGCCCGTGCTCGTGTCGGGAGGTAGTCGACCGAGGAGGGAAAGACGACGCTTGCGCTGGGGACAACGGCGTGAATAGAGAACTGGAGCTTGGAGGGCGCGACGTCGTCCAGGGCGGCGGCGAGCGCATGTCCCGCCTCGTGAATGAGCTGGGCCAGCACAAGGGCCAACACTAATGTAGGGAGGTGGACGAGCGGCGTCGTGACTCCTGGTATCTGGTGTGAGCTGAGACACGCGAGCGACCTCACCAGAGGTACCAACCCGGGGTTGGAGCTGTGTATTTCCCTCGGCCCCGGCTGCGGTGGGGGCAGGGCGCGGCGGAGCAACCTCGAGGCGGATGAGTGAGCGGCGTGTGCCTCGGCTTCCTCCCATACTGCGCCCCACGCGCGCGTCAGAGCCCACAGAGCGCCGAGCAGTGCTCCCGCGCACCCCACACATCCGGCAGCTACACCGGCGTCGTAGAACCTCCGTGCATTCGCTTTCCCGCGCATGGAAAGACACCCGACAGCGCGCTTCGGGAGCCCATTGAGCGCGCCTGTGCTCGTCGAGACCGTGAGGCCTTGGCGGGACACGACCCACTCAGAGCGCCGCGAGAGTGTGTGGTATGCGGCCGGGGTGAGCTTGCGGGCCTTGGCGAGGGAGGGGGCGGTGCGGAGGGCGAGCGTCGGCGCCGCGCGGAGGGCGAGTCCCAGAGCCAGGAGGAGGAATAGGGGGAGGAGGACGTCGAGCATCGCCGTGAGGCGAGTGCGAGGGATGGGCAAGTGGGAGATGTTGAGATGTCGAGGGGGTGGAGGCAATCGCTGGTGGAGGTGGTTCGTGCGTCGCCACCAGATTTCGTGTAGTGGCGCGGCGCGGCGTCGAGGGCAGGCGGCCGCCGAGGGGATGGAGGCCGAACCAGAGGGTCTAGTTGGTTGGCGTTGCGTTCATGCATGTCGGGTGTGCTGGGGTAGCGGCGACGCGGTTGCGGACGTGGGGGCGGACAATGTTGAGGAATCTGGACAGTTCGCATAAACATCATCTCTCGTCATCTTGTCTGGCCTGCTCATCTCGCTGGCAGTTCGTCCGTGACATTTCGTGCATCTCCGTGGTACATCAGCTGTGGAGCTACAGAGAAGTGAATGGAGCTGTCTACACTCGTTTGCATGCACATACTGCCGCGTACAAGAAGGCTCACCCTCACGCTCCCAGACGCCCGCACATTGTCATTCGCAACATACGGCACGCCCTCTGACCCGCCTCTGGTCTTCCTCCACGGTTTCCCGAGCTCACGGCTCGAAATCGCCGCAATCTCACCCCGTCTCGTGTCTCTCGGGTTGTACGTGATCGCGCCCGACCGCCCGGGCTTCGGCGCCTCCTCTCCCCTTCGCGGCCGCACGATCGCGAAATACCCCGACGACATCGCCGTGCTCCTAGACCACCTAGGGATCGCGCGCACAGCTCTCCTCGGTGGCTCGGGCGGCGGGCCGTACGCGCTCGCGTGCGCGGGCGAGCGCGTCGCGGCGCTCGGCGTGCTCGCGGGCGCAGCGCCGTGGACCGCCGGCGTCAAGATGCACCTCGCAGACCGGTGGTTCCGGTGGTGCATCCGCACAGTGCCGGGTCTAGTCGCTGCGCGGGTGGACGCCGCGTAAGTCCCAGTTGCCGGACATGAAGCCGTTGGATGAGAAGAAGAAGTGGATAAGTGAGAAGAAGTCAGGAGCGTGAAGAAGTAGCATAAGATACTGAAACATTGCTCACATACTTGCTTCGCAAAGAGCTTGCATTGACGCTCTGCCTCAGAATGGGAATCGTTTCCTCGTCATGACGCCGATGGGCGCTTGGAGAGAAGTGGACATGTTGTTCGTCACTGGAAGATGCGTTAGGGATTGTCAGTCATCAGCGTTCTCTTATATTTCTGGGTGCAGCGCTCGCCTAGATCGCTCGAGGCGAGAAAATGCCAGGTCCAGAGGATCTGAGCACGACAGCGACGCGCACGGATACATGCTGCGGCGCTGCTCACTGGCCGACACAAGTGGCTGTGGCGACGTTCCTGCCGGGACACAGCTCGGATAGCCCTGTGGCTTGGAGCGTTTGATCCCATGCCGCGACTGCTCTTCTTCTTGACATGTCAGACACACGCGGGCATACATATCTGTCCGCTTGCTGTGCTTCTTTACTTTACGCCGTTCGGAGGATGATGTGCACGCCCGAGTCGCTCTCGACGAGCGGGCTCAGCTGGCCAACCTCGAGCGCGTAGGTTGCGTCCTGGTGTCAGTTTTCGTTCTCATTCTCGTCCTCTGCCTTCTCTCTCCCGCTGCCTCCGTCTGCTCTTCCTCTCCCTCCCTCCGCCTCCTTCACCCCCTCCATCTGCTGCGCTGAGCCGCCCGTGGCACTCACCTCAAATGCCTTCTGCATCTGGCCGCGGCCAAAGAACCCGAGGTCGCCGCCCGATCGCGCGCTCGAGCAGTCGCTCTCAGTGCTGGCAATCTTGGCGAACTCGGCCGCCCGCTTGTCCGCCGGCAGCGCCTGCAGCGTGTCAAGGTATCCCTGGATCTGTGCGCGCGCCTCAGGCAGCGTGCGGGTGATGTTAGGCTTGGGTCAGCGCCAAAGCCGATACATCATGTGTTTGTGTGTATGTGCCATCATAACGAGGTTGCGATGTCACCAGAGCCTCGAGCTGTACGCCAGCCCACCTGCACCCACCCGCCCACCTACCTGCTTCCAGCTGCTCGGACGGCGGCTGCCGGTGTGCTTGGCGAGGATGTGGCTCGCGCGGACCTTGCCCTCGGGCGCGGCCGTGCCAGAGAGGTACTTTGCGCCGGGGAGGGACTTGACGGCGTCGTCGCTCAGCTCGGCGGGCTTCTCCCAGGTGCTCTGGCCAGTAGAGCCGTTGTAGAAGTACGGCAGCGAGCGCGAGTTGGACCAGCGAATTTCCCAGCCCGACATGATGAGTGATGTGGATGAGGTGGTTGGTGTGAGCGTACTCTACGAGGTATGACGTGAGGGAGCACGTGGCGCGGAGATGGAGGAGTGTCCGCGACTCTTTATCGTCTTTGCTGCAAGTGCTGATGTTGTTGCATGTAGGCAAGCATATGCATGTCAAGATGGCAAAGCGTGGTCGCCGAGGTAAAAGATGATGGGAGAGTCGTCTCTAAACTTGGAGCATTGAAGATGTCTCGCTCGCGATCGATGTCGTTGTGACGACTTTTGCCGCACACATAAATCCTCTTCCACACACTCATCATGTCGACACACGCACCGACATCATCACCAACAGCGACCCAGACGCCCGCGCCCGAGGAGAATAAGTGGCAGGACTGCACGTGCGTGAACTCTTCGCCTGCGTCTCCGCAACCGCGGACCCCGCTAACGCAAGCGCCTGTCGGCTGACCGGCGCCGCGACGCTCTCAGGCGTAGGCCTGTACGCACTCTACGAAGCAGGGCAGCAGGGCGCATTTGCCAAAGTGCGACCCAAGGGTGGCCCGCGAGGTGCGCCGATCACAGCGGCGGTTGGTGTTGGTGAGTCGCGAGGAGGCATGCGAGCTGGCAACCCGGGGAGAGGGACAACTGCAGCTACGAGGAGCGGCTAGAGGACTTGAGGGGAGCGGGCGCCGCTGGACTTAGGCTGGCAGGCGCCGGGATTCGACAGGCAACCGGGTCGGAGAACAGCGGAAGCGTCTGGAACATGCTGACTGCAGTGTTCCTCGGGTTGGGCATTGGACGACTGTTCGTGTGAACGAGGGTTGGAGGGATTTGCGGGACAGGAGTTGGGGAGCCAGTGGGCGCCGACAGCGCGCTTGGGCGGGAACAGTATGTACGGACGGCGCTCGGCCGTAAGCAATGCATCGCATGTCTTTCATCCACGGCAATGCGGGGCTCGGCGTGAGACGTGGTCGGTTGCGGGGCAGACGGAGGCACGATGGGGCCGCCATCCGAATAGGCAGGCTCCAGAGTGGGCACCAAGCTCCGGCGTCGTGCATTGACAACGAGGCGAGGAATGCTCTCCTCCTCCTCCTCAGTTCCTCATAGGACATCCTCTCCGCTCATGATGCGCTCCGGCAGGTTCCATTGGCAGTGGAAGTGTTCTGCCCCGTCGCTGTCGGGATAGACCGTCCCGCCAGCGTGCCTGTCAAGCATCTGGAAACGATGTGACATCAGCAGCGGTTTGAGCTGCTGAATATAGCACGCCGAGACATGAGGAGGCCACTGACAAGAATTTATCAGCTGGGCGATGTGCGCAACTGAGCTGTCCAGTACGGTTGTGGATCCATCAGCGTCTTGATCGTATCTTAGACCCGTGGAATTGCCTTGTCGTTATTTCCCAACCAACGACGCTGCAGCTGCTCCCTCGTCCTCACATCAGCAAATGAGCTGCTCGCGCCGAGCACTGGATACTCTTGCTGGCCAACACTAGAGCCGGCGGTTAGATTCCAAGCTCCGTTATCGCCCTGGGCTCACGTGTCCTCGTCCCTGCGCGATGTGTGAAAATAGAGCTCCGGCCGAGCCATAACAGGCACCATCTCTTGTCATCCTGCTCGTGCTGCTCGACTCGAGACTCAGCTAGGCGTACAGCGTGCAGGGCGTCGGAGAATCGCGCTTCTCACTTGGAATGAAGGGAACGAGGGCGAGCGAGCGCGAAAGCAAGAGAAAGACTCAGAGCCCTGACGCCGATGGCGGCGGCGGGAGGCCTCCGGGCCGGGAGGTATGTTGACGCGGGCACCTGCATTCGGCATTCGTCAGCAGGTTTTTGCAGCGGGGCCCTACCAGACAATAGAGGCGGCTGGCGGCTGGCGGCTAATGATTTGGGGACGCTGACATGTATTATAAGACTCTCTGCCGAGTCTGTCTCCACTCCAATCACGATGAGCAAATCGCCCAAGCGCTCGCTGGAATTTATCGACGCCGAAGTGTCCGCTCCGTTCTCGGTCAACGCGACGGCGGTGAACACGCCCGCGGGGCCGTCCCGCGCACCCTCTCCCAAGCTTGATGTCGAGAAGGGTCACAAGACCAAGGCCGACGGCGCGGTGCATGTCCGCCCCGCTAAGCGAAACATGACCGAGGTCGACAAGGTCGAATACCTCACACACCAGGTCGAGCATGGCGAGCAGAAATTCCACAAGCTCGGATGGATCCAGCTCGTCGTCGTGCTCATCGTCGAGGCTATTGCGCTCGGCTCCCTTTCCCTCCCAGCGTGAGTCAGCGAGCGGCGACCCCGGTGACCTGGGCACCTGGCGACCTGGCCTAATCGCCGGCGTCGGGCGTCGGAGGCTGTCAGGCTTATCCGGAAATGGCGGATATCGTCGCCGTGACCGACGATCGAGATCCCACATCGAGGAATGCTCACACCAGTGCGTTCGCCACCCTTGGCATGGTTGCTGGCGTCATCATTACCGTCGGCATTGGGTTCCTGGCAATCTACACCTCCTATGTGAGTTGTGCGCGGCTGCATGAGCAGAATGAGCATTGTCAACCAGCAATGCTCATGCGGTTGGAAGGCGGAAGAACGGGAGAAGCATTGGAAGCCCTTCTGTGTGCGCCCCTTCCACAGACTCGCCGATCGACGTCCACTTCCATCCCCCGCTAACATCAGATCATCGGCCAAGTCAAGATCAAGTATCCCCAGGTCAAGCACTACGACGACGTGGGCCCGCTGCTCGGCGGCCCCGGCGTGCTCGGAAAGGTGTTCCGCGGCCTGCTCATGTTCGGCTTCGTCGCCTACCTCATCTGCCTGGTCGGCTCGCACTGCTTGACTGGCACGATCGCGTTCCAGACCATCACCCGTGTCGACATCTGCTCGATTGTCTGGGGCGTCGTCTCCATGGTGCTCCTCTTCATCTGTGCGCTGCCGCCCTCGTTCGCGGAAATGGCTGTGCTCGGCTACGTCGACTTTGTGTCCATCATCGCCGCCATCCTCATCACCCTCATCGCGACGGGCATCAAAGCGAACGGGCAGCCAGGGTCATTCGGCGCCGTCGACTGGTCCGCGTGGCCAAAGGAGGGCACGACGTTCGCGAGCGCCATGGTCGCTGTGTCGAATGTCGTGTTTGCTTACTCGTGCGTATCTCTTAGAAGATCCGCTGACGCCAGATTCGCTATTTGCCAGTTCTCGTTCATGGAGGAGATGCACACGCCCAAGGACTTCAAGAAGTCCGTTTGGGTGCTCGGCCTGACCGAGATCGTCATCTACACGTGCACCGGTGCGCTCGGCTACGCGTTCATCGGCAAGAGCGTCAAGTCGCCCGCCCTTCTTTCTGCAGGCGACACGGTGTCGCGCGTCGCCTTCGGCGTCGCGATCCCCGTCATCATCATCTCGGGCTCGATCAACACTGTCACAGCCGGCCGCTTCACCATCGACAAGCTCTTCAGCAACTCGACCATCCGGTATGTGTCCGATGCGCGTGGCTGGGCCGTCTGGATCGGGTGGGCGACGATCGCGAGCATCGTCGCGTGGATCATCGCCGAGGCGATTCCATTCTTCTCCGCCCTCCTGGCCATTATCTCCGCGCTCTTCATTTCGGGCTTTAGCTTCTACGTGCCCGGATTCATGTGGTTCGTCCTGGTGAAGGAGGGCAAGTGGCACCACGGGTGGAAGAACATCACGCTCTCTGTGCTCAACGTCGTGTGCATCGTCGTTGGAGTGGTGTGCCTGGGCTGTGGCACATATGGAGCCGTCGAGGACATCCGCCTCTCGTACAAGCTTGGCACTGTCGGCTCGCCCTTCTCGTGTAACAAGGCCTAGGCGGTTCCAAAGTAGAAATGTAGAGTACTCATAGACCAGCTAGACGCTCGGCTCAGGTGGGCCTTGTATGCATCATATCTGTTAACGAGGGAGTGTGAAGCGGTTCATGTGGTTCTGTACCACTCACTGCCCCACTCCAGGGCTAACCCACTCTCATCTGCTGTGCTAAAGTTCTAGTAGTACATCCATTTCCTACAGTCCAGCGCGGTATACCAAGTCCACGCCCACACGTGGGGCGTGCACTCGCAGAACGCGCTGCATCCCTCGCAGTGTGGGCAGAAGCACTCGAAGTCGCAGCTTCCGCAGTCCTCGCAGAGTTCGCAGTCGTCGAAGTGTGGCCGTGGGCAGAGGCACATCGTGGGGAGGGTTGGGGAGCGTTGGAGGATGGAGGTGTTCGATGCCGGGAGGGGCAGGATGGGGCTGCTTATGTACCCCTTCGGGGCGGCGTATGTACCCATGGTGGTGGTCGGTGGATGGGGGGAGGTGTGCCCCAGGACGATGTTTATGTGTCCACGGCACGCTTGCCTGATTGCATCACTCGCATTGCCTCGCACCGTATCGTTGTTTTCGCGTGTCCTCGACATTTCCATGTTTCCATCACTTTGCATTGCCTCGCACATCGACGTTGTCCTCGCTGCAATGGCTGCGGTGCACCGCGTCGCGTCCTTAGGGTGATAGGACGGGGTGATTCAGAGCGGGGCAGATCCACTCGCACTGATGGATACACTGCACACACCAGCTTTGTGCTCATGCATCACATGTGTCTGTAACCTTGAAAGTCCCCCGATCTGGACCTCTCGTGCGCACGTACGGTGCACCGCCTGGGCGAGTCGACGCCTAGTGCAGCAGCACGTACACGACATTTGAAACGGGATGCAGTGCGATGAGTAAAACGTCTCGCACACTCGCGCCCATCGCTTCCCCGCTGGAGCGGGGGACTGCATGCGACAGGTAACGCCGTTGCCTCTGCCCCAGGCATTGGTCCATCTCGTCATCCGCCTTGTATTTCGCTCGGTTCCACGACTCATCCTCACAAAGGCATCCTCATACCGGGAATGTTCCAATACAAATCAGCAGCTGCACCTCTGAAGTGCAAGTAGGTGGCAAGGGCTGATGTCGCTGAGCAGGAGTACGTGTGGAATCGACTCTGCGCTCAGGTAAGTCACAATCGTGGCTCCACACGGTGACGAAACATCAACCACGCTCGGCCAGTTAGTCTGCCCATGCTGCCTGCACCGTCACATTTGCATCACTTCGGGGCACAAACACACGTCGGCCAGCCACACTTGTTCCCGTGGTTCGCACATCCGCCGCACGTACGGCACGACTCGCAGTTGTCCATGTCGCCCATGGGTGGTAGTGTAATGAAGTTGAGGTCGTAGAGAGGGGTTGAGGGTGTAGCTTAGGGGAAGAGTGGGGTAGGTTGGGGTTGTGGACTCTACGCTCCTGATGTGGACTTATATCGATGAGATGCCTCGCCACCCACATCGAAGGAACGACTCGAATCGGCCGCGTCAGTGCCGCCACCGCTCGACTCGATGCTTGCTCAGTGACATGTGTTTGTGGGTTTAGAGCGAGCGGAGGATTGCAAGGCCTGGGGAGGCTACAAATGCGGTGCAAATCGGGTGCAATGGCCTTGGTTATTGATTGCACCATTTTGAAAGATCCACATCGAGGCCATCGAAGCAGATGCTCCAGTAAACGTTCGTGTGAATTTAGAAGACAGTTTTGCGGGGGTGCGTAAGCCGATCATAGACGGGGAGAACGAAGTTGCTGCACTCAGTACCCGCGCTTCCACTCCGGATCGGAATAACTCTTCTTCTCAAATCGACAGGACGAAGGACAAGACGGGACGTCCGGTATCCGGGACGATGCCCAGTCAAGCATGTCAACCACATCCGCTACGTCCAGTACGGCAAGCAAGGCCAGGCCTGCACCGCGCCTTTTGTATCGTTTACCAGCTCACCAGCGTTCCTGCCCGTGCACGCTCGCGTACCTGGACCCAAGACCTGGTTGGACAAAGGTCGCCGGCGCGTGCACCGCGTGGGTCAGCACGCGGTGCACAGACGTCCCCCGCTTCGTCTTAGTGGACCCATTAAGTGCTGGCCTCGCTTCGGAAAAGAAAGAAGAACCGTTTGGGAATGGTAATTTGGTTGCTCCGTAGCAGTGGGCGTGGCAGGACGCAGCGTTCCTCGAAACTCGATGCATCCCCGAAAATTCAGACAACGGCAACTGACATCTCAGGCACGGTGGCACAGACCACTGGCCTAAACAATCCGGTAAATTCCGCCACCCCCTAGCTCACGCGCTCACGTTCACGCTCGTTGCGGCATAGCCCCCCGTGCACGGCAAAAACATGCGGTCATGGATTCATGATCGCCGCTGCGCATAAACGTCGCGCTCGGAGCTTCGGAAGCGCCCCTCAGCTTCGTTATCGCGGTGATCGTCGAGGGGCGCCTGTGAGTGGTGCGAACAGGCTGAACGACGGCTGACAACGGGCTGAGGCGTACACGGAATGAAGCAGTATCGCGGTCGGGTGCATCGTGGAGATCTTGAAGAAGGTATCGAAAGAGAGGTAGCATGGACCGCTTCTTAATGACATCAGTATCATCGTCGCTCGAGTTCAATATGACCTTGCACATCGAGAAGAGCTGCCGGCACATGCATCGACAGCCATGCCGATATCACCGACAGGCATTCTCTGTGAGCATCCTAGTGTTGACCTCGCTCACCGCATCGGACGAAGATAGGCGGACGAAATGCCATCTCGGAATGGTACATTATGTACAGACAGGGCTGGTAGACACAGACACAGACACGGCTAGTGGTACACGGGGCGGATGTATGTTTCCCCTTTCGGTCGGTGGTCTTCGTTGGGGCGCTCGTTGTCAGTGGCCGCACGTTACTACACAGTGACCGCAGATGTAGCAGCAGGTGCAGCCGGACGGGTGAGGGGGGTAGCCCGGGATCTTGATGCCGGGGTCGACGCCGGGGACGGGAATGGGATCCGGAACCGGAATCAGGACACTCTCGGGCGAGCGGGGCTCGCGGAGTGTGTGCAGCGCCGTGTGGAGGCGGGTCCGCATCAGAACCGTATTGTGCAGGTGCGCGTCGGCGCAGTCGTGGGTGCGTGCCGACCGGGCAGGGAGACAACGGAGGGAGGTGGCGTGAAACATGGCGTGGGATTAGGTTGGCGCTCGGACTTGTACGCCGAGTGAGGCGCGAGGCCTCGATGCTCGAAGCGGTGCGAGGATGGGTGCGGGTGCGAGTGGTGGATGGGGGATGGGGCGAGGGTGGCGACAAAGGTGCCGTCAGTGGGCAGATGAGAGGCGAGATGATTGTTGGGGGAGAAGAGAGAAGTGGAGACGATGTGGAGGGTAGATATAGCGTTCACGGAGGGTTCTTTGAAGGTGAGACCAGATGGGATGTTGCTCTCCCCATTTCATCTCCGCCGTCCTCATCCCCTATGGTTAGAGAAGCACACAGTTCACAGCCCATGCAGCCCATGCGACCCATGCAACCCATGCCTCACGGACGGGTGGATACAGGTAGGAGGTGGATGGAGGGCAGTGAGACGGCCACGACCAGAGCATTAGAGGCTGTGCACCAGTGTGGGACTGCGGACTGAGTGAGGAGTGAAAGAGGGGGGGCGGGTGGCAAGACGCCAATGCTGGTGCTGTTGGGGACAGTGCCACTGGCGTCCATGTTGAGTGTACCTCGGCCGGCACCATGGATCACGGACAGCGCTGAGGGGGAAGGCAAGATGCGAGATGCGAGATGCAAAGACATGCCACGAATCTGGAGACGACTCGATACCGGAGCTGGCGGCATCTGGAATGGGTGAGCAAGTGTTTCCTGATGGCTTGTGGCTTGTGGCTGATGAGTGCTTGAGGAGGACGAGTGCGTGATGAGTAAGTGAGTGAGCAAGTCAGGTGGGATGAGTGAAACCGCCAAATGGGCGCAGCGGGTGTCGCGCGCGGAGACTAGTTCTGTAACGCACCATCGTCCAAGTGGTCGAAGAGCATGGAGTAGATGTTACAACCATAATTACTCGCATGTATGGCTCTGTCCACTCCGACACTCCGCCCCGATCCCCCCGTTTCCGCTGCACGCCGCCTGGATCCACGCCGTCACAATCCACAGTCCACGAGCTCTACGCCCCACTCGCACCTCGCGCCTCGCGCCTCGCGCCTCTACCCATGCGCCCCCTGCAGCCCAATGACTCCGATGTCCTCCCCCTTGCGTCTGGTAACTTGGGCGCCGGGATAACTGGCTGCCTGAAGCCTGCACCCATGGAGCGTGTTTGGCGTGTGACGCGGATGACCGTGCGCCTCCTCGTGATTAGCACCTCGCCGCTGTCGAGCTGGTAGCACTGTCTGACTCGCTGTTGAGCCGGTCCAGCCGAAGTGCCCTGCTGAGCAGGAGTGAGTGCTTGGGGGAGGGCGCACTGTGTGAAAGTGTATGAGAGGTGTCTAGATGCGACGAAGCGATGAGGATGGAGGGAGGATCGCGAGTGAGGAGGATCGAGTGGGGACGAGTGGGGAGTGCGCATCTCTCTCACACACGCTCTTGTTGCCACCTTCCTCCCCATCCTTTCCCCTCTCTTTACTTTCTCTCTCTTCTCTCTTCTCTCTTCTCATCCTCTTCTCTTCTGTTCTCTTTCTCTACCTCGCTCCCACTCCACTCGTCGTCACTTCTCTCTCTCTCTCTCTCTCTCTCTCTCTCTCTCTCTCTCTCCGCTTCCTAGGCAATCGCCATCATCCCTCACATCTCGGCGACATGACAGCAATCCCCAAAGAATCGCTCAAGCCCCAAGCTACCACCAGAATCATCTTCCCACTCTCAAGGACGCCGCGCTTTGACGTTGCCGCCCCTATCGTCTGGCAGGCATGGCACAGCGTCCACGAGCAAGGCTGCAACCCCATCACGGTGACGTGGCTGCCTGAGCACGCCGATCTCCTCGAGATCATCGAGAGCTCGGCTCCGTGGAACAACCTCTTCGCGGAACACCCAGAACTCAAGCCAATGTATGACCGCGATTTCTGGGCCACCGACGCCAAGTACCCCGAGATCGTGGGCAAGATGGATCGGCTTAACCAGCACCTTGCGTCTCGGTGAGTTGAGCATGCAGCTGTCGGCAGCGTGACGATGCGGGGCGCGCGGGCGCTGTGAGCGGGTCGGCGAGTGACGCAAATACTGACGCCTCAAGGACAGTGCTTCTTGGTACCGAAGAGGGCGACGACAAGATCAGTTTCGCGGACGTCCTTCTGTGGGGTGTCATTCGGGGTGAGTCACAGGCAGTGTGATGAAAGTCACAGCTCATCCCAAGCCAATCACATTTCCAGCGGCATGATCTTTAATGATCCCAGACGCACTCACTTGCTTCGTTGGTTCAAGTATCTTGACGCCCAACCCGCACTAGAAGCCGTCCGCAGAGCCCACAGATTGGCCAAGAACAAAGTCGAGAACGAGCGTAGACGCCGTCGCTCGTGCGGCGAAGGACTCGACGCCATCCTTCCCGCCGTCGAGGAAGGTGGAGTGGTCGTGCGTTTCGGTGAGTCGCGATTTGACTCACTTTCCCTAAAGCTGTGACTTTCTCCAACCGCCACTGACGTTCCGCACAGAATGCTCCACCTCCTCATTCCTTCACGTCGGGCAGCTCAAGGAGCTCCTCGTTAACCGCTACTTTGCCGACAAGCACAGCGGACACCTCCTCCTTCGCTTCAACGATTTGCGCCCCCTCTCAGAGGCGGGCGACTTTGTCAACGACATCATTGCCGACCTCGGAGCGATCGGCTTGTCGTTTGACCGCATCTCCCGCGTCACCGATCACCTGGACGCTATGCGACACTATGCGCGTCAGCTCATCCAGACCGGCAACGCGTACATGGACGACGCGCCCGATGACATCGTGGGTTTGAGCGCGCAAAGACCATTGCTCACATCAGGCGGAAGAGATGAAACTCCCCCTGACGCCCAGCCCTCGGCGCGATACTCGGATTGAGGTCAATCTCGAACGCTTCGAGGCAATGCTCATGGGCACCGGCTCGGTGGAAGGGCGCTGGGTCGTTCGCGCACGCATTGACTCCGCTCCGGATGCTGAAGCTTTGCGTGACCCCATCATTCTGTTCCAGTCGGCTATCAGCGGCAACCAGTGCGTACCGCACGTAGCCGATGCTGCGACATGCACTAAGATCAGTTCATCGTCAAGTGTCTGGCCCACCCACTACTTTGCCGGTCCCATTGTCGACCATTGCGATGGTGTCACTCACGTCATTAGGACAATCGACAGTGCCGCCAGCAAGCAGCTATACATGTGGTTCGTCGAGCAGTTAGGCCTTCGCCCACCTGTAATTTCGTACCTTCCGTGAGTAGCTGCCCAATGCGTCTAACGCCACAGTCGCCTTGACATTGAATGTGGCCCAAGCTCGCACAAGGAAGTGGAGCACCTCGCACACGAAGGTCTGATCCGTGGGTGGGATGACCCGCGCGTGGGAAGCGTGAGAGGTGAGCCTTTCGCAAACCATAGGAGCGAGGTTGACCGAAAGGCATCTTGGCTCGAGGGATGACTCCCGCCGCCCTGAAGAAACACGTCCTGGACAAGAGCGAGGTCATTATAGATACGACACTTTCGTGGGACGAGCTTTGGTACGCGAATCGACGTGCCATCGATACGGTTGTACCACGCTACTGGGCAATCTCTGATATTGGGGCGAGGTAAGCTTTGTTTCGTCAGGCGACATTGACACAAGTGTGGTGGCCAAAGTTGAAGGGATCAATCGCATCTTCACAAGTTCAAAGCCCCTCAACAAGCTCAATGCCGAAGTGGGCACCAAGCTCATGGTGTACACCACTCACATCTTCCTCGAGCAAGTCGACGTGCTCTCGCTTGTAGAGGGAGAGGAGGTATAGTGATTGTCACACGCGACGCTGATGCAGATCACGTTAATGGACTTCACCACAGCGGTTGTCAGATCGCTCATTAAAGCACCATCACCCCAAGGAACCGTGGTCAAGAGTCTTACTCTTGCGCTCAACCCCCACGGCAACCCCAAGTTGACCTCCAAACGGTTCCACTGGTTGCCAGCAGCCGCCCCTACTGCTGTGCTGGGCGGTGCGCTCACGCCTGTGGTGCTTGTCAAGTACCCACGGCCGAATGTGAGTTACGAAGAGGAAATTAGCGGCAGCCTCGTTGATATTAGTACATTGGGCAGTGTGAGGTGCGCACGCCGGCACTAGCTTCTCCACAGGTCGGTCAGATGAGGAAGGGCGATATCCTCCAGTTCGAGCGCAAGGGGTTCTATGTCTGCCATGGAACTGCGCCGGAGGGTGGTCTAGAGTTTGTCGCCATACCCGAGTGAGTTTATCAACTTGAGTGCAAAACACGACTGATGACAGGGGCCGCTCGCCGCGCCGTCGTAGTACGGTTCTGTCATGAGAAGGAGGGGGCGATCTGATTGTACAGCGACGGAGAGTTAAAAGTGCAGAGTCGGATAGGAGACTGCCGACGACGGGAGTTGATCCGGCGGCACGACCTTTCATCTAAGGGAGATGTCAAAAGCAGAAGCGATCTGTGCAGACCATGTCACCCCGGGTGCAGCAGTGTTGCCAAGACGAGCTGATTGGGCGTTGATAGGTTGTACAGTTCCAAGCGTCCGTGGGCCGAGTGTGAGTGTGATTGACTCACCGAACACGATATGGAGACCAACTCGACTCTCAGGTTGCTTAGCAGTGAGCAATGGATGAGTATTTGAGCGTCATCGAAGCAGGGGAGTCGAACGCTAACGCCAGGCCCATCGCTACGCATTACTCAACAACTCGGAATCGGTGACGAAGAAACGTCAGCCACAGCCCGGCCCGACAATCACAGCGCCCTGCGGAACAGCCCCGCAACGCATCCCCGTGGCGCGGACAGCGCGCAGCGGAGCACACCGAAAGCCACCATTGGCGGGCCTCCGTCATGTCGGAGTCCACGCGGGGGCTCCCAAGCAACGCTGGCGGGGCCGCCGGCGCCGCTGCCATTAGCGGAACACGGCCGAGTTTGTCATGCCGAGATGCCGGGCCGGCCGGCCCTGAAAGTCACCACTGTCTCACCAGCCCCACCTTGATGAGCAATCCTGCTCTTCCGTGTTGCTGGCCCGCACACCGGCCATCATGTGGCCCAGCGGAATGGGGCTTGATGCTCGATCTCGGTTGCCAACTCTTCAACGCCAACGATGAGCGGGCATCCACCAGGTCGCATCGAGACCGACTCTGCACCGCCGCCAACACCGACGCCGTACGCGATGGAGAAGAAGAGCGCGCACACGTCGCTGAGCACGCTCGTCTCCAACCTCCCGGACGGGTGCCACTTCGGCCTGCTTCCCAAAGCCTCGAGCCGGGACGGCGACGGCGACGACTATGAAGACGCACAGCGCGTCATCTGGGTCGAGTTCCCGCCCAACTCACCCAACAACCCCTTCTACTTCCACCGCGCGCGCAAGGCGGGCATCACGTTCGTGGCGATATTCTTCACGCTCATGGCTGGTGAGTTGGGCCGGCTCACAGGGGCGCCACAGCGCTGACACCAGCTTACTCGTCCTCGGCATTCCCGATCTCGGCACCAAGTATGCAAGCCGAGCTGGGAACGAGCGAGCAGAACATCTCGGCTGGCGTCGCGCTGTATGCGTTCGGATTCGGGCTGTTCCCGCTCTTCCTTGCGCCCATCAGCGAGGAGTTCGGGCGCAAGTGGACGTACATCTTCAGCGTGTTCTGCTTTTGCATCTTTCACCTGATGGGGGCTTTGTGAGTATCCTCCGCGCCGTTGTCGACCGGCGTTGCTGGCTCCGCGGCCTCGCGCCGACTTCGCTCGACGTGTGTGCTGCGCTAACTCCAGGGGCAAGAACACCGCCACTGTCCTCATCGGCCGCTTCCTCCTCGGCGGGGCAGGGAGCATGGGCGCAACCCTCGTCGGGGGCACGATCAGCGACATATTCATCCCGTCGCAGCGCGGCGTGCCCATGGCCATGTTCAGCTTCTGCGCCGTGTTCGGCACCGGCTTGGGCGCGAACACAATGGTGTTCGCTGAAATCCACCTCGGCTGGCGTTGGGTATGGTGGATCCAGATGATCGTCATCGGCTCCCTCTTCCCCCTCATGTTTCTGTTCATGAAGGAGACGCGCGCGTCCGTGCTCCTTACGCGGCGCGCGCGCGCCTTGCGCGCCGAGCGCGGCCTGCAAGACGGCGCGCCGTACATGTCGCGCGCCGAGACGGAGAAGGAGGCATTCTTTACGGCGATGCTGCACTCGTGCTCGCGCCCGCTCGTCTTCCTGGCGCGCGAGCCCACCGTCATGTTCTTCAGTGCGTGGATCGCGCTCGGGTGGGGCGTGTTCTACACCCAGATCGCCGGCATCCCCTACATCTACCGCAACGTGTACGACTTTGGCCCCGTCGCCGTCGGCATGGTGTACTGGGCCATCTGCCTCGGCGCGATCCTCGGCATGGTGATGAACATGTGGACGGAGAAGATGTACCGGCGGCACGCGGCGCAGCGGGGCGTCGAGGCGCGCCTGTACGGCGCCATGGTCGGCGGCGTGCTCTTCGCCGCGGGCTGCTTCATCTGCGGCTTCACATGCCTCCCCTCGGTGCACTGGATCGCGCCGTGCATCGGCGTCGTCCTCATCCTCACCGCGGTCATGGGCATCTACATCACGGCGTTCACGTACCTCGCCGAATGCTACGGCATCTACGCGAGCTCGGCGATCGCCGCACAGAGCTTCTGCCGCAACATGAGCGGCGGCGCGTTCAGCTTCATCACAAAACCCATGTTCGCAAAGCTCACGGTGCGCTGGTCGCTCGTGCTCTGCGGCGGGCTGGCTGCGCTCCTCGCTCTCGTCCCGTTCGTCGCGTTCGTCTGGGGACCCGCGATCCGCGCGCGCTCGCCCTACTCCCGCCAACTTATGGCTATGGAGCGCGAGCGGCAGGCCAACGAGAAGGCCGAGCGGGAAGCGAGGGGAATGGACACTGCCGGCGTGGAAGACCCGGAAGGCGACGCGAACGAGGAGACAATCGAGCGTGCCACGAGTCGGCAGTCACACCACTCGCACCGGTCACACCGCTCGTTCCGCAGTCATCGGTCGGTCCGGGAAGAACAAGAGAAGGTCTAGAAGTAGGGTCAGAAGTTATAGAGTGTCACTTGTACTGGTATCACATGCATGGGTAACGAGCGTGAATCTATGCAGCTTTGCCTTCGCGCGCGCGCCGCTTGGCTGCCTCCGCCGCCGAGACCTTTGCGAAGAAGGCCGCGATGCCGGCCACACCGAGGAGGAGGAGGAGCGCGGGGGCGCGTACAGCCCACTCGCGTGGCGGGAAGAGGTCGTGGAGTGTCGAGCGGGGGTCGACGAATGGCTGGGGTTAGTGGGTTGGCTGTTGGGGCGGGAGGGACAAGAAGGCGAGGGGAGTGCAGCTGCGAAGACGAGTGAGGACGATGGGCATGCAAGATGCAGCAGCACTTGCTCAGTTCAATCCCCAGCACTCCGCGACGGGGCGCGCCTCTCACACCACCGCGTAACGCCCAACACGTCCACCTGACACACTCACGAGAAGCAGTGCCCATGTAGTGTAGTACACGAACACGACGGCCGCAACGAGCAGCATCGCCGAGCCGAGCGCCTTGTCTGATGTCGCCTGGGTTAGCGCTGCCGTGCTGCCAACGCACCATTATGGAGGATGTATGTCGTCTGCGAGTGTGATTGTCGTGGACGTCGATGGAGGTCGATGTGGAGGGCGACGCGATCTTATCCGCCCCCCACTTTAGAGGTGACTGACCCCAGCGCACGCGGTAATGAGCAAGCCAACGACCTTGGCATCCACACACGCCCAGTCTATATCTGCATGCTATGATGTCTATTAATGCTATGCGCGGTGCGTCTGAGATAAGACGCGCCCGCCTGGCGCAGGTGCAGGTACTGGGTTGGACGGAGGCCCGCGCCGGATGCTCGAGTCCGCCCATTTCCCGACCGCTGTCCTCCAACCGCTCGCCAGAGTCTCCCAGTCTCACCTCAGCCCAGTCCGCCCAGGCTATGCAAGCACCTCGCGCGCCTTGGCCTTGTCTCTCCTGGCCGCGACCTTGCGGAACAGCCACACCAAATTCTCGTACACCACGAACGTCGTGCACGTCCCGGGGAGGATACGCAGCGCGTTCGTCCCCAGCCCCTTGTAAAAGCCGAGGAGGCGCTCGCCGCGCCACGTCTGCCGGATGACCTGCGGGATCGTGAGGCCCTGCGCGCCGTTCTGCCGTCAGCGTAGCCATGCCTACACCCACTTGTATGCGCGCGCGCACGACTTGGTACGGGTACGTGAGTGCGATCGCGACAAACTTGGACGCGCCGGACGCGAGGATGTATTCCGTGTTTGTGAGTTTCTCGTCATCGATGCGCCACTCGCGGCCGGCGCGCACGAAGCGGCGGTGTTTCGCGTCGATGCGGCGCCGCTTCAGGTCTTCGTACGTCGCGAACTGGATCGAGCCGTTCGAGACGCCCACAAGCGCGAGCAGCGAGCCGCGGTACAGCCCGCGCCAGCCCTCGGCTGTGTAGATCCTGCTCAGCGTGTCTGGCGTCAGCGAGGAGGGGAGGGGGGGGGGGGGGGGGGGGGGGGGGGGGGGGGGGGGGGGGGGGGGGGGGGGGGGGGGGGGGGCGTACTGATCAGCCCGGAGTAGGCGCGCGGGTCGTGCGACGGCGTCGCGAAGATGCGGGTCTTGGCGACCCAGATGGGGTTCGTGAGCATCGCCGTGATGGCGCTCGCTTCGGCCGCAGCCAGCAGGTGCTGCCCCGCACTCGTGCGGTACGTCGGGTCGCCGCCCTGCATCTGCTTCTTGATCATGTTGTAGCTGGGGTCAGCGGTCACCCGGTCGTCTGGCAAGCTCGCTCCTGTCCATTTGCGCCTCGCGAGCTTTGCTTCACTTTCGTGCCCACTTACAAGAGGAAATACAGGCCCCAGCTGCTCGCGCCGCCGACGAGGTTGGGTATCAGGCCGCGATAGAGGCCGCGCCAGCCGTCTGCGCGCACCGCGTCCGCGAGCGCGTCGTAGACGCCACGCCCAAGCCGGGCTTTTGGCGCGTTGGCATCCGCGAGCTGAAACCGGACCTTTACGAGGTCGAGCGGGTGCATTACCAGCGTGGCGACGGTGCCAGCGCCAAAGCCGGCGATGGCATGGTCCTGGTGTGAGCATGTGGGGCAACGGCAAGCCAAGAGTTTGAGCTCCACGGGCAGCGGGGACTCGGGGATGAAAGGTCGGGACGCCAGTAGAGCTGCATGACAACTCACAACGGACACCTCGCCGAAGAGCGAGGGCTGCGCGGACGGCTGGAGGTGTGGCCGTTCGGGGATAGTCTCGCTTGTTGTTTGGGGAGTGGAGGAGTTGGGGGTCGACATGGCGTCCGAGGATATGCAGTGGGCGTAGGGGCACGGCGCTGCGTTGCGCCGGCCGTTGTTAGACAGGAGGTGGGAGAGTGGCGATGGGCAGATGACGGAGGATGTTGATGTCGGAGAACCAAAAAGTTGGGTTTGATTGGTGACGAGTGCGGATCGCCGAACGGCGGCGGCGGATCGGCTAAGTCCCGCATCTCCGCCCTCCGTCATCGCACATGACCCTCAAGTGACGCCAACATCGGAGCGCATACAGCACACTATAGAGCCTATGCATGCCGAGTCTACGTTCTAACGTGATATCATGCATTGCATTGCCGCGTCCTGTCAGGTTCCACTTATGGCGGCATCATGCAGGCGCGAGGGTGGGCTACTTGCCCATTGTCGCCTCGCGATCCATCACGCGCTGGTCGAGCTTGACCAAGATGACAGTCCGTTGGGGGAACTGGTCGGTGGCAACGGTGTGGGCAGTAACGCGCGCAGGCTAGTGTGAGCTGCGCCTGCGGGAGGAAGGGCAATGCCAGACTTACCACATCGAGTCCATCTAGTACGCCCTCGACGATACCGGCTGTGAAAGCCTCGCAGCTTAGCCCGCCCATGTCCTTTGGCACCGAGATGTGCTGTGTCAAGGGCGGCTGGTTCATTGTGATCATGTCTGATGTCAATTGGACTCCGGACTCTGATGGAGAGAAACATACACTCGTCTTCGCCCTCGACGCTGCGCTCAAGACCGTCGGCTGTCCTTCCAAAGCAGTACCGATAAACCTGGGTGTGGACAAACTGGAGAATTGGGATGAGACGGTGTTCTCGGCGTGGATCCTGTCATCAGCTAGTTCTTCCACCCACCCGATAGCTGCACACACCTTCATGTTGTTGCCCTGCGCCTGCCGCAACAACAGAAGAGCAAGAATGCGTTGCCCAGCTTCATATCCTAGAGCTGAGAGTCTGCGATCAGCGAGTCCGGATTGGGTCAAGCTCACCGCTTCTCGAGGTCGTTGACGCTGTCGACTCGGGATTGAGAGTACGAGATGATCTCTGCGAGCATGAACGCCCATGCTGCAAGCGATACCTCTGAAGCGCGTGTGCGGTTGAGGGGACGATCGAGGATGTTGGCGCTGGCGATGGGGGGGAGGGAGGGGTGAGGGGAGTGCCTCGAGGTGGATGCGAGACGCTGTTGAGCGGCGATGGTTGAGGAGGATGTGTTTGCCGAGTAGGACGAGTAGAGAGATGCGCTTGCAGGAGTTGCGGGACCTGCAGACATGGTGAAAGAGGAGGGAGGGAAGGGTGACGACTGGAGCTGACTGGAGCTGACTGGAGCTTGATGGATGTTGACGCGACTGATGCTCACTGCCATGGTGACGGGAGACGGAGGGAGACGGAGATGGGGGGTGATCTCCGTTGATGGTGTGGTGACCGCGTGGCGTCCACGCCAGTCCCACGTGAAACCAACGTGCATCGGGGGTGGCCGATAGCGAGATTTGATTCCGGGTGAACGAACGCAGGGCCAAGCCCTTTGAAAGTGATCACGCAAGACGTTTTGGACATCCAAGTCGGCATGACCTTCCCTCGGCCACTCACATCCATGGTTGGCCCGACGTCGGTACCGCCGTAGTCCTATGCATCCCCCCCTCCCTCCCTCTCCTCTTCATCCTCTCTACTCCTCCTCCTCCTCCTCCTCCTCATCTCCTTCCACAATGCATTCAAACGGCTCCTCCTCCTCCTCCTCCTCGTCGTTCACAACAACATCACCTGGTGAGCTCTCTCTCTCTCTCTTCCTGACAACATCTGACCCACCCAGGAACAACCTCCTCTTTCACCAATCCATTCTCCGCCCTTATCGACCAGTCCGTTGCAACTCTCCCACAGTTCACCTTCGAGTCAGGCGTCACTCTCAAAGATGTCCCCGTAGCCTACAAGACTTGGGGCCGTCTGAACGCCCGCGCAGACAACTGTCTTGTCATTTGTCACGCTCTCACAGGCAGCGCCGACGTTGAGGACTGGTAAGCAACCGAAAACCCCGATGGCGTGCTCACCCCTCCACAGGTGGGGCCCACTTCTTGGCCCGAACCGTGCTTTCGACCCAACCCGTTTCTTCATCTTCTGCGGCAATGTCATCGGCTCTCCTTACGGTACAGTGTCCAGCGTCACTGCAAACCCCGCAAACGGCAAGCCATACGGCCCAGAGATGCCTGGTAGTAGCATCAAGGATGACGTCCGGTGAGTAGCTGTGCTGCTGCACAGGTGGTGACGAACATCTGTTCGGCTACCCAAGCCAAAACACCACCTCCCTGAACCACAACATTTCTGCCTGATATCTCAATCTAACATTAGGTTGCACTTCACCGTCCTCCAGCAGCTTGGCGTCAAGTCGATTGCGGCTGTCGTTGGCGGCTCGATGGGTGGCATGACCTGCCTTGAATGGCCCCTCAACACGCCTCCTGGCTTTGTCCGCGCCATCGTTCCTCTTGCAACCTCGGCTCGTCACTCGGCATGGTGCATCTCGTGGGGTGAGGCGCAGCGCCAGAGCATCTATTCCGACCCCGACTACCTCGACGGTTACTACTATGACACACCCCACGGCATCGACATGCATGCGCAGCCCAGCCGAGGGTTGGCGGCCGCACGCATGGCTGCGCTCCTGACATACCGCTCGCGCGACAGCTTTGAATCGCGATTTGGACGTAAGACGGGTGAAGGGAGGAAGAACAAGCAGGCGGCAGGTGTGCGGGTCATGGGTGGGACTGAGACGACCAACCCACTCGACCCGAGCGAGATCGACATCCGGTCCCCGCACTGGAAGCAGCACAACGACGGGCATCGGTCATGGGCCAACTCGTCTCGCCAGGGCTCGCGCGCGCCTTCCCCACCCAGCCCGCACGCATCGAAGCGAAACAGTGTTGACGCGCCCAACGGCTCAAACATTGACATTGGGATCCCTAGCGGAATTGGCGCCGGAGTTCGTCAGCCAAAGGTTTTCAACGCCCAGTCCTACCTCCGCTACCAGGGCGACAAGTTTACCTCTCGTTTCGACGCCAACTGCTACATCCACATTACCCGCAAGCTTGACCAACACGACCTGAGCCACCCCTCAGTGTTCCCGGGGAGTGTGAGCCACAGTTTGCCCACCGTGACGGCGGAGGACGACAGTGAGCTGGAGAGCGCTCTGCACCACGCGCTCTCGCTCGAGCCGCCCGCCCTAATCATTGGCATTGAGAGCGACGGCCTTTTCCAGCCATCTGAGCAGCGCGAACTCGCCGCCCACATCCCGGACGCAGAGCTTGTCATAATCCCCTCGCCTGACGGACACGATGGCTTCCTCCTCGAGTTCGAAGCGATCAACGGCTGGGTCGACGGGTGGATGCGGCGCAAGCTGCCCGAGTTCTTTGGGGAGCGCGTCATCCCGCTCGAGGAGTACGAGGCGGGCGAGCAGGACGGGTTCGCCGTCAAGAAGGAGAGTGTGTTTGGCGAGGCAGAGGCCGACGTCACGCGATGGTAGACAGAGACAGAGGTGGAGGAGGCGGAGTCGGTCCAAGCTGGTATAGTACGCCAGCAGATCGGATTATGTGTCCGGTCCAACATCGGGTTTTCTTGCATAGTTAGCATTGCCGGTCCAACATCGGCTCAATCAGTAAAGCAAAGCATAAGTGTACAATTGTACGTAGCAATAGCATGTTATTGGATAGCGGGGCAGTGAGAGCATCACAGGTCGAGATGAGTGGAGCGTGACATTTATTTGGAAGATTGCAAGACCCCAAGGCATGTTGGATCTCGGAATTTGTTAAAGTCACAGCCAACATGCCAGCGACGTCGCCTGCGGTGTCGCATCTTTCATTCTCTACCGAACGACCAGTGCTGGAGCTAACCATGCCTGCCATCCGACAGGCCGGAGTCATGCTCGGAGCCGATGCGCATCAATACATACAAGTCAGATCTATCTCAGTCTCTAGCAGCGGTGCGCAAGCACGGCATGGGTTGCAGCATCGCGAGGGCGCAGGTGCAGATGGCGCCGCAGACTACCTACTCCCAAGCCGTCTTCGCACGCTGCCGCTTAGCCTACAGTCAGCACTGAACTCCTGCATCTCCCCTCAAGTGTCCCAAGGCATCCAGCCTCGCGCCCACACGCACCTTGCGGTCTTCGATCTGCTTGACCTTGACAGCCATCTGCTCGATGCGGTCGAGCGCCTTCTCCTTGGCCGTCTCGCTCGTCTTCTTCTTCTTGCCGCGCTTGGACTTCTTCGACACCTCGATCTTGCCGCCCGGCGTAATCATCGTCGCTGGCAACCGTTTATTCTTCGCCAGCTTGGCCGCGGACACCTGGCTCTCCTGCCCGCGGTGCGTCTGCGCCGTCGCCTTGCGCTGCGCCAGCTCGCTGATCTGCGCCTGCACGTCCAGTACTGTTTCTGCGGGTGCTGCTTGGTCTGGCGTCAGAATTCCGCGTGTTATCCCGCCCGCGCCCGCGTCTCATCACCCTCGTACTCACTCGACATGGCTGGTGTTGTGAACTCGAATTGGTGCCAGTGAGTTGAGTTGGGTGGCCAAAATCAACTCCCAACATCTCAGGCACGCCGGAGATCCGCGACCTCCGCTCGCCTACTTTGCCGACATGACCTGCAGCTGACCTCCGTCGTTCCCACTCCGTCGCTCCGTCTCCGTCGCCGCAATGAGCGCCCCCCGCGGCCCAGCCCTCTGGCTCCGCCGCGCCCGCGAGCTCGTCTCCGACCTGCATGCCCACGCGACCGCCACGCCCACACACACCCCCGCCTTCCGACCACCCGACTGGCTCCGCCCGCCATGGGACCCGCCGCCGCCCGCCCCCGCGACGCCGGGGCCCAGCACGCCGACGAACGCCGAGCGCTGGCGCAGCGCCTACCGCGTCCCCGCGCCGCCGGCGCACCGCCTCCCGCCCTCCCCGCACACCCCGCCGCCGTACCCCAGCGCATGCGACGAGCCGAGCTGCCGCACCCCCGCAGCGGCCGTCGCGCCGGGAGAGGCGGGCGAAGAGGAAGCTGGTGCGCAAATGCGCAGCGTGCTCCGCTCCGTCGCGCAGGTGAGTCTCCGTCGGCTCTCCCCTCGGCGCTGCCTTGCGACCCCCTCGCCTCCCGCTACCCGCCTCCCTCGCCCATCGCTAACCCCAGCCCGTCGTCGTCGCGGTCGCGCGCACCGCCAACGAAACAACACCATACCACGGCGCAACACTAACCTCCTTCGCCTCACTCACGCTCGAACCACACCCGCTCGTCGCCTTCTCCCTGCGCCTGCCATCGCGCATGGCCGACTGCCTGCGGCCCCCGCCCTCGGCGCCGCGGACGAGCGGCGCGCCCGTCCCCGCACACCTCTGCGCGCCGCGCGCCGCACCGACGCGCCTGACGATCTCGCTGTTGGCCGGCGACAACCAAGCTGTCGCGGACGAACTCGCGACGCCCGGCGTCGATCACTCCGCCATCTTCCGCAGCGACGAGTGGGACGCGCGCGATCCCCCCGCACTTAAGAGCGCCGTCGGGTGTCTCGAGTGCCAGGTGGTGCATAATCTGCCGTTGCGCGACGTCGGGGGGGAGACGAGCAGCGATAAAGAGGGCAGCGAGCTCTTTATTTGTCGCGTGCTCAAGGCGGAGCGGGGAGGGGGGAGTGACAGCCTCGTCCATTTCCAGCGCGACTACTTCTCGGTGCGCAAGTGAGGAGCTCTAGGAAGTAACAAACGCCGTGTTGATGTATCATATGACATTAGGTACACTGACGCAGGCTATACAATGGGGGGCATGGGCTACTTCGGGCGGCGCTCGATAGCCTGCAGGCGGATTTTCTTGTCGTACTGCTCGCGATTGTTCCTGCCGTCAGCTCGCTCCATGGCAGTGCGTACTTGTACATCGTGTACGCGTCAATCTGGGCCGGGTCGCCAATGTTGGCGTGTTCAAGCAAGTCTTGAATTCCGAGGACGATCTGGGTGAGTGGACGGCCACACGCGCGCCTGCTTACCTGCTTGATGCTGATGGCGGGCTTCCACGACTTCTCCTCGTCCAAAATCGACAGACAAATCGTCCCGCTGGGATAGACGTTGGGGTGGAACAAGGGAGGGGTGAACTTGCCTGTCGTCAGCGGCACGCCTCCTCGCAGCCTTCTGCAAGACGCACACTTTGGAGGCTTTGTAGGGTAGTCTGCAGTTAGATCCGTCGTGTTCTCAGTGCTCAGCTCACCATCGGGGAAAGTCATGGTTACGACATACAGGCCGCCCGCCCAGTCCGTCTGAAGTCAGCGTGCGCCGGGGTCACGCGCTCACGCCTTCTTTGCCGGGGATTCCGACGTCCCAGACCATCATGTTGAGGGTACCGTCCTCCTTTTTCTGTGGGCGCGCATAGAAACCCTGTCGTCAGTGAGTCGGTCGTTGGCGGAGGCGCACGAATGGGTGGTCCTTGCGCCACTGTTTGCGCTCCTCTGTGAGGCGCGCCGTCGCGAGGGATGACTGGGGTTAGCGATGCCCGCTGTAAGGGCGCTAACCATTATTGGGATCCGGAGAGGGGGGAGAAGGGGGAGAGGGCGAAAGAGGAGAAAGAGATGGAGATGCTGAGAATGCGTTGCAACAAGTCGGAGATGAGGGCTTGCACAGAGAGTTCTGTTGATGATTCAATCAAGATGAGGGCGGAAGCATTACCTAACTCCACGCTATTCCCGCGTGTTGGTGGAGACCCCGCATCCGGCTGTACGGTGGAGATACCTCGGAAGCGGGGATGGGCTGCCTGGCATTGTACTCGTGACGACTGCATCGCCTGCAACAACCTTATACTTTCTCCATCTCTCTCATGCGCGCATGATTGCGCTCCACACTCCTTCCATGCTCCTATTCACGCTCCTTTGTGCTCTCGTGGCGTCCACTGCCGCTACTGCCGCTGCCGCTCCGCCCGAGGCCAGCGACGTCCTCGAGGGCAAGCCCGAGGGGTACTGCAGCGTGAGAGACCAGCCCTGGGACCAACTAATCTCAGCCCTCGGGCCCCATCGAGGCGACCAACTGCGCGTACGAGACAATCGAGGGGCTCAACACCGAGCTCTTCCCCGCCGTGCATGACCTCGTCTCCCACCCCTTCTTCAAGTACTACAAGATCGACCTGTATCGCGAGTGCCCGTTCTGGAAGGATGACAGCGGAATGTGCATGAACCGCGCGTGTGCAGTGCAGGAGGCCGACGAGGCCGACATACCGGAGAAGTGGCGCGCTCGCGCACTCTCCGAGGTGCACCTCCCGGACGCGCAGGAGGCTGAGGGCATGTCGGGTTGCTACTTCCGCAACGACGACTTCTGCGCGACTGACGACGATGCCAGTCCAGGTGAGCAATGGGTGCGGAATTTCGGCGCTGACCCCAGGCGGCCAGTATGTGGATCTCACCCTCAACCCCGAGCGATACACGGGATATGCGGGCGGCAGCGCCCACGATATTTGGAAGGCCATTTATCAGGAGAACTGCTTCGGGCTGAGCGAGGCCAGCATTGCCGACGCCAAGGCCGGGCGAGGGCGCAGCGTTGCGCCTCCCACTTTTGGAATGGGTCCCATGGGCGGCGATATGCAGCGCGCAGGACTTGCGCCCGCCGAGACGTGCGAGGAGAAGAAGCTCTACTATCGCGTCATCTCAGGTAAGCCATCTTTCGGCGATTATGGGCCCACCTGACACGATACAGGCCTACACGCGTCGATCGCTACGAGCATCTGCGCAAACTGGCTCGACCGCGAGACGGGCACCTGGTATCCAAACCTCGACTGCTTCATCTGGCGCCTTGCCAAATTCCCCGAACGCCTCGGCAACGTATACTTCAACGCAGTCCTGCTGTTGCGCGCCGTTGCCCGCGCAGCGCCATACTTCCACGCGTACGATATCGCCATCACTCCTCCATCCCTGCGGTTGAAGGAGCACACGGCCCGCGAAGTCGTAGACGACGCGACACGCGCATCCTTCGAGAAGGTGTTGGCATTGGCAGAGCGCGCCGACATAGCCTCCAGCTTTGAGGAGCGCGCCTTCTTTACCGACCCCGACGCGCCAGTCGTCATGGACCAGTTCAAGAGCCACTTCCGCAACGTCTCCCGTATCATGGACTGCGTCGGGTGCGACAAGTGCAGGATGTGGGGCAAGCTGCAGGTATCGGGGTTCGGCACTGCACTGAAGATCCTGTTCGCACTGGACGAGAAGGACTTGAAGTACGCCCGCCGCAATACGAAGCTGACAGCAGTCCCAAGACCAACCCGGACCTCCTGCGGCGTACCGAGGTCGTTGCGCTCTTTAACACGCTTCACCGCGTCGCTGAGACGCTGCACTCGGTCGCGAGCTTCCGGGAAATGTGGGCTGAACGGATGGCGCAGGAAGCCGAGATCGCGGCCGAGAAGGCCAAGCCGGCCGGCGACGACGTGGCGACGACATCCCACTCGTGGCTGGGCTCGGGGCCGGGCGCGCTCGCCACGTCCGTCCTTGCCATTCTCGAGGCGGTCCGGCGCAACTGCCGCGGATGCGTGCGCGCCGTCGCGCGCTGGCTGGCGGGCACGCGCAAGACCGAGCTGTAGTACTATCATTCATCATGTTGCACTTTGTTTTAGTATGGCGATCGAGGGGATGCGGATATACCCAGGGGTAGTTCCGAGACTTGTGGAGACGAGTCAGGATGGGAAAGCGGTTGCGGGAGTGCCTGCCCCACCACCCTTCACGCTCTTCCGCCCGCTGTCGCGAGGGGGCAGATCGATCCGCTGCAGTGATTCCAAAGCATGTATTACCCGAGACCAGCGTACGCTGTGTTGGATGGAGACACTTCCTAGTATTGAGCACCGCGATCGTCTTTTGATGGTCCGACGGTGTATTTGAATCGAGGGTGTATGGGGCTGTGCGGCTTACATATGCTTAGGCAGAAAAGAGTTGACGATATGACAATAGATTGTGACTTGTCATCAGCTCAATGTCCCAGTCAATCACAACCGTCGAGACGCGGCGTCAACCAGCGTGTGGCGCTCCCCAAGAAGGCGCTGGAAGCCTGTATCGCCGCCCTGCTATGTACCAGCAGCGCAAGTCCTGCCATGGCGCTCCGATACATCAATGTGAAGTTGTGGTTGACGTGGGTTAACGAAGTGACATACTGGTGAGTTTGTGCTGTTAACAATTGAGACGTTCTTTGGACCACTCAATCGACGCGCTTGTCGCCTTGTTAGTGCAGGGTCAGTCGTGAATTGTAGCTACACTTGCTGCACCACTGTGTGATGTGTGAGCTGGAGGCCACTTTGCGGTCACATGGGCGCACTCTTCTCGACTCTATAGGTACAAAGAGCTGATGCTTTTGCCACTCTCTCCCACATCTTCCTCGTCTCGTTTTATTTCAAACTTGCATCTTTCTCATACCTCTCTCATCCTCTCATACCTCTTCAATCTCTTCCGTCACATTTCTGATACCTCTCGCACCTCCCTCCCGTCTTTCGCATCCCCCTCACCTGCGCACCGCACTCCGACGTCCTGTCGTCTTTTCAGCTCCTGTCCAGTTCTCTCAGAGTCTGGATCTCCTCCCCGTCCCCCTTCCCCTGCACCCGTCCGCCGTTAATCTCAAAGCCTGGCGCTCCCTCTTTCCCTCTCCTGCCCAACAACGCTCGGCAGAATCCACCTCCCGCGATGCCGTGCGAAAGCTGGGCCTACCACGACCGCACGTGCCTCGACATCTGCCCCTTCTGCGAGAGCTGCATCAAAGACTGCCGCTGCTCCCACTGCGGGAGCTGCGTCACCTATTGCCCTTGCCACGATGACCCCGATGATACCGGATGGCTCTGCAGCGACCGCGAATGCGCCATCGGCCGCGACAACCGCCGCGTCCGCGTTCATCCCTGCGAGCTGTGCGACCGCATCCACTGTGTACCTTGCAAGTGCGGTATCTGGTGCAGTTTCGTCTGTGCGTGTCCGCACTGTTCGGATTGTCTCTATTCCTGCGATTGCCACGAGATGAAAGACGGCCGCAAGCTGTGCAGTGAACAGTCCTGCCCCGTCGGAGGAGTCACACTCGACAAATGTTTGGCGTGCGCGACGCATCGACGTCGATGTCCTGCGCGTGAGTGCAAGCGGTGCGACTTTCCGTGCGCGTGCACGACCTGCGACAAGTGCAAATACTCGGCCTGCGAGTACAAACATTACCATCCGGGCCGTAACGAGACCCACATCATGTGTAATGACCACTCGTGTCGGAAACGCTACCGTCTCTGGAGTGCGACTGGCTGAGTCAGGTGCGCACCTTCCGCATCAACGTTCTGCGTCTTCGACGATCGAGACCCCCAGCGCGTCGACCGCTATATCAGCCTTCCTAAACCCAATTGCTTCCCAATCCCAGCGTTCAGTGATAGACAACCGTGTAGTATTCGCTAGAAATCGGGTCACTAAAAGTGTTAGGCGTCACGTCACATAGAATGTAGTAACGCGGAGTAGATGCGTGTTAGAGACTTGAAGTTTCCTTGATATCGTGAAGAGTGCGAGCCAAGGACCGCAGAGTAGAATCGCGGCGTCGAGAGGGTGTTTCGTGGCATCTCCCGCGAGACATCGCCCTCAAGGACTGCATAGGGCTTGAGGTCAGATGTGGGAGCACTTGGTCTCACCAAAGCAACGTTTGTGTTGTCCTTGCAGACAGTACTGCCAGCCGCCAGTTGCTCGCTTGAGCCACCTTTTGCTCCGAAATTGGTTTGCGTTAAAATTAGCATGGCGCGGGGCGCAACGCAGTGCGGCACTCGCCCTTTTATGCAGAATAGAGCTCAGTAAACTGTCAGTAAATTTGGAAGCGCGTGTATGGGGTTAGCCTCGGTCTCCCAGTCCCAAGTATCTACTGTAGACTACTGTAGACCGTCTCACGATCCGAGCGTTTCGGCCGGACTGTCATCGTCCGCGGCGAGATCTATCCGTGCCGTGTCAGCTGATCAGTCCCCGCACAGACATTGCCTGCTTCTGCCCACCTCGACCCCGGCACATCTGAAGTTGGCGTTGACAGCCCGATCGGAGCGAAGAACCACGAATCTTCGCCTCGGGCAACCTCGCTCGTCACGGTTCTCTCGGGCGGCCTGTGCGTGTCGGCGGATCTCGCCCGTGATCCCTGACGACAAGCACGAGCATATAAGAGCGCGTCGGCGCAAGGAATCACTCCATGAACATCACCATGATCGCCACTGTGGGTCGCAGCGGTACGTGGCTCACCCAGACTACTCTCGTCAACTTCCAGGACTGCGGCTCGTGCTCGTGCGGCTCGGGATGCGGGTGCAAGTACGTTGTGGGCGGCGGCGCTGACGCAGGCCTGGAGAGTGCAAATGCTAAGCCGCGGCGATAAGCAACCGTGCGTGGAAGAGGACAGGCGATGGATACGAGATCGGTGGAGGTCAAGGAAGAATTTATGCGAGTGCTTCTGAACCGAAATCTGTTGCTTTTGCTTCGTTTCCGTCGCTCGGCACCGTGAGCTCTTGTCATGTTTGGGGAAAGCGCTTACCGTCCCGTGGCCCGTGATCGCTGTCCTGAGAATGTTATAAGTGCTGATTCCGCCTCTCGGCCCAACACAACCCACTTTGTCCCACTTCAACGCCCTCACTGCATCCCCCACGCCGCGGTCGATCCATAAACCCACAGAAATGACCTCCAACGTATGCACCTCGCCGACACCATCTTACCCAGACCACCCTTGTCAACGAGCACTGCGGCGCGAACACGTGCAACTGCGGACCGAACTGCGCTTGCAAGTAAGTCCTCCGCAACCACGGCTAACAACTGCCCCAACTCGTGTGGGTGCTAGTCGATAGTCGGTCTGTCTCCCGCGATGACCAGCCCGTGGGAGTGACTGCGAGGAGAGTTAGAAAGCGTGAAGACTGCAGAATAGGGAGCGGCGTCAGAAAGTCAGTAGAAGATGAATGTTTCAGCCTGCCTGTCGGTACGAGGCTATAGAGAAGGAAACAGGTGGTCAGGTGGTCAGATGTTTCAGTCTCGACCTACTGCTTAGTTGCAGCTCGACTTCGCCCTCGACTCGCCCGTCGATACTATCACAGTCTTCCTCGTGTCGGCGTCGTGGCTTTGTGAGTGTCCAATACCAATTTTAGGGACACGTATGCACACCGGTGGCGACAGGTCATTACTTACCTTGAACGAGGATGCTGGTAAATCTTACTAGTGTACAAACAGGGCGCCGGGCATCAAGGCAATCTACAGAGAGCTGGTTCGTGTCAGTTGCATTTCCCGAGTTGTGCCACACACCAACTAGCGTACGTAATGTCACGCCAGGCCTTACGTAACCTTTCCAACCTCCACCTTGCACCGCTCGATGGCTCTCGCAGCATGGACCCTGAGCCCACTCTCCGCCATCGTCATCATCCACCCGCTCTTCCTCATCATCGCTCTCTCTCCATCCTCGCCGTTCACGACTCTCTCCTATCTCTTTCTCATCTAGGCTTTGTTATCTCCCACTTACCCCCCAGCTCTTCTCAGCACCGCCACGACCAGTCCGGACACGTCAACGACCTCAACCTCACGAACAGTCTCCTCTCCTCCTCCCCCCCATCTCCGAGACCCAACCATGTTCTCCGGACCAACTAATCCCTACGACGAACTCGTCAGTGAGTAGCCGTTCGCAATGGCCGCATAGACCCCAGGCGCAGGCAACGTGTTCAGCTGTACAGTCTGGTCCGCGCGCCATCCATCACGCCGCCCCCCGCCCCCTCCCGCGTTCGCCGCTGACAAACTAGATAAGGCAACCGACGAGAACCTCGCATCCGAAGACTGGGATGTCAATCTTCAAATCTGCGACAAGGTCACCGCCGAGGGTGCGCCGGGGTAAGTTGGCTTTGGCTTCTGTCGCCCAAGAGTTGGAGCTGACACGTCTCTTTCTGCTCGCCTGTCCGATACCCCTATGCCGCCGCCGCCTTCCTTATTCAGCGCCCGAAACGCAGTCGCCGCACTTGTCAAGCGCCTCGCACACCGCAATCCCAATGTGCAGATTTACGCACTCGAGCTCGCGAATACACTCGCACAGAACTGCCAGCGGCCGCTGCACCAGGAGCTGGCCGGCAAGCAGTGGACGACTGCCTTGGAGCGGATCCTGAACGACCGCGTGAGCTGTCAGGACAAGACATGATGTTCTGACAACAGGCCACTGTTAAGCCCGTCCAGACCAAGGTACTCAAGTATGTGAAGGAGTGGACACAGCAGTTTGAGGGCACAGGCGACTCGCAGCTCGGTCTAATGTCTGAGCTGTACGATAAGCTCCGGGCGAAGAGTAGGTCGACACTGTGCGACCTCATGCTAACTTAGACTATAACTTTGACGAGGTCGACGAGGCAGTGGTCAGCCCGGAGGAAGCGAGACGCCGCGCCGAGGAAGACGAGCTGGCCCGCGTGCTCGAGCTTTCCAAGCAGGACAAGGGCGGACGGGGCTCAACTGGGTACGCCAATCAGGGAGGATCGAGTGGAGCTGGTTCGTCGAGCGCCGGTCCCGCCGCCGCGGTCGCATCTGCTGCTGTTGCTGTGGGCGCTGCATCGCATGCGTCTGGCCCGTCGCGCCCACCTGCAGCCCAACACAGCCAGTATAACGGCCCCTCCGCACACGACTACGAATTGATGAATCCCCCGCCCCAGGAGGCCCCGGCTTACCAGGCGCCATCTATCGGGTCCTATGCCCAGCAGGGGTACCACGCCCCGGCCCCGGCCCCCCCTCCCGATGCCCCGCTCGACATCAACAAGGCAACGCGCGTACGTGCGCTGTACACCTTCCAGTCTGAGACCGTCGGGGAGCTGTCATTTGAGCGCGGTGACATGATCAAGGTGCTCGACCGCAATTTCCAGGAGTGGTGGCGTGGTGCGTGCAACGGCAAGATCGGCATCTTCCCCGTCATATACGTGGAGCCGCTGCCAGAGCCGACTGCCAGAGAGTTGCAGGAGGAGGCGCAGGAGGAGGCGCGCGTTTTCGCTTCGCTTGGCCTCGTGGACCAGCTGCTCCAGACGCTCAAAAGTATCGACCCTTCCAGTGGCGACCGCCTCGACGACAAGCCCGAGATCGAGGAAATGTACCAGGCCAGCGTCGCGTTGCAGGGTCAAATCAACGCGCTCATCAAGAAGTACTCCGACCAGAAGGCTGAGCTCGAGCACATGAACGCCAATTTCCTGCGCGCGATGCAGCAGTACGAAGAGCTCAAGGGAGGGGGTGAGTCACCTCTTAGAGATGTTGTCGCAACACGCCACTGACGCCAGCCCACCCTCCGCCGCAGCCCTACCCACCCCAGCCATATGGCCCGCCGGCGCCGGAACCCCCGCAGAGCTTTAGTACCCCCCCTCAGCCGTATGGGTACCAATACCCGCAGGACTCGCCTGCCCCTGCTCCACACGGCCAGCAGTATACACACGACGCACCTTCAGCGGCGCACTACCCGACTGAGTCGCCTGCCGCGATGCCGCAGGCGCAGCCTGCGTACCCGCAGCCGCAGCCGCATCAGCAGCCGGGTCAGCCGCCGCAGGGCATGTACTACCAGAACCCACACAGCTCTACCAGTATCAACCACCCGCCAGCTGGATACGCGCCTGGGTCGCCGCAGCGGCATGGATCCACGGGCGCGCCTGCGGACCCGAACCAGGCCGCATGGGACGCATACTACCGCCAGCAAGGACAGGCGCCCCCGCAAGGCGCTCCTCCTCCCGGCGCGCCTTCTGGAGCCCCAGGTGCGGCACCATACCAGCAGCAGCAGCAGCAGCAGCAGCAGCAGTACTATGGGCAGCCACCTGTGGACGCTGTGACTGGGCAGATGGGTCGGATGAGCGTTGGCTAGAATGTGAATGAATGTATGTGACGGCGGCGGGGAGAGAGAGAGTGGAGCAGTTGAGTCGTGCAGCAGCCGCGGAAGAGGCGGAAGAGAGGAGGATGGCGAGGAGATATCATTTCGGGACTATTTGGCCGATCCCATCTTTGTTTTTCACCCTTCGGGGCCTCCACCCCGCTGCCTCCGCCCTGGACCTCCCTTGCCTCCGACGCCCAACTCCATCACTCGGCGACGGCACTTGGCATCAACAACGCCCATTAACCCATCGCCTCACTGCATCCCCTCCTTGTCCCCTTCTCTCCTCTCTCGTCGACGCCCACGCTCAACCCCCCGTCTCTGGCGCCACCCGCCGGCGCACGCCACCATGAACCCCTCACAATCCCACATGAACCCGTACTACCTGACGACCGATGCGCTGAACTACGGCTTCAACGGCTACTCGAGCGGCAGCGGCACCTCGAGCCCGGCGGGCATCAACCCCGCGCTCGCGCAGCCGCCCAAGACGGCCGTGCCTGCGCCGGCACCCGCGCCGGCGCCAGCAGCGGCCCCCGCCGCGCCGCTCTCCGGCCCCCTCGTCTCGCCCCACCAGGACTTGAACGACTTCCTGGAGAGTTTCTGGACACGCCAGATGGACGGCGTCGAGGGCGAGACGCCAGACTTCAAGACGTACAACCTCCCGCTGGCGCGTATCAAGAAGGTCATGAAGAGCGACGAAGAGGTCAAGATGATCAGCGCGGAGGGTGGGTGCTGGCGGGGGTGGGTGCTGATCGTAGCTCCTATCATGTTCTCCAAGGCGTGCGAGAGTGAGTACCTGACGAGAGAGCGTTCGTCCAGTCCCCCGCTGGAGACACTTCGCGAGGATCCCCATCCCACTCAGCTCACCCCCAGTCTTCATCTCCGAGCTCACGTGCCGCGCCTGGCTCGTCGCCGAGGGCCACAAGCGCCGCACCCTCCAGAAGTCGGACGTGGCGTCCGCCATTGCCTTTTCTGACGTCTTCGACTTCTTGATTGACATTGTGCCGCGCGACGACGGGACCGAGCACACGGTGCCGGCCGCCGCGCCGAGCAACAACGCCGAGCCTGAGCCGCCGGCAGCAGGCCACGATGCAGAGTGGCCCCGCCACGAGGACGAGCATGAGGGCGACGCTCTCTACTCCGAGTATGTCCAGGGTGAGGGCGAGGGCTTCGCATAGACAGCAACAGTGTATACCCCAGTAGTGTAGATGTAACATGCGTGATACCGGAATACTGTCGGACCATGATAACGGACATACAAACCCTTCCATGGCCACGTCCGCTGTTTACAACTCGCCGGTTAAAGGCCCGCCCGCCGCACGCTCCAGGTCGGTTCGGATACGCTTGCTCTGGGCATCGCGTCTTGCCGCACGACGCTCCGCAGGCGTCCGATTGTCTTCTTCGGTGTTGCGCCGTCGTGAGGGACCCGGCTCGTCTTCTTCTGACTCGTCGTCGCTCTCGCCCAGAAACCTGGCATCAGCGAGCCCACTCGTCCGAGCAGACGTACAGTTTTTCGATGAAGGCGGCTGCCGCCATCTCTGAGAACTCGGCCTCGCGCGACCCCCAGCGCCACTCGATTTCGTCGCCCGCCCCATCTCCGCCGGCGTGCTTGCGTTTTGTCTGCCGTCAGCTGTTGCCCCTCCAACGCTCACCTTCTCGAGGTAGTTTTGCTTTGCCAGCACATCCATGAACTGCTCAAGAGTAATTGTGCTGGCGTGGGAGTCGGAGCTCCTCCACGGTAGCACGGCGTGGCGCTCGAGGTTGAGACGGCGGAGGAAAGCATACAGCGCACCTAGGGTGAGTGTCTCCTTTGAGCGAGTACTCACGTTCTTCAATGACGCGCCCTTGGGCGAGGATCAGGCAGAGGATGACGGTCCGGATACCGAGCAGCGCGACGTGCCCGGCGGGTGTGGGGTCAGCCTTGTCCCATCGCAGCAGGGCGCCGGAGTCAGCCTCGCCGTCAGCCACTAGATCGGCGTTGCCGCGATCCTCCTCGAAGTACGGCAACGGAGTGGGACGGTTCATCTCCGCAATCAGCGCGGGAGGCAGTACCGAGCGGAGAATGTATGTGCGGGTCGTGGGACCTGCCGTCAGTACTGCAGACTATGAAGCATGCCTTTCCTCTCACGCCGGGGCTGCGTGCTCTCCTCGGTCCCCTCTTCTTCCTCCTCTTCCTCGTCCTCCCGCCGCCGCCTCCTCCGCTGCGTCTGCGTCTGTGCCTGAGTTTGAGCCTGAGCCTGGGTCTGCGCTTGGGTGGCCTGCGTGAACTCGTCGCCGCGCTGCCGCGCGCGCAGCTCGTGGAGGTGCAACCCGAAGGTGTTCTGCAAGATCATCTGTGCCCTTTGCAGCACTACGGGAAAGTGGCGTGCCGAGTTAGGCAGGACTGCTGTCAGCTCCGCGCTCCAGGGACCCTAGGCCGGACGCACCGAGCTTGGTGATGACATCTCGGCGGAGCGGTTGGCGGCGGTGCTCGTGAAACAGCGCTAGTCGCACGAGGTGCGCGGCTGCGGTCTCCAAGTCCTGTAGTTAGATGGAGCCAAGAGCGCAGGTCACGCACCTGGACGGACATGCCGCCGGCGCCGTCGTCGGCGGGGTCATCGCGCTGAGGTTGGCGGCGGGGTGGCATGGCTGGCGGATAAGGCGACGAGCGAGTGTGAAGGGGAGAATGAGTGTGTAGTTCAGGCGGTTGAGAGAGTCACGATGTTGTTGAGAGTGATGATGTTGCTCTGGGACGGCTGAGTGGATCGAGCAGGGCCAAGGAAGGTGCAATCACAACGAAGTCGCGTCGCGTCCAGTCGGCGGATCACCTCCACGTGGGGCAGACCTCCACCCGTGTGCAGTTCAACGACGTCTTCATCAACTTGGACGAATTTTGGCCTCGACTTCATCCAAAGCTCAGCCGCTACACCGCACACTCTCTCTCGCCATGGCATCCCTCTCTCCCGCCGAGAAAGACTACATCGTCTCCGGCCTGCTCTCCGACCCGCCTCTGCGCGCGGACGGCCGCGCCCTGCTCTCCCCCCGCCCAATCCACACCGAGTACGGCGTCATGCCCGCCGCGAACGGGAGCGCGCGCGTGCGCGTCGGCGGCACGGAGGCCGTCGCGGGCGTGAAGCTCGACGTGACGGAGGTCCCGAAGGGGAGCTACGACGCCGGGGGCGAGTGGCGCGCGAAAGTCGAGGTCGACATGTAAGGCAGCGCGCGGGTCAGCTGACGGCAGCACGCCACAAGCCTTGCCCGCGGCAGACAGCAAGACATTGCAGACGCTGTCGGCGTCGTATGCCGCCCTGCTGGCGGAGCACTTTGTGCCTTCGCTCCCGCCGCTCAAGATCACTGAGACGCGCGCATTCGTCCCCTCCCTCCATGTTGCGTTGCTTTCGTGCGATGGCGCCGTTGCGGCCGCGCTCGCGCTCGCGGCGCGCGCCGCACTCGCCGACCTCCAGGTGCCGAATACGCGGGTGGTGGGTATGGAGGAAGAGGCGGACGCAGAGACACAGGCCGACCTCGCCGGCATCAAGGGCGCTATTGCGGCGGGCCGCGCAGGGAAGGGCAAGGGCAAGGCGCGCGCGCGCGGCGGCGACGACTGGGATATCGATGGCGAGGCCGCGCCGCTCGAGGGCCGCGAGACCCTGCCCGTGCTCGTTACGCTGAATGTCGCCGGCGACAGGGAGTTCGTGGACGCGACGCTGCGCGAAGAAGCTGCTTGTCCTGCGCGCGTGCATGTCTTTGTTCGGCCAGGGGGGCGGACAGCGGGGGTTCGGATGGAAGGCGACGGCAGCCTTGCGACGGAGCGCATTCGCCCCATGTTGGAGGTGCGACTCGACGCTAAACGCGACACTGACAGCAGGAAGCACGCCGGATTGGCCTCGAACTCGCAGCGGCGCTCAATGCCGACCTCCCATAGCTGTGTGCCGCATAGATGCATCCGTTTTTCTAGAATATGAGGTAATGGCTTCGTTGGGCTCTACATCGTGGCCCGGATCGTTTCATTTCGTGTCGTTGTGGGGCGTGGGCTGATAGCCGTTTGAATGCCGGATACTGATGCTGCTTTCCGCCTCTCCTCTGTCGGTTGTCTGTCTGTTCTATGCCTCGCCTTTGGCGCTTGTCTGCGTACCTGCTGTGCCCATCATATTATACAGCCCCTTCACTGTCACCAGCCTCGATCGGCTTGGCACAATTCTGCACCTCGCGCGCTGCTTCCATCATCCAAGCGTCAATGATTGTGCGAAGCATGCGTTCCCAACCATCTGCACGCTTCGCCACCACAAGGGGATCAAACTCGTTGACCTGTATACTGCGGCGGCGGCCGAGCGCTGCCTGTGCGGCGGCCTTGGGCGCAGTCGGTGGCGTTGGCATGGCGATGGGGATATTGAATCGCATGCGCACAGCACTGGGGTTAGCTACGACCCACAACAGCAGGCAATCCGCAGACTTACGCAGCCCAGCTAGTGAGGTTCTCGGCCCGGCGGAAGGTCCATTCGCCTTCTTCGGCGCCCAGCGTGTCGTGAAGGTCCTCGTCAGGGACAAAGCCCCATGGTCGTGTCGAAGTAAGAAGATATGCGTTGAAGGCGTGAGCGAGCAGGAAGCCGTCGCTGAGACGGTCTAGCAGCGCGTCACCCGGGGAGGGAAGGAGGGCGGCATGTTCGGGTGAAAGGTGCGCTTTGAGGAAGGCGTAAAGGCGATCTGCTGTCAGTTTTAGCTCTTGGGATCAGTGTCTCACCTATGCCTTCGAGCCCAGCCCACTCATCCGCTGGGCCAGCGGGTGCCTCGCGGAACAGACGTCCCACGACTTCGACCCAGCGGACGACGGCGTCGCGTGCTGCTCCACTCTCAGCCGCCCACTCCTCGTCTCCAACCGCGCGGTAGCCGTGTGCGTCCGCGACGATGCGCTCCTCCCATGGAGGGCGTGAGCTCGTCGCCTCGGCAATCCGCGCTGCCTCATTTATGTCGTATTCTTCGTCCTCGGACCACTCGTCGGCGCAGCTCGCTCCGCTCGTCGCCGAGGGGGACAGTTGGATGTGATCCTGCACCGGTGAGTCGGCCAGCTCGCCATTGACGACGAGCATGGGAAGGCTGTTGCGCAGTCGCTCCTCGAGAGTGCGGAGTTGGCCGAGTACGTCGAGCGCCGCGCGGCGCAGAGGGGCAGCGTGGTCAATTCCGAGGATCGGTGCTGAAACGGACCGCGGCGCAGCGCCCACGCCCGTCGGACGGGAAGGCACACTAAAGCTCGCGGGAGCGCGGGGCGTGCTGACGCGGCGGCCCGCGGAAGCCAGTGACAAGGCAAGAGTGCGCATGCGGCGCACCGCTGCAGCTGTGTCGACGAACACCTTCCGGAGATCGGAGGGCGCACCCTCTGCGGCCCAAGTGGCCGAGACATCGCGCGCAAGCATATTGGCCTCCTTGCGCGCATCGCTCGGTGCAATGCGGTTCAACGCGACGTTCTTCCATGGCTTTCTCTCGGTTCGCTCCGCTACACTGCCGAGGGGGGATGCGCGAATGCCTACGCCGACGCCGTCGCGATGGACCACGCCGCCGCCGGAGAAGTGGAGCTGGAGGTCACGGATTGAGGGGAGGGTGGCAACGCTGTCACGCTTGGCTGCGGAGCGGCTCACATGGCGATGGTACTTCCTGCGCAGAGTGTCTTTCAGAGGGGAAGGTTCATCGCCGTCGACACTTGATGGAAGGGTGTCAACTGTGGTGTGAGTGGTGTCGCTCGCGCAACCAGAGTCGCCGGTGCGCTGAATGACAAGCGGGGGTGGCGAGGGCTCGAGCGCGGTGGTCATGGTGTTGTCTAGAGCGGGTGATGGAATGAGATGGAGCTCTGGGCAAAGTTAGCTGGCGTTGTACGGGAAGGCCTCGCGCCTCAGGCGGGAGATGGAGGAGAGTTCGTACCTGTGACGAGTCAAGTTGAGAGGTTGGAGCAGAAGAAAGACGTGGACAGAGAGGAAGAGAGAGACAGAGAGAGCAGGGGCGATGAGGAGATAAAGACAGATGACACCGTGTTATAGCGACATGTGGAGATGGGGAGGAGGATGAATCGAGTTGAATCGAGGAGTGAGCGGAGAGAGAGAGATGAGAGAAATGAGGAGGCGAGTGGCGAAAGCGGGGGGTGGCGCGTGGGTGAGTGAGCCTTTTGCGTACCTTCCCGTTGTACCGTTGTTCAACCTTAGAGTATGCCTCACACCACCCTGTCCTCCTCCTCTTCCCGAGCCCCTCTCCATCGCAATCATGGCTGCATATCGTCCGGCTCATTGCTCTTACCCAGAATGCACACAGGTAGCGGTGTGAGTTGTTGGTGTGATCGTGCGGAACACTTACGAGTGTCTGTTGGATCTCGACTTGATCGTGCGGATTGCCCCCCTCATCTGCGCCTCTGCTTTGATGTCATGTGCCGCAAAACGCAATGCAATTGTCAACGACACTAATCTTCAGAGAAGTCACCTTTGGGCGTGCATGCCCCAGCGCCGCCCTTCAGTTGACGCATCTTGTGCATCGCGACGGGGCCATTCCCACGTCGATTCCGGCCATTCCATCACTACTCTCTCTCTCCCCGGCGTCGGTTTTGGCCGACCTCGGCTTTGACTTTTGCGGGTCGCGACGCGCCGGACGCGCGGACGCGTTCTCGACTTTTGGTATCCTGGGCGGATGATTGGATTATCCGTGCCTGGCCTCTCTTGATATCTTGTTCTGTCCGGATCTTGGCCTCGTCCTCCGTCTGTCTCAATTCAATTGTGACATTGAGGACCATGAGTCGCTTGATACCTAGATGCCCAATGCATCAAGCATTTTCATACGACATCACAGCGGAACATGTGAACGCGTCTACAGAATGTCTGGCGGATCTAGCATATCCAAAGTCCACGCGTGGAACACGTGACATCCACGTGCCAGCGCTCGTCGCCAACGCCACATGGACCAAATCCCGTCAACTCCGTCCCAGAGCTGGAGACTCCATCCACCTCCGTCCCTCCGTCACCACCACATGTTGACACTACCCCATCCAGTTTATCATCCTCCTACTCTTTCCCGTCATCAGCATCTCCATCCTTCATCATGGACGGCTACGGTAAGTAGGCTCGGACTTGCGGGCCCACATACTGACCACAGACGCTTTGGACGCGGCCACTTCCTCCCACACCAAGCATCGTGGTGATGGTAAGTTTCCTGCTGCCTCCACTTTCCTCCACCTTCCTCGCTGACAATCAAGACCGTGCAGGCCACCGCGACGACCGTGATCGCGACCGCCGGCACAGGGACCGGGACCATGATCGCGACCGATACGATCGCGACGACCGCCGCAGACATGACCGGGATCCTTATGGGCGGGACGCGGGACGCGAGCGCGATCCTTACGACCGCCGCGACCGGGACTATGACCGGAGGGACCGCGGCCGTCACGACGACCGTAGGCGCGACCAGGGTCGTGAACGCGACCCATATGGCCGTCGCGACGAGCGCGCGTGGTCCCCACCCCGCCGCCGCGGCGCTGACGATCGGAGTGGCGGCCAAGGCCGCGACGCCCCTCGCGATGCCGGGCGCGGTGGGCCTAGAGGTGGGGGGCGGCGCAGGGATTCGCCTGCGCGTTCCCCTACGCCGACCGACGCTATTCCGCTGGAAGAGCGCGTTGTCGAGCCGTCCCTTTGGGACCTTGCTCCCCCAGAGTTCCAGGGCATCTCGGCGCTGGAGGCCAAGATGACTGGTGAGTCACCTTGAGGGCGAGAGAAGCTAATGTTAGGCATGTTCACATACGGCCCAGGTCGTGTCGCACCTCCCATGCACCTTGGGCAGCTTGCGGCCGGCTTGATCAACCCGCTGCGGCAGAACAAGCGTGTGTACCAGGCCAACATTCCTGACACCGTTTCGGAGAAGCAGCTCATGCGCTTCTGGAACCGCCTCATGACCAACCGCAACAAGGCGTCAGTACCCGGAGAGTGTGTCAACCAGGTGCAGGTCAACCGCGAGAAGAAATTTGCGTGGATTGAGTTCCGCAATGCTCAAGAGGCGACGGCCGCACTGGAACTTAACGGCACCGAGTTTGAAGGGGCCCCTATGGAGCTAAAGCGTCCAAAGGACTACATTGGCATTGACCCCGCGCTCGGCTTCCTGGGACCTGCCACCGATGGCAACAACAAGCTCTTCGTCGGCGGGTTACCAACCAACTTGGGCAACGACCAGGTCATGGAGCTGCTCAAGTCGTTCGGCGAACTGCGCAGCTTCAATCTCGTCAAGGAGGGGAATGGCTCCGTGTCTAAGGGATTCGCATTCATTGAATATCATGACCCTGCTGTCACGGAGATGGCAATCCAGGGCTTGAACGGATTCCAGATCGGGGAGCGCGCACTTGTGGTGCAGCGCGCTGCGACGACGAACCGCGCGACCGGCGGCGCACAGGAGCACGGAGCAGCGGCGTTCCTCGCCAAGTCGAAGATTCTCGAAGAAGCCGACGCCGAGCCAGCCGACACGCGTGTCATGCTCATGCTCAACATGGTGACCGAGGACGAGCTGTATGACGACCAGGAATACGAGGACATCCTGCTCGACGTCAAGGAGGAGTGCGAAAAGTACGGCGTCGTGGAGGGTGTGCGCATCCCGCGCCCCGTGCCGAAGAGTACCAAGTGGGAGTCGTCGGACTCGGCGGCGCAGACGGCCGAGAAGAACCGCCGCATCAACGAAGAGAACGGCGTGGGCCGCGTCTACGTCATGTACGCCGACATCCCCGGGTGCCAGAAGGCGATGAAGGCGCTGGGCGGGCGGCAGTTTGGCGGGCGCACCATTCTCGTCGCGAGCACGAGCGAGGAGGACTTTATGGGTCCCGCGCCGCCGCCGCCCCCGTCCGAGCCGCCGATGCAGCTCGAGGCGCCACCGCCTCCGCCGCCGCCTGCTGCGCCCGAAGACATGGATCAGACGGCAGGCAACCTCCTGGCGGAGCTTGGGGTGTGAACTGCGTAACGGGGCGTGACGAGTCTGTCCATGTATTGCATGCTGATAACTGGCGTACGGCGTGACGGTGTGCATGTGATCTCGACGACATGACATGGGCGTCTCTGCAATCTCTGCATTTTCGGTGGTCATGTTGTTGTGAGATGGCCGCGGTGCCTGAATCCCTTTCCTCAGGGGGGTTGTGTCATAATCTTCCAAACTCGCGACTGACTTTACTGATTGCTGACCCCATTGCCGCATCGTGGTAGATAACCATGCATTGAGTTCTTCTGCATTATGCGCCTCGCTGGAAAATATTAGAAGTGAAGGAAATGGATGCGTCGTGTCGCAGGGCGCTGCTGGCGCAGGTCGTCAAGGTCGTCCGTGATGGGTACTCTGCATAGTGTGCTGGGTATGTCGCCGCCTGGCCTCGCCGGAGCGCCGGAGCCGTACGCGCTACTTGGCGGCGCTGATCAGCCGCGAGGCGCCGAGTGGCGGGTGCCGCAGGTCGTAGTCCTTTGGCCGGCGGAAGAGGAGGACGTGTGGTTCCTGGTGTCAGCGGGTGTGGGATGGAGCGATGGAGCGATGCAGCGATGGCCAGCAGGGTGGAGTGCGGTGTGCGGGTAGACTTGTCCAAGCCGTGGACCACATCTCACGACTTGCCACTCGACACTCGACAACACTCGACACCACTCGGCACTCGAAAACTCACAGGGTCGTGGCGCATGTACATCTCCCATCCGGGAGACTGGCGGATACCGAGTCCTCTCCAGATGTCCTCGGACAGCACGCCAGAGGGGACGAACTTTGTGAGGGCTTTTGGGAGCTGGTGTGAGCATGCTATACGACGGGGATGAGGATGGGGGGGGATTGGGGGATGCGTCGGCGCAGAAGCCGACCCTTGGCTGGTCCCTAATCCGGATGTTTGGTCCGAGGCTGAGGGGAGGGGAGGGTGCGAGGCATGCGAAGGCCACCACTATAAACACAAACCACCACCGCAGACAATGTACAGACTGCGTGCGGCGAGCGTGGCACTCACAATGACATGGCGATATTCCCAATGAGAGTCTGCTGTCAGCTTGTGCTCCAACAGTGAGAGTGGGGGGAGGAACTCACCAGAATAGCGGGCGCTGTAGCTGATCTTCTCGTGATATTGCTCGATGGCACGGCGCTTCTCTTCGGCTGTGAATGTCTTCTTGGACATGGTGGGTGGGGCAAGGCAGATGAGGTGATGGAGGGGGAGGGTGGTAACGCTGTGAGGAGGTGTGTGTGGAGAGAGATGCAGTGGTAACGCGAGAGGAGGGTAGTGGAGAGGAGAAGGGTATGCTAGTACGAGATGGGAATTGTGGAGCAGTCTGCTGACCGCTGTTTGTGTGTTTGTTGTGTTGTGATGAGAGAGATGCAAGAAAGATGGAGATGGAGCAGTCCGCAGAGATGTTGGCCTTGTTGGGCTGTTTGTTGACTTGGGCATGTTGCGGGGGCCCTGACGGAACTATTTTATCCGCGTGGCATCACGTGCACAAAAGTGGAGGTAAGAGTATCGTCAGCCTGTCAGTTGAGACACCATGATTGTTTTGCCCAACTCCGCCGTCTCGAGAGCACATGGCTGTCAAGCAGTAGCATGTCGGTGTACATGTGCATACGCAGCACGCAGCACTACTCTGCGGGGGAGCAACTCAAACGATAGCACATGATAGCATGTAGTAGTGTCTGCGAGAAAAAGAGATGAAGATTCCGCATGCGGAGTCTGCGCCAAAAGTGAGATTACATTATCAGGCACGAGATTAAGCTGGCTGAATAATCACCGACGGTCTCCGCCCTCGCCGCCTTGTCCGACGCCGCAGTCACTTGCTCAGTCATCACCCATCCATCACTCGTCGTCCTCTTCATCAACCTCGTCATCCTTGTCATCCTTGTCCTCCCCCTCGCAGTACATATATTCCTCACCGTCTTACTTCTCACTACCCACCCACCCACTACCCACCCATCACCATGTCCAAACTCGCCCGCACCCTCAAAGTCGACATCACCTCAGACACCGTCTGCCCCTTCTGCCTCCTCGGCATCACCCAGTTCGAGGCTGCTATCGCCAAGTGGAACAAGACCCACCCAGACAACAAGATCAAGCTCGACGCTCGCCTTCTTCCCTACCAGCTGCGGCCACAGATGTCTGAGGAGCCGCAGGATCTTGGCGCATGGAGTGCAGCCAACTTTGGCGGGCCGGAGAGGGCAAAGGCCATGCGTACTCGCCTGGCCGAGGCCTACAAGCAGGCTGGTCTCGAGCTGTACGTGTTTGGCACAATCATGTATGGACCGTCGCTGATATCAGTGCACCCTCTGCCAAGGTAGCCAACACAAACGCTGCTCACCGCCTGGAGACGCTGGCCGACACCAAGGGGCGCGCGGTCAACTACGCCGTGGGCAAAGACATCATGCGCGCGTATCAGCTCCACGGTACGGCGCCGAACGACCCAGCGATGCTGGCCAAGATTGGCACGCAGCACGGACTCTTCGAGACCGAGGCCCAAGGCAAGGAGTGGCTCGCCTCGGATGCGCTCAACAAGGAGACGCAGCGGGGCTACTTGAACGCACGCGCCGACGGGATCACGGGCGTACCGTTCTTTGTCTTTGATGACAAGTACGCCAGCTCGGGCGCTGTGGGCGAGGACGCGTTTTACAACGTGATTGAGCAGGTAGTATCGCCATAGATTAGAAGCCTGCTAGCTGCTAGCTGCTAGCTGCTGGCCTGAGGGCGATGTATTGCATTGAGACTTGAGTCCATGGCGGAATGCGGGATTGAGATACGTCATTTAACAAGTTCGCCACCCAGTCATCCTTGTGCCTCGCTCGCTGCTTCTCTTTCATCCTATTTCAATGCGACTCGCAACCATCCTCACCTCTCTCTCTGCTCTCTTCTCCTCACACTCGTTCTCTCCTCCCTCTCACACACCCTCCACAATGTCCTCCGTCACAATCCACGCCGCTGGCTCCTACACCGTCAAGCGCACCCCCGAGCTCGTCGACCTCCACCTCCGCATCCACAGTGAAGCCCCCTCGTCCGCCGACGCCCTCGAAGCTGTGCGCGTCGCTTCCGCCGACGTGTCTTCTCGCATCAAAGCTCTTGCCCCGCCCAAGGCGGACGTATCGGCTGCCATTGACAGCGAGGAGCATGATATCGACGACGAAGCCCGCGACCCTGCTTACCCCGTCACGAGCTGGAGTATGCAGCAGCTGCGTACGTGGCGTGTTATCCCAGACGACCACCTTCCTCGCCCCCCCCGCCCTCCGGTGCGCATGATGATGATGGCGTCGGCGGGACCCGAGGAGCCGCCCAAGCCCCAGCCAGTCTTCCACGCGGAGACCTTTGTCCGCGCCACCTTCCACGACTTTGGCAAGCTCAGCTCGGTCATCGAGGCTGTCACTGTGAGTCTGCGTCGCGGCGGCATTGTTTGGAGGCTCAGCGCGAGGCAGTGCTTGAGGTGTGAGCGCCATCGCGAACAAGGGAGCAGCAGACTTCGCGGGTCTGTGCTGACCCCTATATAGCTGAACTGTGCTAGAGCTAACGCCAGGCCAACGACGCCGTCTCCGTCGACAATCTCACCTGGGAGGTTACGCGTGCGACCCGTAAAGCACTGCAGACGCGCGTACGCCAGGGTGCATACGCTGATGCGCTCGACAAAGCCGTCGACTACGCCGCACCTATTGCACCCAACTCGGCGCCCCGCCCCGTCGAGGTGCGCGATGACTCGATCAGCTATGGCCGCAGTCGCGTTTTCAAGGCCGCCGCGCCCATGATGATGATGGACGGCAGCGGAAGCCCCGAGTCGACTATGACTTTCGAGCCTGAGCCCATCGAGATCTCGTCTCAGGTCAACGTCAAGTTTGTGCTCGACATCTAGACTCCACACGGGCGGCCTTTTACTTGTAGATATATGGCAAGCTCATTTCACGGAGCACAAGTCACGACCCCTGAAATGTTAAGATGATACATATGTGCCAAGTGCCAGAATCAGCTGTGTCTACTACAACACCTCTTTGCCTCTAATGTTCGATGTTAGTGGCCCTTGCGGCCGTCGGTCGCGTCGCCGCTCTTGCACGCGACAATCTTGATCTTGGGCGCTGTGACAAGCTCCCCCGAATGACTGGTGTTAGCGACGACAGCATAGTTTGAGATGGGATGCGCCGCGCGGCACACAACTCACGAGGAGCCGGTCCCCTCCATGCGGAACTGTGGGTCCTTGACAACGAACGTCCACACGTCATTGCAGAGGTTGTAAGTCGAGAGGTGGCCCTGGATGTCAGTGTCTGTTCATCATTTGCGGCTGAGCAAGCCGTGCGAGGTACAACTTTCAAGGTCCAGTGGCCCATCTCTCCTTGCTTTACCACACTTACCTTGACCGTCGTCTTCTGCTTGACCCCCTTCTGCACGCACTCAGTCAACGACTTGTCGAACTGGGATCAGCCCGGTAACCTGCATTCCCTCCGCACCTGCTGCAGGACTCTCATCGCAAGCTGTGGCGGGATGTCGCCCGAGGTAATCAGCTCGTCGAGCGAGTCGGTAAGCGCCGTCCCGATGCTGCAATCAGCCCCGCATCACCACCGTCCGCACCTCGACCCGCGGTAGAACTCGTAGTAGGTCTGCCCCTTGTTGTCCGCCATTGTGGATGGTGATGAGCGAGTGAGCGGTGGCGACCTGCAGTCGTCTCCGCGATCTCGAGGGTGGTTGGTGGCGATATATATACTCGTCCCCCCATTTAAGCGCACGTGGCGTTGTTCAAGCCTCCCACTTTAACATTTCGAGCTATACGTCCCAATCGGCCTCCGCACTACGATAGCCGCTCATCTCTCCCGTTTATCCAATACTCTCAAACCGACAAAATGGCCAGCGAGGACTTCACCAAGCGCAAGCTCTGGGGGTGAGGCCCCGCCTGGACTGCAGCTGACCACAGCGGCCGCTTCACCGGCTCCACCGACCCCTTGTATGCCCCTCGCCCAGCCCACCTGACGCCAGGATGCACGAGTTCAACCAGTCGCTCAAGTACGACAAGCGGATGTACGCGGCCGACGTAAAGGGCTCGATCGCGTTCTCCAAGGCGCTGCTCAAGGCCGGCATCTTGAATGAGCACGAGCAGCAGGAGATCACGCGCGGCCTCAAGCTCGTCGAGGAGGAGTGGGCGAACGGGACGTTTAAGATTGCGCCCGACGACGAGGACATCCACACGGCCAACGAGCGCCGCCTCTCCGAGCTCATCGGCAAGGACATTGGCGGCAAGCTGCACACCGGCCGCAGCCGCAACGACCAGGTCGCGACCGACATGCGTATCTGGCTGGTGAGTTGGACTGCTGCCGGGCGCCGAGGGCGCAAAGCGAGGCTGGGAAGCGTTCCCAGCCCACCCCCACAAACGGCTGACGACAGATGGAGGAGACCAAGACGGTGGAGAAGTACCTTGCGAACCTGTTGAACGTGATGGCGTCCCGCGCCGAGCAGGAGGTCGACGCCGTCATGCCCGGCTACACGCACCTGCAGCGCGCGCAGCCGGTGCGCTGGTCGCACGTGCTGCTCTCGCACGCGCAGTCGTTCGCCAACGACCTCGAGCGCCTGCGCGAGCAGTACAAGCGCATCAGCGTGCTTCCGCTCGGCTCGGCCGCGCTCGCCGGCAACCCGTACGGGCTGGACCGGGAGCTGCTGCGCGCCGAGCTCGGCTTTGAGAGCATCGGCGAGAACTCGATGCACGCGGTCGCGGACCGCGACTTTATTACCGAGTGGCTCTTCTGGGCTTCGCTCATGATGAACCACATGAGCCGCCTCGCCGAAGACCTCATCATCTACTCGACCGCCGAGTTTGGCTTCGTCACGTGCTCTGACGCGTACTCGTGAGTCTCTATCGGCGAGCAGGCTGACGGCAGGACGGGGTCGTCGATCATGCCGCAGAAGAAGAACCCGGACTCGCTCGAGCTGCTGCGCGGCAAGAGCGGGCGCGTGTTCGGCCAGATGGCCGGCTTCATGATGAGCGTCAAAGGCATCCCCTCGACATACAACAAAGACCTGCAGGAGGACAAGGAGCCGCTCTTCGACTGCGTGGACACGGTCGGCGCGGCGCTGCGCATCGCCGAAGGCGTCATCGCCACGCTGACCATCAACCCCGAGAACATGGAGAAGGCGCTCACGATGGACATGCTCGCGACCGACATCGCCGACTACCTCGTGCGCAAGGGCGTGCCGTTCCGCGAGACGCACCACATCTCGGGCCGCTCCGTCGCGCTGGCCGAGAAGAAGGGGTGCCAGATCTCGGACCTCAGCATGGACGAGTGGAAGGAGCTGTCGGACAAGTTTGCCGACGACGTCATGGACGTCTTCAACTTTGAGAACTCGGTCGAGAAGCGCAACGCTATTGGCGGGCCGGCGCGCGCCATGATCCAGCGCCAGGTCGATGTGCTCCGCAAGCGCATCAACCAGGAGTAGACCATCAGCATCTACAGTGAACTATGCATTAAATACTGGTATGGTGGTGGCAGTTTATGTGCTGCCTTGGGTTTCATGCTTTTGATTCGGAGGCGGAGTTGGTTTCTGCACAGTGCAAGGAGTTGAGTTGAGTCGAGTCGAGGCCGACCGACCGCGACGGCGGAGGCAAGTGACTCTGGTGCGATGACGCAGATAGCCTGGGCGGTTGCTAGCCTGAAAATGGCCAATGCTGGCTCGCCCCTCGTTACTGTGCTGTGCAGGTAGGCCGGATGTTGAGGGCGCTCAACACGGATCTCCCAACCGACCTGACACTACAGCGGTCTACAAAGGCTGTCGGGGGACGCGGATTACAAACATGGAGCTACAAACGAGGTAATACACAGGTCGAGGAGTGCCTATCCCAAGACGTCCTTGAGCAACGTCGCGGGGTCCTCGTACTTCCAGTGCAAGGTGTGCTTCTTCTCCTTCTTGGGCGCGCCGTCGGTCGGCCCATGCTCGTGCCCGCCCTTGTCGATTTTGAGCAGGCCCGTTTCCGCCAGCATGTCGGACACGGTGTCGACGCGGCCCTGTACGGCAGCGGTCTGGATCGCCTGGGCAGCCTTTTTGGGCGACACAGAGTTCCCGGCGGCGGCGGCGACGAACGGGGGCGGGGGAATGGCTGCCGACGCAGGGGTGGGCTTGCGTGGTGGCGGGTTGTTGTTCTCGTACTCGGCGATCGTAAGCCCCGACCCAAGCTTGTAGAGCGCAGGAGAGACAGTGGCCTGCAGCCCGGGCGCGAGGGTGAAGAGAGACTGTATTGTCGAGAGATCAGGCTTGGGCACGTCGTGCTCTTCTTCCTCGACATTGGCGTTCTTCGTGCCCAGCGGGACGCGCATCGTGTCTTCGCCCGGCCGGTCGCGCCCCGTCAAGTGGACGTATGAGTGCAGCATCTCGCCGAGGTGGGTCTGTAACCCCACCCCCATAAACTCGCCCACGTCCCGTGCCTGGTCGGGATCGAGGTCGAGACCGAGTGGCTTGGCGACTTGGGCGAGACGGGACGCCAGCTGGCTCGCCGACGGCAGCGTGCGGTTCGTTTGCGCCAGGGGTGGATGGGCCGGAGCTGATGTCAGCCATGTTCGCTACCACCGGCTCACTTGAAGCATAGACATTGTACTTGCGCTTGCGCTCGCCGTTTCCCACGTCCCAATCGGAGACCTCTTCGGGCGCGGCGCCGTCCTCATCCGCCGCGCGGCGGACTCGCTCGCGTTCCTTTCCGCCCATCCCCATGATCCACTCCCGCACTCGGTCCACCGGTTCGATGTACGTGGCATCCGAGTCAAAGTCGGCTGTGCCATCCATCCGCCGACGCTTATGCAGCATCTGCGACGCCGCTGGATGTGGCTCATCAGGCAAAGACGCATTGTACAGAATACTCTTGACCAGCTGGTTATGTAGATCGACTGGATGTCAGCTTGTTCAGCTTGTACAAGCGAGAGCTCACTCTTTTCAGGTGTCTTGAGCAAGGACCGCACTAGATCCACGAACTCGCGCTGGGAGAGCTTGCCGAGCAAGTACGCATTGAAGGAGCGCCAGTAAACGAGGCCGGCATCGCCGAGGACGTCATGTAGCTTCTGCTTTTGGCGAAGAGTGTCGTGGCGCCGGAGTGGGGCGGGAGTCTCGCGGGCGGAGCTCATGGTGGGGATGGGTGTGGAGTGACCGTGAGGAGCGCCATGTTGGGACATAGACGCTGGATGGCTTTGGCGGAGGTGGGGGGCCACGGATGGGCGGATGGATGCTTTGTTGGCAGCAGGATGGGATGTCTGGGAGAGGCAGAGATGAAGAGAAGTGGACAACGAGAAGAGAGTGGAGTGATGCACACCTCGGCTTTTACACCAGTACGAGGTTCGGATGTCAGAACCAGTGGGTTTTATTGCTGTGCGCATCGGGAGCAGAATTACGCAAGTGGAGGTAGCAAAGTCCAAGTCCACTCGCACTCCGTTCATTACTCGCATCTTGTTCGTCACATCCAGCTCCAACAATGGCCACGGCAGTTCAATCTTCCACATCAGGCGACGTGTCAGGCTCGTCCTCCGCTGCCGCCATCTTCCAGCGCCTCCACCCCGACCAGTACCTTACCCGCTTTCTCGACAAGGGCTACCGGCCAGACGCGCGCCGCAAAGACGTGTGGCGCGATGTCAGCATTAATGTCGGTAAGTAAACATTTCAAGCCATGACTGTTGTTAACTTTATCAGGCTCTATCGCAACCGCAGATGGCTCTGCGCTCGTCCGCATGGGCGACACGACGATGGTGTGCGGCGTCAAGGCCGAGGTGGCTGAGCCTAGCGGGTCACGGCCAGACGAGGGGTTTGTTGGTGAGTACGAGCGTGCATCAGTCTGTTATCGTGGTGTTTTGTCTACTTTGCAACGGCTTGAGCAGGCACTACGCCGCCACGAGGGTTCATGTTGTTTTGAGTCGGACTTGTCTCAGACCATGAGACATTGCTCACTCCAGTCCCCAACATCGATCTCCCCGCCCTGTGCTCGCCCAAGTTTAAGCCTGGGCCACCAGCAGACGAGGCGCAGACAATGTCAAACTGGTTGAATGACTTGCTTGTTTCGTGAGCCAGACAAGTCTGTACCAGCTGACCACGAGCTCGCAGACCCTTCCGCCAACGTCCCTGGTCATTGCTCCCGGGAAAGCCGCGTGGTCTGTCTACATTGACGTGGTGTGCATCAATTTTGACGGCAATGCGTATGACGCGGCGGTTCTTGCAGTAATGGCCGCGTTGCGGAATAGTGAGCTTAAATGGAGTATCCGAACTGACCTCAGCCCGCCTGCCCCGCGCGACATTCAGCGAGGACACGCAGCAGACGACCTGTGACGCGAACGAGACTTTCCCCCTTCCTCTTGGCCGCCTCCCTCTAACGGCCTCGTTTGGCGTATTCCAGTCGACCCACGTCCTGCCGGACCCAACAGCTTTTGAGCTGCCCCTCCTCTCGACCAACATCTGTATTGCTCTGGACGAGCAACTCCGCGCCTGCGCAGTAAGGCAAGAGGGTCTGGGTGGCGTGACGGGCCGCAGCGGAGATGATGTGCTCTCCGAGGCGTGGACGGCTGCCGAGGAGCGAGTGCGCGCCCTCCGCAACATCCTGGAGCAGTCGTGATGTAGTCTTGTGTTTATGAGAGAGAGAGTCGGAGATCCAGCTGCAGTCCGTGGCGGGAGTATATTTTCTGGGGTTCCCAACGCGTATCGTGCCATAAGGGCCAGGGATGCAGGGAAATAGGGAAGCCGGACGCGTCCAGGGATCGGCGTGGCGGCTGCCGGAGATGGTACGATTACAGCAACATGTTTTCATCGTTGCTGATATAATTCTTGTACATAAGCCCCAGCGCTGCTCCGTCTCCGTCCATCCATTACAGCACGCAACCATGGCAAAGGCCAAGCCCGCACAGCAGAGCACGCTCGGCAAGTGGCCGATCATCGGCGCCGTCCTCATCGTGCTCTACACCCTCGGCTCGTGGCTCGACTCGAATGTCGTGAGTTGCGATGGGCTTGCGGGGAGCGTCTGGCTCCGCAAACACATAGCCCGCGGGCCGCTGGCCTCTGCGCCCAGAGCCGCCTAGAGCCTTCCCGAGCCTCCCCGCGCTCCGCTGACCCCAGCACAAGTTCTACGCCATGACGCCCGAGGCGCTCAACGCGGCGGTGCAGACCTCGCTCGCGACATCGCGTGCAGCGGGCCAGGAGAAGAACGCAACCCACGTCGTCGAGACCCTCCTCGGCAACCTCGTCCAGACGTATCCCGACCTCGACTTGCTGACTGACTTTCGCAACCCGCGCGAGTGGGTGTTCAACAATGCCGGCGGGGCCATGGGCGCAATGTACATCATCCACGCGTCGATTACTGAGTGAGTGTGAGGTCGGGCGAGCTGGCATGTGTCGCAGAGCAAGCGGAAGGGGTATGAGATACAGCGGCCGGTGAGCAGAGTCCAAGCTCTGCTGACTCTCCTCACTTCTGCGTAGGGTTGCGCGCCACGAACTCGCCTAACCCCAGATACCTCATCATCTTCGGCTCGGCCGTCGGCACCGAAGGCCACACGGGCCGGCACACGGCCGACGACTACTTCCACATCCTGACGGGCCAGCAGCGGTGCTACGCCGCCGGCGACCTCGCGCCGCTGGTCTACAACCCCGGCGACGTGAACCTGATGCAGCGCGGCGTCGTACGACAGTACTGGATGGAGGGCGAGACCTGGGCGCTCGAATACGCCGCCGGCTGGATCCCGCCCATGCTCCCCTTCGGGCTCGCTGACATGCTGTCGTCGACGCTCGACTACATCTCGTTCTACCACACGTGCCGGATCACGGCGCGCGAGATGGTCAAGAATCTGCTGCGCGGCAAGATCTAGAGCATAGAGCACAGAGCAGACAGGGACACTGGACAGATGCATGTCCTACTTTTGACGGTTGCTGTGGTTGTGTCGCACCAGCCTTCTGACGCTTGTGGCTACATCGCTACATCATCAACACGGGCTCGACGCCCGTACATGCCCGCAGCGCGCGGCGGAGGTCTTGGCTCACCCAGTCCGCGTCGACGTGGGTGCGCTGCTGGTCTGCGTCCAGCAGCTGTTGCGGGGACTTGCCCGTGTAGTATGCGAGCCAGGCGCGCACGTCGCGTGCCGGGAGGGACTGGATTGTGTCCACAGAGTCGAGGGGCTTGTGTGAGCATGCGAGCACAGTAAAGGTGGTGGTTGGGCTGAGCGGACTACACCGCGAAGACAACACTGCGCCAGGCTGGGAACAGACACATCAAAGCACTGCCTCAGCGAGAACTTACCGGCAGGTGGCGGGGGACTGGCGCCCGCCCGTTCGTCACCGGCACGAGCGGTTCACCGAGATAGTAGTTGACGCGGTTCGTGTTCCTGCTGTCAGCCTTCTGAGCTTCCACTTCCGAGCTTGCATCCCCACTCCACCTACCTCGCCTGTATCTGGGCATACTCCTCCTCGAGGACGGTGACGGCGCGCATCAGCCGCTCATGCACGGTATGCTGCTGCTGCGTGAAAGCGGCAAGGCGGTTCTCGAGCGCGCGCGCGGCGTCCGGCCCCATCGGGATCTCGGGGATGACCTCGTCCCGACGTCCCGGCACGCCTGAGCCATGGCGCTCCGGCTCCTCTTTGACGGTGGGCGGTCTCGAGCGGCTGCGGTATCGCGAGCGCGAGCGTGCGGGCGCGAGGTTTTCGCCCGGTGCGCCCGGCGCGCCCGGCGCGGAGGGCTCGCGCGCGCGCGTTTGGCTGATGCTCCGCCGGCGCTCGGGGGACACGGAGGGCTCGCGATGGCCGAGCACTTCAGCGCGGAAGACGCGCGCAGAGCGGCGCGGCGACGGGTCGGAGCGCCGCATGCGCGCCGGGTCGACGCCGTGGTGCGCGATCGCGTTCGTAAAGTCCATTACTTTGGCGAGGCACGCGTCGTCGGCGTCGGCGGGCACGCCGCCGTGCTTCGTGTGCAGCTCGAGAATGCTGGGGTGGTCCTTGATTGCGTCGTGGGACAGGAGGTCTTCGGGGATCGGGATGGCGTCGTCGTTCGACATGGTCGACATGAGTGCAGGAGATGCTCGACGGAGAGCTGGCGGATGGCACAGAGTACGAGGATGAGGGACGCAGACTGAATGCGAGCCGAGGTGGTCGGAGTGGTTGAGGCACGGCGCTATACGTCATCTTGTTGGCATTCATCCGCCGAGTGCGCCGCATGCGGGATCAACAAACACATTGATGTGAGGCCATTTGATGAGGTCGACACAGCGCCTAAGTGTCATGGGCGATGAGTAAGTGGTGAGAGAGAGGATGGGGGCCGGAATGCTGGCATGGTAGATAAGGAGGGCAGGCGAGAGACATGGCCTCATTGCCCACGCTCGATACTCATGTAACGGATGAACGAAGTCCAGGCATCATACCTGTGGCACTACTAGCACCCCTCTCCCACACCATCACGACACTAGCCCATGTCTCTCCTCGGTATATCGGTATTCGGAGGCTGCCCGGATCAGCAACTGCTCCTCGAGCCATTGTCTCACCTCTGTTGATCGCCCATGAACGTGAGGATGTTGAGAGTTGCACGTGTAACCTTAGGGCTTGTCGCGACCTCTCGGTCCCACTTGCCCGCTTATGGTTCGCGACCCCACCCCGTCCGAGCCCAGACGCTCCGAGTACCCTCCAGCTCGTGGAATGCGCGATCGCCCCGGCGCCGTCTGCTAAAGCTGCTCACATCAGCAGAAGAGCAACATGAGCGATCGTCCTGTGGAGCACCCGCCAGGGAATCCTCCGGGCCCCGCGCACAAATAACCGACACCGCGGCACATGCCGCATGCAGGGCTCCCCCGCCGCCGCCGCCGCCGCCGCCATGCTTCGTCGCGCGCTCTCGTGCATTTAGCGTCTGCACGCCAAGCCATCTTGCGGGAAGCCTACGCCACTACGCCGTACGGCAGAGGCAGGCGCCTGGCGTGGACGCCCAATGGGTCGCGCGGTATTGGCTTGAATGCCGGACACCATGTGACGCGCTCCGGCCAAGAACTATCTCCGGCTACACATATAGCGATAGTGCGTCGCCTCTAATCCTCCTCCTCCAGCACCCGCAAACTTGGCCATGCCCTCCCTCCCACTCGTGTCGGGCGCCATCGACTGGCCTTTCCTCCTCGCTGTCGGTGGTGGCGCCGCCGCCCTCTGGCTCGCCTACTCCCTCTTCCACCTCCTGGTGCCCGAGGCGCGTCTCTCGAGCTCGTTCAAAAACCTCCCCGGCCCGCCCAACCCGCGCAACTGGACCCGCATCCTCGGGCACCAGTACGAGGCGCTGACGCGCGGGCCCGCGCTCACGTCCGAGGAGTGGCACGACAAGTATGGCCCCACGATCCGGCTCTCGCGCCCGTTCGGCCGCTCCGAGCTGTCCACTACCGACCCGGCCGCGCTCACGTTCATCTACCGTGCGACCGACGAACGCTTCGTCAAGTCCGAGGGCATGCGCCAGGCCATCTCGGCCAATGTCGGCGAGGGTGTTCTTTCCGTCGAGGGACACACGCACCGCCGGCACAGGCGTGTCCTAAACCCAGCGTTCGGGTGGCCCCAGATTGTGGAGTAAGTGTTCTGTAACTTGCACTTGGGGGTGTGCTGACGCAAGAATGGTCCCAAGCATGTGGCTTAAGGCGTACCAACTGCGCGACAAGATGGTCTCGAACATTACGGACGCGTGGGCCTCGCCGCCGGCCGACCCGCGCGACGTCGTGCCCGGCGCCCGCGTGCTCAACATGTTCAACGAGCTGAGCAACGCCGCGCTGGACATCATTGGGCTCGTGGCGATCGGGCACGACCTGGGCTCGCTGAGCGACGAGCCCAACGAGCTGCGCGACGGATACAACGACGTGCTGCGCGTCGGCTTCCAAACGGACATTTGGACGGTGCTGCGCTTCGCGCTGCCCATCACGCGCAAGATCCCGCTCGAGCGTACGCGCATCGTGCGCGCGGGGCGCGACGCCGTCGTGCGCTTCGGCCAGCGCGTCATCGACGAGAAGCGCCGCCTCCTCCTCAACATTGACCAGGGGCGGATCGAGAAGGGTACCGACGTCGGCAAGGACGTGCTGTCGCTCGTGATCAAGGCGAACGCGGCCGCCGACTTGCGCGACGACGAGCGCCTCAATGACACAGAGGTCATTGCGCAGATCGCCACGATGCTGTTTACGGGGCACGAGACGACGGGCACCGCAACGGCGTTCACGCTGCGCCACCTCTCGCTCAACCAGCGCTTCCAGGACAAGCTGCGCGCCGAGCTGCTCACGATCGACGTCGACGAGCCCGACTTCCAGGTCCTCGACAAGCTGCCGTACCTGCACGCGGTGGCGCGCGAGGGCCTCCGCTTCGAGACCCCCGTCCCGATCATGGGCCGCATCGCCACCGCCGACGTCGCCATCCCCCTCTCCATCCCCGTGCGCGGCCGCGACGGCAAGATGATCGACGTCGTGCAGCTCAAGAAGGGCGACCTCATCAATGCCCGTGAGTGACGCCAAGACGGCGCTGACGACAGCGTACCAGGCCGCTAACCGCCTCACTGATGTCTGGGGCGCCGACGCGCGCGAGTTCAACCCCGAGCGCTGGTTCCGCCCCAACATGCCCGCCAAGAAGATGCCGGGCGTCTGGGGCGAGATCGCGACATTCGGCGGCGGCCCGCACAACTGCATCGGCCACCGCATGGCCGTTGCTGAGATGAAGGTGCTCTTGTTCGTGCTCATTCGCAACTTCATCTTCTCACCCGCTCCGTCCGGCCCCGTGATCAAGCCCAAGTGGATGATCATCCAGCGCGCCATCGTCGAGGGTGAGGAGCACAAGGGTCCCAGCATGCCCCTGCTGGTTCGCCCAGTTGCGGAGTGAGCAGTGAGCCGTGCTGCAGTTCATCTGGAGTTTGTCGAGTTGTGCTTAGAATCTCTTGATAATCCAACGTTCGTTGTATATCCCGTATGCAGTCTGGTGACAAGTCGGCAAAGGTGACAGAATTCTATAGCAGCTGGCATAACCGGTTACATGGTAACTAACACCTCCTGTCGATGCCCCGCCGTGCCTCGTCGTTACGGTATTCGAACATGATCTGCACTCCGATGAAGAGGCAGGATGTTGCGAATGCCATGAAAGCCCACCCTTGCGGCGTCGTGACGAGTTGGTGGATGAGGTGCTGCATGCCGTCAAGACCCAGCACGAAGCCGACAAGGTTGGCTCCCATTAACAGCAGGATGTTGACCACACCACCCATCGCCGCGACGTGCCGGTACCACCACCTGTCGCCGTACTACTGTCAGCGAGTCCCGCGGCCGGCCGGCACTCACCTTCTTTTCCGGAACCAGGGCGCGGGCGGTGATTTCTGGGATGATGAAGAGCGTGACGAGCCAGCCCCACGCCAGCAGGCGGAAGCTGAGGTCATGCCACAGCGCGACGAACGTGAACACGAGGAACGTCGACAACACGACGCGCTTGGCGCCACCGGCAGGAATGTAGATGTACCTGTTGTCAATGGTGCCGCGACCGCATATCTCACCTCACAATCCACAGGTTGTAACTCCTGTGCCAGGAGCGCCAGAAGCCGAGGACCGAGTAGTTGTTGGCGACGCAGCGGACCATGTTCTCCGGTGCGTCGACGCCGTCGAACAGCGCCCACAGGCGGAAGTAGCGCCATGGGATGAGCAGCTTGAGCCAGACGATCACGAGGTTCCAGAAGCCGATCATGCTGAGCTGGGCAGGCGTCATGCCGACCCATGCGCGTGCGTCCTTGATTGCGACGACGTACATCGTGTGTATGATCGTCTCCATCGTGATCATGCAGAATGCAAATCGGAGGAGGTACTTGAGACGGTCGGATGTCGAGATGTCCAGCGGGCGCTGGAGCTGCCACACAAAGTCGTTGAATGACATTATCGGGCCTGCAATGTACAGCGGCGGATACAGCGTGTAGGCGAGATAGTTGACCGGGTTGTACTCGGCCTCGGGATGAGCTTGAGCTGCGCGCCCCCGCTGGTCCGTGGGAGGAGTCGACTGCGGTTGCGTGCGCCAGTGGTAGTCGAGGGCGAAGGACACGATGCGCAGCATTGTGATGTTGAACGTAATGTGCCAGCGAGGGTACGCGCCTTTGAGGTCGTCGAGTGATTTCAGCCCCGAGTGCAAGGCCCCGAAATGGTACCCGTCGAATTTCTCGTTGGCGAAGAGGATAAGCATGTTACCGACGATGACAACAAGTGGCCATGCGCGCTCGATGGCTGCGGGCTTTCGAGCCCGCGCAGCATAAAAGTTGGCACCGAGGATGGCCAGGACCTTGAACGCACTCACACCATGCAGCGCCACTAGCATGATCAGCGCAAAGATGACGATAAAGTTCGCGCGCGCCGACGCGCTCGTGAATCCGGCCTTGCGGATGAGGTGTGAGGGGAGGAGGAACGCTGCGGCGAGCGCGAGGAGTGAGGGAAATCCGGAGCGGAAGGTGCGATACTGCGGGTCGCTGTCGTCCACTTCTGGCAAGAACCACCATCCCAGAGAGAGTCTGTACGAGTAGTAGGGATAGTTGGGGTTGTGGGGCGAGCTGAGGTTGATTGGCGACCATACTAGGAGGGGTACGACGACGATGAATGCGAGGGTGTAGAACTTGAACTCGAGCGTGCGCCAGCGGCTGGGAGGGGGCTCGATCTCAGCGCGTCGCTTCGACCCCGGGATGTCGACGGTAAGCTCGGAGATGTAGTGCTTGCGCCCGTTGGCGCGCCTGTCCGCGCCCATCGTGAGGTGTGGTGGATCCGCCGTTTGGAAGTTGTGCTGGGGGATCATGGAGGGAGGAGAGGGGGGATGCGGGGAGGAGTCTGACGTTGCGGGGGGAATAGAGGAGGAGGTAGCGGTAGTGGGAGGGAGAGATGAGCGAAAGAGGGGAGGAGAAAGTGAAGGAGCGGTAGGAGAACGAGAGTGCGAGGTCGTGCGAGCTGACGCGGAAGAGACGGGGGCTTGGATGTCGGCCTTGGATCAGCGACGCACGATATAAGGCGAGGCGAGGGACATACCCGTGCACGGCGCATGGTCTTGCTTAGCAAAGGTAGATGAGCATGGCAGCGCTCTACGCTGAACGCTGAACGATGGATGGGTTGGTTAAGAAATGTCAGTCGACTGCAACGCGTGGAGGAGTCTCGGTGATGTCTATCGGGCCCCGGATGGAACGGACATCAACCCGCGTGGTGGAGGTAGTCCACTCCATCTCCAGGCCACCGCCGTCACGACACTGATTCATCACCGAGCCCCTCATCAAGTTCAGCAACTCCAAGTATTGCTCGATGGGGATGGGATGTACTACTGCATTGCGACGCCCAAGCCCCTCAAGACACTGAAGTCTCCCCCGCCGCATTCCTCCTGTCCACGTCGACTACTCCTCCCTGAACCACTCGCCAAGACTCCGATTCATTGATGCATGCGTGGTGGAACTTTTGTCCGTGCTGTTGTGCGAAGTGTACGATCTAGTGCAAGATGAGAGCAGGCTAAGCTAAATCTGCCGCCCGCCTGAGGAGGCAGTACTGGCCGTAGACGCGCTGCCGCTCACAGATACCGCCGGGGAGCCAGATCCAGCGGGCCCAGCCCCGCGAGCTCGCCGCGTCGAGGAACTCTGTACAGAACTCCGTCTCCCAAGCGGGGTCCGATATGTAGTCTGGCTCAGCCTTTGTTGGCGGGCGCGAAGGTAGATTGAGTGTGACGAGGTAGTTGCAAGTGTCGACCGGCACATACGTGCCGGGTTCGGCGCTGGCTTTGTTGTCTGCGTTGAAGCGACCGAGGTGGATGGCACGCGTCTCGGAGCGTGGCCACCAGCCAGCCGAGCTGCTGTTGTCCCAGTGGCGCGGCATCATGCCGTCGAACTCGCTCTTGATCCACTGCACGTCGATGCCCTTGGGGTACAAGAACGAGGAGGGGAAGCGGTGCCACTCGGCGCCGTAACATACGCGCAGCGGCTCCTCCAAGTCCTCGATGGGCGAGAGGTCCCACACGGGCTCGTCCTTGCGCTCGGCCGGAACGTGGACCGGCTCGTACCCCAGACCTTCGAGGACAGATGGGAGCGTCTTGTACTGGAAGTGGTTTGTGATGGCTGTCGGAGCGCCATAGAACTTGATTTGCCCCATGCTGCGGCCGAGGGAGAGCAACGATGGCACAATCACCGCCAGGAATGTGAACCAAGAGAACAGGTCCGACTGGGCCGCGCGGTACGGAGACTTGGTGGCCTTCACATACACGGTCTCCAACCAGCCACGGATGAGGAAAATAGAGACGCACGCGTTGAAGCACAGGAACGGATACGCCGGGAACATGAAGCGCTCCTCCTTGTGCGGCTGCAAGGTGAAGATCGCCAGCCAAATGTAAAAGGGAGCAAGCCGCACGACCATGAGAGTGTACGGGCTCGACTCTCCTTCCTTGGGCTTCATCTGCGTCTTGCCAAGGCGACGGAAGTCGTACTTGTAAGTTATGGCCAGCGCGGGCAGCGAGATGAGGGCGAGCGGGAGGAAGAAGTTGAAGTTGAGGAACAGATTCTTGAAGTAATATGAGAACGGTTCAGTGCCATAGAGGTCGGGGCCTTTGTCTCCAAACACATTGTAAAGGACAATGTTGAGCGAGGGGAAAGTGAGACGACCGTAGGCCCAGGAGTCAACCACGATAGCGGGGATGGCGACAACAGCTGCAGCCACGACGATAGCACCGAGAAGGGTGGTCAAGCGCTTCTGGCCCCAGAGCAGCTTCTGGTTGCCCTCCGCTGGGACAACCTCTCCAGCGGGAAGGAGAGCGTACTCGATGACAAAGGGGATGCCGAGAACGGCGGAGAACGGCCACCCGACTATTGCACCAACTGCGACGCAGAGCGTAGCAAAGAAGGCGCGGTTGACCCCGGTATTGGTCGAGGTGGCGGGGTGGAACCAGAACGAGGCGGCGAGCAGGTTGGCGTACATCGCAAAGCTGGATGGCAGGAACGCGACGCTGGCACTGAACATGCCGGCAGAAAGAGCCATGCCGAAAAATAGATAGCGGCCAACGCGCTCGTTGACGGCCTCGACCACGGCACGGAAAAACGCAGCCTCACATGCGCTCGAGATGGCGCCGAGGCACATGCGCAGGGCGAAGAACTGCTGCCGCTTGCCGAGGCTGAGCAACCAGGGGCCAAAGTACGCGAACGGCGCGTGCAGGAGCACGTAGAACCACGAGCGCACGCCGTACTGCGGTGACTGCTCCCATGTCTGGAAGCCGCTGTTGTGTGCAAAGTAGTGCAGCGGCTCGTAGAAGTTGAACACTGGAATCAGCGAGGAATGTCGAGCGGCTTACCCTCATCACAGTCAGAGATGATGGCGAACATGGCCGCCGTGGTGCGGATCAGGAGGAGGAGTCTCAGCGCCACGGAGAACGAGGGCACCATAGGGCCATTCTGCTGCCTGCTCGTTAGTTCCGTTTGCGTCTGCGCGAGAATGAGAGAGCCCCGACGGTGGACTTGGACGCCGGCTCGACCGATTTGGCCGAGAGGGTGCCCCTCGCCGCTCGGACGCTGCCTCATGTTCCATGTCGTGCACGGGTCTCAGCCATCGCGACTGCTCGGCGGTGGCATGTAACCAATCGCGGGGTCGAAATTGGGTAAGACAAGCGGTGGGCACGGTGAGAGCTGGAGCCAGTCCGTACGCCCATACCGTACGCCCACCTGCAGTCGCGCGGCCCCCGACACCCCGAGACAGATCACTCATCAAAACACACCTTCGAAGCTGGTCTTGCAGCACGCCCTGGTGGCGCCGCTTCCAGCCCTGCGGGGCGAGCGAGCCGAACTGGTCCTTCTCGGGCGCCTTCTGCTCGACAGGCTTGTTCGTGGGACGGCGGAACCGTACGGTCTCGACTCCTGGGCGGAACGACATGGCGACACGTTCAGCTCGACAGGAAGTACCGGCGACGACGAAAGAGAGCGAGGCAAGAAGGGAGATGGAGCGAAAGCTGCGAGGTGGTGGATGGAATGCTCCTATTTCCGTTCGCCCCAAGCGCCGACGTCGTCACTCGGCACGGAGATCAAGTGATGTCCACCAGGGCAATCTCGGCAACCGAAAAGTATTGCTGCAATATCTTGACATCTCTCCAAGCTCCCCCAGACACGACATCATGCGCTGGGCATTCTGGCGCAGCGCCGACGAGCCAGGGCCAAGCACGCCTCCTGTTGAGGAGGTGAAGGACGTGCCGAAGCTGTCGCGGTTCGAGCGCACGCTGCTCGACGAGGAGAAGGTGCAGGCGCCGCAGTACCCCACGTTCAAAGACGTGCCGACGTGCATGACATTGTTGTGAGTAAGCGATGCGGCCATGGAGGATGAGTGGGAGGAGCGCGATTTTGATGATCTCGCTCCGACCTAGACCAACTGAGCGAGCGCTGGTTCAAGTCCGCTAACCCCAGCGACGAGTTCTTCATGTGCGCAGCCCTCATGCCCCAAGTCCGCGCGGTGTACCGCTTCGGGCACCTCAAAGACTGCACGCCGAAATGGGACGACTTCAAGTACTGCATGAGCTTGAAGAGCGAGGACGAGGAGGAGCGGCGGCAGGCGTGGATCAAGCGGCGCGCCGAGTGGTGGGCGCACCGCCGCGTCGGTCCCAGCTCGGAGGACGTGTGGGAGGTGCGCGAGTGAGTGTGGCGGAACCCAGGGCCAGCGTTAGCCGAGGGGAAGCAGGACGGGACAGAAACTGATAGCAGGAAACCACTCGAGAACTTTCCCCCCTTGTATCCCGAATACGACCTCGACGACAATGATGGTGCTGCGGGCACCGTGTAAGCTTTCTATGTAACTCGTACATCACTCAGGACTGGCAGTTTGCAGTATGCTGAGGGATCTGTTTGACCGGTCCTACTGCTCCTGCTCCTCGACTCAGGCTATCCAGACGCGGACTGGTTGTATTTTCCCCTTACGACCACGGCCATCCGGACGAGAGAGGCGGCGCTGACTGCGGTAGCGCTGACTAAGAAGCGCAGGCGCACAACCTCGAGGGGCAGAAGCGTCGCAGGTTCGAGGTGGCGTACCACGGGTGTTGGCAGGGGTTACACAGCAATTTGGAGAGGAAGAGAGGACCACAATTTACAGGAAGAGGCCAAGGATACGCCGGAGGTTCGTACTCGTCCCTCTATCAATCTCGCCACGACGCGAGCCAGCCACACGCGCACCGTACATCCTGAGCTGCCATGTCTAGATGATCGCGAACAACTCGCGCGTGCGATACAACCTAGCGGCCGCAACAAGACACCACGCCACAAGAAGCATACACGACCCGAACACAATTGCGTGCGGGAAGCGCGCGAGCTGCTCGCCCGGGCTCCCGGCGCCGACGATGGCCCCGAAGATCGGGGGGCCGGTAAGCTGCGCGATCGACTGGACCACTGGTGTCAGCTGACCCTCCCCTTCCCCCTCCCCTTCCTGCCCCGCGTGCACGCACTCAACGCTTGCCCGATGAGCGTGCCCGCGTGGCGCGGGTCGCTCGCGGACGCGGTCACCATCGGGCCCTGGAGCGAGACGGGCGCGCCGCTCGCAAAGCCGTACAGGCAGCAGAGGGCGATGAGGGGCGCGGGTGTGTCCATTGCCAGCCAGGCGAAGGAGAGGACGGCCATGGCGCCGATGCCGACGAGCGCGACGTTGAATGTGCCGAGCATGTCGGCGGCGATGCCGGCTGCGAGGCGGCCGAAGGCGGATGCGCCGTTCGTAATCATTCTGGTGTTAGCGCCGCAAGAACGGTACGCACAAGAGGTAGGGCGCGAGGGGGCCCAGGCCGGCGAGCGCGCCGTACGTCCCGATGAAGGTGAGGAAGGAGAAGAAGCCGAAGACGAGGAAGGGGAAGGAGAGCGCGACGGCGGCGTAGGCCGGGTTGCGGAACTCGGCGAAGAGGAAGAAGGGGCCGGGGGGGCGGGGGGGCAAGCGGGTCTTTACGAGGAGGGCGGAGGCCGTGCCGAGCAGCGCCATGAGGAGGGCGATGAGGCGGCAGGTCCATGCGAAGCCGATGCGCGGCGGGAGGTTGGCGACGAGGAGGGGCCAGACGATCGCGCCCGCGCTGCTCCCCATCATGAGGATGCCGAAGGCGAGGCCGCGGCGGAGGAAGAACCACTGTCCGACGGCGCCCATCGGCACGATGAACATCAGGTCCATCCCCATCGCCATGAGGGTTGCGTGCACGAGGAAGATTTGGTAGTATTCCCTGCAGAAGGAGAGGAGTACGAAAGCGAGGACGAGGAGCACCGTCCCGCCCGCGAGGAGCGGGCGGCAGCCGTACCGGTCGAAGAGGGGGCCCGTGAACAGGCACATGGAGAAGCAGACGGCGGCTTGCGTCGAGCCGATCCACGCGATCGTGGACGCCGAGTATCCCTGTAACAAGTTTTGCGCGTAGTAAGACTGGAAGGCGCCGACGCTGCCCGCGAGTCCGAACGCGCAGATCGCGGCGCAGAAGCCGCCTGCGAGCACGAGCCATGCCTGGCGTCAGCGACGACGCTCCACGACGCACCTGCATCCCGCCGTCGGGGTAGACGATCTCCTCGCCCTCCTCGGTGACCTGTACGCCGACGAGCTCTTCGACATCCTCCTTCTCGGCCTCGGCCTCCGAAATACCCTCGGAGAACACGGACGCGTACCGCCGCAAACTCATTGTCGTGACGGTGCCGGCGCGTGCGCGGGCGCGGCGCTCCGTCCGAGTCTCTTGCCGGCTCATGTCGGGGAGGTTGACGAGGAACGCAGCGTCCGCAAAAGTACGGTTGCTGCGCTGGGAGAGGCGCGAGGCGTTGCGCGCCAGCTCCGAGAACCCGCTGCTCTCAGCCGCGTACACCGCCGCCCCGTCTTTGTGGATCGGGAGGGGCTCGCTCGTGGGCGCGGAGCCGCCGCGCGTGATTACACCACCAGCGCCGGCGCCGGCGGAGAACGCGCGTTGGCGCGCGCGCAAGTTCATGTTTGAGGGGCCGGCGACGCCGCTCGAGAACGACCCGCGCTGCTTCAGCGGCGGGGCGCCGTGCGAGGACGAGGCGGCGCGTTGTCGGCCCTTAGTGCCGGAAGTGGCGGAATGTTGGGATGAGGACGAGGCACGCCGCCGCGGCGGCCGCTTGCTGATGTCTGGGAGAGGGGCGGGGATGCCATGCTCGTGTTCGCTGTGCTCGTCTTCGCTCAGCTCCTCGATGACGGGCGGTGGGGAGACGGGTTGGGGTTTGGGGGGATAGGTGGGTGGCATGTTTGGGGGCGATGCCGCGGGGGATCTGCTCTGGATCAGAGAGTCTCAGTCAGTGCCCAGCGATGATGGATAAGGTCAGTGTGGACGAGAGATAGGGCGATGCGGGGATGTCAACAAGCGACGGTATGATTTTAATGGGTGATGAATTGAGCCGGTATACCGCTACTCACCGTGCCGTCATACATGCGGGATGATCGGCGATCAAAAGTCGGAGCTAGCCGAGGCCCGGCCGGTGACTCCTCTCAGGCCTCTGCCCCTGTTCCATACTCTACTGTAGATCTGGCCTTTAGGTGACATCAAAGCGAGCGCTGAGTCGTAGAGGAAATGTCCGCATCAAAGATCATATGCGTCATGGCCTGGCATACTAGCGTTGCATGGACGGTGCGAGCGCAACTGAGCAGCACCCCCCTCGAGATCACCACCCCCGCCGGGCGCAGTTGCGTGGGCGGTCGTGGTGTAGAGGTATCACGCTTCTTTCGGGAACAAAAGGCTGACCAATGCCATCCCGTGCTGACAAGGCGCATAAACTAGAAGAGGTCTTGGGTTCAATCCCCAACGATCGCCTTGCTTTTGAGGAGGGTGTGTTTTGATTGCTCGTGTTGGTTGGTCGCCGTGCGGGACAGGGAGTGAGTGGAAAGAGGCGGAAGAGAACGTCGGGTGGTGGGGTGTGGGCAGATAGAGTGGGGCAGGACGTCTGGGGGAGGCAAAGTGGGGCAGGCTTGAAATTGGGCAGAGTTGATATGAGTAGTTGTTAGTCAGAAGTGGGTCAAGTCGAGATATGCCCTCCGTTCCACCTGGACGGCATGCACAACGAAAGCCGTTGGAATCAGAGAGAGGTGCTTATCGTGTACACACACATACCAAGGCCCTCGATGCGTGAGAATGCGCAATTTCTGCGCTCGCACGATGCACCATCCGATCCTAATCCCCAGCTCAACGCACCCACCGCTTTCCAACTATGCATAGATCAAAACGCAACCGTACACAAACAGCACGCAGCAATACAAAAGATAAACTAGCCTAAATACCTCATCATCACTGGCCAGCCTCGCAGACAAGGTACGACGTCTGGCTCATGCGCTGGCTACTGGCCAGGATGATGGCTGCAGTCGGATCTCCGACCGTCTTGCGCAGCTCGGCGCCAACCGTCGGGTTGTGCCCCCGCGCAGCCAGGAGGCTCGATGCCTCGCGCTCGTGGTTGTACGCCGCCGAGCGGCGGCCACGGCCCATGACGACAAGAAGAGGGCGCCACATCCGCTCGTTGGCAGCGGCGCTCAGCGCCTGCTCGGCGTACTTGACCGCATCTGTGAGCGGCGTCGACGTCTCGATCGACGAGAAGACGATGCGCGACAGCGCACCCTCGTTCGAGGCGCCAGTGGCCGAGGTGTAGTACGTCCAGGCGACGTTGTCGGCCGTCTCGGACAGAACCCGGTTCTGGCGTTCCTCGAGTTTGGGCCCGCCAATGGTGAGCTGGTTAGAAAGGAGGGCAGCCTGGTGAACCTTGGCCGACTCGGACAGCTTGGTCTCGTCCTTGTCCTGGAGAGTGCCCGACTCGGAGCCAGAGTCAGAGACGTCGCTGTGAGTGATGCGGATGACGGTGGCGGAGACGTGGGCGTGGTGGCAGAGCTGGACCACAAGGCGGAGTGCGAGGCGGTCATCGGGGCCGCCAAAGAAGGGGAAGAAGACGTGCTGGCCAGACCCGGGAGGTGTGACATGCGCACCACCGAAACCGCGATCAATGAAGAGAGCAATGTCCGACGTGGCGCGTGCAAACAGGTTGCGGATGAAGTGGGTGTAGATGGGTGAACCGTCTGTGGCAAAGATGTTGTCGAACGGAGTAGTAGGAGCAGCGACCGTCGATGGGCCGGTGGACGAGCCAGGCTGGTCATCGTTGGTGAGAATGTCGCCCTGCGCCTGGGGGGAGTTGACAGTCCATGGGATGACAATGAGTTCCGAGTCGAGGTCCTGCGCATACTCTGCAACGGCTGCGGGGAAGCTCTCCTGGCCAACGATGGAGATGTGAGGCTTGATGTCCATGCCGCGGAGACGACCAAACTGCTTGTAGAGCTGGAGGGCGTCGTCGGTCAGCAGCAGCTGGTCCTTTTCGGCTGACTGCATGACGGAGAAGGTACGACCGGTGAGCTCGATGAGCTTGAGGGCATCAATGTGAACAGGTGCGTTGGCGCTGCCAGCAGCCCCAATCGAGTCGCGACCAGGAGTGGTCTCGCGGTCACTAGCACCGCTTTCTAGAGCAGCCTCAGCGGCCTTGACGCTACCATCAGGACGCTTGGCGTCGGCAGTTTCGGTGGCGGTGATTTGGGCGGCAACCTTGAGCTCAGGTTCGAGGAGTTGGGTGATGAACATGGTTGACGCGAGGTGCTCGAGCTTCTGGAGAACGACGAGAAGGCGGGTTGTGTATTCACGACCACCGGCGGCTCCACCAGCCGATGTAGCAAGGAAAGCCTCGCGCGCGGCGCGGTTCTTGGCCTCGTCCTTGAGGTCACCACCCGAACCCCTGGTGTGGTACTTGTAGGGGTAGATCCAGAGGGTGCAGGGTGTGGTGATAAAAGTGAGAACGACGGCAACAAGAACGAGCATGGAGAAGAGCTTTTCTTCGATGATGCCTGCCTCGAGACCGACGTTGAGGACGATGAGCTCGACAAGACCCTTGCAAGACATGAGCATGCCGATAGCGCCCGACTCGCGCCAAGAGTACTTGAGAAGCTTGGCCGTGGCAGCGCAGCCGACAAACTTGCCGGCGAAACCGATAACGCAAAGGAGAACCACATAGCCCCAGGCCTTGCCATCGGTGAGCGAACCGAGGTTGGTGTTGAGACCCGAAAGGGTAAAGTAGATGGGGAGGAAGAGCATGGTGACGAGATCTTCAATGCGCTCGGTGATACCAATAGCAAAGCCGCCCTCGTGAGGGATGATGAGACCAGCGATGAAACCACCAAAGATGGGGTGAACGCCAATGATACCAGTCATAAAGGACGAGATGAAAACGATCATGAGGGTGAGGGTCATGATGCCTGGGGTGGGGTGGCCGGTCTCGAGGGAACCAGAGCGCTTGACCGCCCAGTAGAACGCCTTGCGGATGGGCCAGAGCAGAAGGATTGACCATCCGACGGCGGCGAGGAGAATGTAGACAGAGGACACGCCAGAGCCCTGTCCCGAGAGGGCAAGAGTGAGAGCGAGCAGAACCCAGCCAACAACGTCGTTGCCGACGCCGGCGGACAGGACAATGACGCCAACCCTTGTGTCGAGAAGCTTTGTGGCGGTGAGAATGCGGCAAAGCACGGGGAAGGCGGTAATGGCCATGGAGACACAGATGAACAGAAGAAAGTGGCCGAACGAGACCTTGCTGTGGTCGACAAACTCGTCATAGACCGGGATTGCAATGGCCGAGCTAATGGCGAAGGGGAGGGCGATACCTGCAAAGGAGATGATGGCCGAGTTCCTGCCGTTGCGCTTGGCGACGGAGATGTCGACTTCAAGACCGACGACGAAGAGGAATAGGATCAGACCGATTGTGGAGACCAGGTTGAGGTATGGAATGGAGGGCTTTGGGAAGATGCTGTTTGAGAAGTTTGGGATGCGACCCATGGCAGTGGGGCCGAGGATGATGCCAGCGATGACCTCTGCGATGACTTTTGGCTGGTTCATAAACTTGAAGACCCATCCTAGGCTTAGGGTGAAGGCGGTGATGATGCAGAGCTGGACGATGAAGAGGGTGATGGGCTGGATGTAAGCGAGGAGGTTGAGATACTACTTGCATTTGAGGGGTCGACCATTACGGGGTTGTCGCCGTTGATGACGGTGGACTGGGGAGGTCAGTGACTGTCGCGCGTCGCTGGAGGCTCGAGCGCGAGAGCAAGAGGAGGAGAGACTCACCGAGATGGAGCGTCCTACGAGGACTGCATCTTGGAAAGTGTAGTGCATGTTGGCAATGTTGCCAGTCTGCGGCAAGTGATTGATTGGGAGATGAAGAGAGAGCGAGAGGAAAAGAGATGGTGAGATCTAGTCTAGTAGTAGTTGAGAGAGACGATGGCGCGACTGTACTCAAAAAGGCGCGTCCTGTGCAGGGGGAGGGAGGGAGGGGGAGGCCCGTGGGGTGGCGTGTAGTGCGCGTGTGGTGGAGAGAGCCAAACAGTCCCTCGAGTAACGTCGAGAGGCGGCGAGAGGCGGCGAGAGACGGCGAGAGGAACGGAGGATGAGTTGATCGAGATGACCAACGTGTTGCACCTCCGAGGTTAATCAAGAGTGATCAAGTGACGCCGTCTGATGTCCTGGAGTCACAGTCACAGGGGAAGATGCTTGAGGGCGGCGGGGCGGCTAAGGAGCGTAGAGCGTGGTATTCTAGAGTCTAGAGGGGGGATAGTGGCCAGAGTGAATAAGAGTGTCGAGTGTCGAGTGTTGCGCAAAGAGTAAAGAGATGCGGCGACGGTTGAGACGACGAGGACGACGACGACGACGACGAGGATGATAAGAAAAGCGAAGCGGTGCGGGAGACCAGAGGGGACAACCAGGGCATGTGTTGTGTGGCAACAGGGTCGGCAGTCGTCTCGCTAGGCATCTCAGCAGAGCATACCCCACGGCCTTCAGGGCAAGTCACACTCCGGCCAAGATCCTCTTCACCCTGAGTGCACTGTGGGTGGGTGGCGACTGGAACTCTATTCCATCCTCCTCTCTTTCTCTCTGTTGCTCACCACATCCCTCATGTCATCCAATCACTCACTCACTCACTCACGCAACGCGTACCTCCTCCTCCTCCTCGGTCCGCGTGACCGTGCCGTGTCCACCTCTCTCGCCAAACATTCACTAACATTGCTTTCTCTCCCTCGCTACCGCGCACAGTCCAGGTAGCGGTAGCCACCGGCAGCCAGGCCGCCAGATGATGCTGACGCGCGACGCGCCAGCTCAGATCTCACTCCCGCCTCTCCACTTCAATTGGTTGCAATCCCATTAATTCCCGCTGCTGTAATTATGCCTCATCCCCAACGACACCATACGTGTTCTCTTGATCTCTACGTTGATATCTTGAGGACGCGCCATGTGCGGCCATATGGTCCGGACGTGGCGATGCGGTCTCCGGATCATCGGAGCAGAGAAAGCAAAGCGTGAGCCACAGGCTCTGCGTCTTCATCTGATGCTACTGTACGCTGTCTCATAGATTGTAGAAGAGAGATTGATAGATGCTCGACCCATAAATCGTACATGATCATAGATGCACCACAGCATGACCTCAACTCCACCAACTGGTTCATCACGCATACGCCCCGTCATGGCTCCACCCAATCGTTCCTTCGGTCAAGAGTAATAATCACTGCGCCGACTATGAACGGGCCTGACTCAGTCTACAGATCTACAGAGGTGATGGAGACTGAGTCTGGAGGCTGGAGGCCTGGAGGTGTATTCCGTAAGATGGGGGGGGGGGGGGCCAGGAACCAACACGTGTCGAATAAAGTGGGGCAGACAGCGAAAAAGATGGGAGAGTGGGGCAGGATACTCCCACACACCTCCACCTTCGCGCCCCACTCATGCCACTCATTCCAACAACACGTCAACTGCCCTCTCCCACTGCTTCCTCCCTCCCTCCTCTCCTCTCTCTTCACCATCATCCTACCCACCATGGCCGACAACTCCGTCTCGCCCAACGCCGAGGCCATCATCAAGGCAGTGGACAGTACGTCTTCCTCCGCGCCGACTCTACTCTCCTCACTTCCACCCGTTCTTCCCTTCTACTCTCCTCTCGCCCTTTCACCTCTTCTTCTTCTCTCCTCTTCTTCCTCATCCTCTTCTCTTCTCCTCCTCTCCTTATCATTCTCTCCTTCTCTTCCCGTCCTCGCCTCCCCTCCTCCTCCTCTCCTCCTCCGACCCGCCTCAACACTAACCCCCAGTGTCAGAGGAAATGCAAAAGGTCGCAGTCAAGGTCGCCGTCGAAGCGCTGGCAAAGTACACCGTCGAGAAGGATGCGGCCATGATTATCAAAAAGGAGTTTGACCGGCTGTACAGCACGACCTGGCATTGTGTCGTGGGAAAGCAGTGAGTGGTAGCGGGAGGTTGTGAGGCGAATGGGGTGGGGGGGGGCAAGGCAAGGGGGAGGGGTGAGGATAGGGGGAGAGGAGGGAGAGCGCGTGGGAGGGAGGAAAGGAGAAGGGGGAGAGAGGGGGAATCGGAGGGAGAAGGCGCGAGAAGAGACGGGCGCGCCGAGTAGCACGCGAGGGCGCGGGGCGTGGGAGCTAGGGCGGAGCGCAGGTAGGAAGGAGACGAAGGTGGTGGTTCTCCCCCGGCGTTGGCGTCTCCATCGCTGGCTGCAGCTAGACTTGCGGTCGTCCCGCTCCCCCGAAAAAATCCCCCTTTCAAGTTTTGCAGTGATCTTCGCTGACACCAGCTTCGGGAGCTTCGTGACCCACGGTGCGTCCGCGCGTGCGGCGACGCCCCACGCTGACGCCAGAAACCAAGAACTTTATCTACTTCTACCTCGGCCCCATCGCCGTCCTGCTCTGGAAGACGTCCTAGACCTTCTCTGTCTCCGCTTCGATTCTCGGGCTCGTGTAATAGAGGGATGCCAGCCCTGCTGTGGTAATGTCGGTTACAGTGTTGCCAATGATGTTGGGCACTGGTGTAGAGAGTGTATGCCGCCGAAAGAGCTCTATCTAACTGCATTGTGTTTCACCACACTCAACCAGCCCAACATCCTCAGCGCTCCGCCCACATCAGCCGCCAGCTGCCAGCCCATATCGCCCCCGCCGCAATGACGCGCGCCATATATCAAAACATACGAGGTCTATCTGTGCCTCTCACGCTCTCCTGGCCCACCGCTACACACCACGCCCTCCGCTGCGATACTATGTCCTCGAGAGGTTCTGGTACTGCGTCGTCGTCGTCTCGTACTCCTTGACGAACAGGCGCTTCTGCTCCTTGATCATCCACCTGCTGTCAGCGTGTCATCTTCGCCTGCAACCCCCAGCCGACGCACTTCATGATGTCGTTGATGTATTCGCGGAGAATGTTGAGCGACTCGGGGTCAATGTTCGTGTACGCAATAAATGGCCCAAAGTTGACTGCCATCAGCACCGAACATTGAAGCCAGCTCACCAAAGAGACGCAGGAGGTGTTCGGCGCCGTAAATCTCAGACATGGGCTTGCCATTCGCCGCGCGCCGCTGCTCCACATATTGTGCCCGCTCAAAGCGGTACAGCAGGTTGTTGCCCAGCGCCTTGTCAAAGTACAGCGTGATGCCCGCGATGATCTCACTCAACAGCGCCGTCGCGCGTCTGGCATCAGCACACCGGCACGCCTTCGCCCGACGACTCACGTTGTGCGCTCCTTCTTCGACTGCATCACATACTCGCGGTACTCCTCCAGCAGCTTGCGCACATGTGGCTTGCGCGGGAGCGTCACGAGCTGGTTGTTCTTGGTCACGTTCTCCCAGTCGTCGACGAGCTGCAGCTTGAGCTGGTCCGGAATCACAATCTTGACCTCGGGTCTCTTAAGGAACTCGGTCTCCTGTGCGTCAGCGCCACTATCACTGCAGCGTACAGTCTCCAGCCCCGTATCCCGCCCGCGCTTCCGACTCCCCTCGCCCTTCTTCGGCCCCTTGTCCTTGCCCTTGGCCTCGACCGCGCCGACCGCCACTGGGCGGTTCTTCTTCGTCTGCGCCTCGAGCAGCGCCCGGCGCTTCGCGAACCCCGACTCGTTCAGCTTGAGCAGCCGCACTTCTGGCACCCATTCGTCCCATCTGCGATCAGCGATGCACAAGCCAAAAAAAAGAGGAAAATCGCTGCTGATCGGATGTGATGTGGGCTCGTACTCACGTCTGCTTCCATCCCTTGTAGTGGATAAAGTAGTGCGGCCCCGTCGTTCCGAGAAGCGTGTTGGACTCGTTCCAGTTCTCAGCGAGGAGGATCTGCGGCGTGAAGATAAGGGTGCGAGGTGGGGCGGGCGAGCGTCAGCATCTAGGTCCATTACTCCGCACAGCCCGTGATCCCCGCCGCTGGACCACACACAAAGCTGCGCGTGGCCGACGTTGACGTTTCAGAGGACTTACGCGGGCTTCGTACAGCAGCGGGCCGTGGTATGCGAGCACATACTCGTCCGTCGTGAACGAGTTTGGCTGGTGCTGGGCGTTGTTCTGCTGCGCCATCGTGGACGTCTATGCGCGTAAAACTTGCCGGAAAATCACGCGGCAATGGCTGGGTACGTGTAGTGCGACTGCGGTGAGCGTGCGCGCGCGGAGTGGGGGGCAGGCGCGCGATATCGGCGCTGCGTATACTCACGAGATGCGGAAGAGATATATATCTCGCAAGCCAGCGTCGAGGGACGGCGCGCGATGAAGAAGAGGGGAAGATGAAGGGCTTTGTTCTCTTCGTGCGCTCGAGGGCCGAGGAGACGGATAGGCGCGGTAAGTGGAGGAGGAAGCGGTGATGGGGAAGTCACAACAAGCGATGTGGACGCGTCAGGGGACCGGGCTAATCTCGTGGAGCGCGGCGCGTGTTTGCAGAAACCTGGCGCGTGAGCAATGTAATAATACGCGTCAATGGGGGCAGCGGAGACGGTCAGCAACGTACGTTGTGGTAATGGCGACGGATGTCAGTGGAGAGGGGGTCAGTGGTGGTGGATGATGGATTCTCGAGGGAACGAGTGAAGGCACTGCTGGGACCGCGGAAGTATTTTTGGATTGTGGATTGGAAGCCTTCCTGGGTGGGTGTTTGGTTAGGCTGGCCACGTGCTTACAGGGAGTATCGATTATACTGCGGCGACAGTGGTGCTTTTCACCCCTACTTGCATTCGACGACCGACTCGATGTCGACGTTGCCCCCTCCTTCATCGACACGGTGAACGCCAGGAAGCCACTCGCGTGTACCAGCAACCCACACCGCGTCTCCTAGACGCACGCGGACGCCTGTCCAGTCTTTCTGGGAGCTCCCGCGGGATCCACTGATCACGCTTGCGGCGACTTGGGTAAGTGGGAACTTGCCCGGCGACCGTAGCCTCCAGCCCGTGGCCACTGGCCAGCGGTCATGCAGGCTACAGACTAGGGGCGCCTGTGTATGCTCTGCATGGTGTGGGCGTGCGCGTGCCCCTCCGCCGGCGGCATGTATGAACCTCCGAGCCCCGGATCAGCTGCTGACATATCCTGTTGCCACGCGCTGTTCCGTGTACGCGTTCCCGTCTCGATCGCAGCGCGAGCAGTCGCACCAAGGGCGCACGCGCAGCCGTCCCCTCGTGCGGGCTCATCGAGATACCTTTGTGTAGGCTCACGAGACACTTCCGTGCGAAGAAACACCTCAAGTAGGTTAAAGTGAAACAGGCCGCGATGAACGGACACCAAGCCGGTCCCAAGAAGCCTTCGGTGGGTTTTTGCTTCCTGCTCTTGTCGGGCCTCTTTTCCTCTCTCTGCACGGTTCACGGCGCTCTGTTGCTTGGTGTGGCGCGCTGCTTCGATTGGAAACGCGCTGCCTCATGAACGTCGCCTCCACCCCCTCGGCCCTCCCTGGATGGCAAGGCTGCATTCTTTGGGCGCTTTGTGCCGCGTTATGTGGCGCCGTTTCTCGAAACGTGTTGTGATGAGGGCTGGGCCTTTTGGGCGGCCATGCGCGGTCCGAGGCGACTGGGCTGCTCGAGACATGATCCACTGATGGCCATGGAGACATGCAATCCTCCCCACCCCTCATCCTTCTGTGATCCGTGACAGCTACATATGGCACTACACCTCTTCATCTGTGGTCACCACACCTTCCTTTTCTCTGAACGCATTATGACTCAAACTGACATGAAGGGCCCATACGGCCAGCCCGTGGCTCCCAACCTCTCGGTCCGACACCTCTGCCCGAACTGCCGAACCGATCCACCACACATCGTCGAGGAGTACAGTCACGGCGACCTCGTCTGCGCCGACTGTGGCACTATTCTTGGTGATCGCATTGTCGACACCCGATCAGAGTGTGAGTTGCTCTTCAAGTACCGCGCTGACCCCAGGGCGTGTAAGTGGCGCGCGACCACTGAATCTCCACCTGCTAACTCCCACAGACGTTTGCTGGTGATGAGGGCGGCGACGACCCGTCGCGTGTCGGTGGGCCGTCAAATCCTCTCCTTGGCAACGCCTCGCTGGACACGATCATCTCTGGACGTGACGGACGTACTGGCATGTCCAAGGACCTGATGCGCGCGCAGAACAGAGCCAACCAGCAGTCGGCGACTGGTGGTGGCAAGTCGAACGCGCTCCAGCTTCAGTCTGCTTTTGCGCGCATCTCTGAGAAGACGGACGCCATGCAGCTGCCTCGCAAGGTGACCGAGATTGCCCAACATGCGTACAAGATTGGAGACGAGCAGCGCATCTCGCGCGGTCGCAACGACGATGCGCTGATTGCCGCGTCGATTGTCTTCGCGACGCGTATGGCTGGGGCTCAGCGCTCGTTTACCGAGGTCTGCAAGGTCACACGAGTGTCCAAGTCCGAGCTCGGACGCGTCTTCAAACTTCTGAAGTCGGCGATCGACAAGACCGGTACCGCACCCAAGGGCAACACGAATACGAGTGATGTGGTGGAGAGTCTGCTTGGGCGTTTCTCCAACTACCTCGACCTTGGGGTCATGATCCACAACTCGTCCAAGCACATTGCGCCCTTGGCGATGCGGCTGCCGACGATTGATGGTCGCACGCCTAACGCAATTGCAGCGGGCGTCCTGTTCTTTACGACGACATTGATGGAGAAACAAACGACGTCGAAGGAGATTGCCGGGATCTCAAACGTGTCAGAGTCGACCATCAAAATGTGCGTGCCTCGGAATGTGATTGAGCTTGAGAGTGGAGTTGGAGTTGAGCGCTGACGTAACAGGATCTGCAAGAAAGTTGCGGAGGAGCTCGATCAAGTCATCAAGCCCGAGTGGGTGAGTACTCATGACAACATTGTGGAGGGGAGTGTGGAATGTGGGGAGGTTTATTTTGGGGCATGAGAAGTCGATTCGGGCGAGTGGAGCAAACTCGAGCTGCTCTGCTTCGTCGAGAGTTGGGTGGCAACCCTGCTGTGGCCGATCTGTCGATCCGTTGGATGCGGCGACGGCGTAGGGCCTGGATGTGACTGACGTTATCAGAAGGAACAATTCCCGAAGGGCTACAAGGACGTCGAGTCTCTGGGTAGCAAGAACTTGCGTGCGGCAGTGCAGACGTCTCGAGCTGGCACCCCGGCTCAGAGCGGGGCCAACACGCCTGCGCCGTCCACTTAGTCGTCTGGTGAACATGGGCTAGCTGGTAACTGGGGTTGAGTCCAACATCAACGTCGAAATTCGATTCTGGCGCGCGGGTGACGGTGAGGCCTGGGATCCAGTTGTTGGGTTGGGTGCGTGGGTATGCCAAGTCGCAACACTGTTCCTGGGCTGGCTATCATTTCTCTCGCTTGCGCACGTGGGTGACGAGGGATCTATCTTTTGATCCTTGGAACAGCATGGCCACCTTTGAGCCCGAGTGACGGTTTAGATTCACTATGATGCTATGGATGCGGTGTCGCCGGCCTCGAGCGCCAAGGTAGCATTCCGCACAGACAATCGCAGAGACAAGGACTGGGCCCGCGCTGGGGACATGGGACAATTGAACAAAGTTGGGGAGCAAGAGTGCCGTGGGCGTTTGTGCCTCTGTCTTGAAATTGTCTGACGTCCTTGATGAGACGCTGAGACATGGAACGTAAGAGGGTTAATGAAGTGCAGGTGGGGTACATGGAGGGTGAGGTCGAGGGGTCGCAAGGTGAGTGGAATTGCAATCACTTCCCGCCGGCACTGCATCCATGGCCCATGGGCCCAGTCTGGCCCGTGTGTGGCATCTGGCATCTGGGCCTGGTTGGCTATCAGCCTCGGCTGAGGCAGCGTGCAGAGTGCAGCGTGCAGCGTGCGCGCAAGAGGCGTTGGGCGACGGTATGAGGCTTCGTTCGGAGGGTTCGGGACCCGCGGGGCTGCTCTCCCATGGCATGGTGTCGATGGCAAGATGGCAAGAGGCAGCGGGAGAATTACCGAGAATTAAGCAGAAGAGTGCCTGAGTTGTAGCGGCAAGTGACATAGCCAAGGGTCCATGACGTCAGTCATCGACGTCATGCCATCACCGGATCACCGGATCAAGGCTGTCTCTGCATCTGCAAGAGGCCAGAACGACAACGCCAATGTTAATGAATGCCTGAGACATGGCGCCTGCTCTGGACCACAACTCGGGCTGCAGGCGCGCAGGCGACAGCGCTCTCGCTCTCGCAACTCGCAGCGTTGATCAACCTCGTCGCTGGTCGCGCTGGTCGCTGACACAGGCGAGCAGTCCAGCTTGCATACTTGGAAACCTAGAGCAGGTCTTAGCCCGCCTCGCCTCGCCAGATTGCCACCTGACTTGGTCACACGCAGCAGCAACACTTGACCTCGTTCACGCGGGCGGACAGATAGATAGGGGCCAGATGCCATGAGCCATTAACGATGTGCATAACCTACGCATGTACGAGATTTACATCATAGCCACCATCAGCCGGTGCGCCGCGGGCCAGTGCGTGCCCGACCGTGCTGCGAGTCACAGGCCCGCAGTGGAATGCGCCAGGCATGGCCCTGATGCGGCTGCTGCATGCGCGTTGCTGCGGTGCGCGCATGAGCGAGGCGAGCGCGGGAGCAAGGGGAGAGTACAGAAGAGCACGGCAAGAGGGCAAGGCGTAAAGCCAAGCAAATGGAAGAGCGTCAGAGCTCAGGATTCAGTCTTGACGGCTTGACGCTCTGCGGCCTTACGGGAATGGACACACGTACTGCGGCCGGGAGCCGAGATGGTCGCGGGCTCGCGGGCTCGCGGGCTCGCGGGCTGCCTCGAGGCTCAAGGCTCAGGCGCGCAAGCCACGCCTCAAGCCCCCGGGCTGCCGGAGCCTGGCTTGCATGACTTGCATGGCTTGCCTCGAGGCAGAGGCCAGGCGTCGCTGCGTCAAGGCGTCAGGTGAGCCATGGATTGCATGCTGTTTGCAGCGAGCAAAGCAAAGTGACTCGCATCATCTCGTATGTACTCGTCTGATCAGAGCCTCG